CCGACCGGCACGCGACGGCGGCGTGGGTCGCGGGTCACCATGTCCACCAGGTCGTCACCGCGGCGAGGACGGACGCCGCCAGCTTCGCGCGCTCCGTCATCAAGGCCAAGGCCAAGGCCCTGGCGCGCCCCGCCTGCCCGGCGGCGCTGCAGCGCGGGCTGGCCGCCTTCGTCCGCTGAGCTGAAGTAGCGCCAGGCAACGGGCCGCACAGACGGCCCAAACGAGCTACGTGTCCCGCCTTTTTTAGTATTGTACATTTTATCTATTTTTTAAATTTACAATTTTTTTAGTTGTGCTCATTTTTTTTAAAGTTCCATTTTTTTAACTTTTGCTTTTTTAACCGATATTATTTTAAAATTTTTTTAAAATTCTGGACGCTCACATGATGTTTTCTCTGTTTCAGGTCGGCGCAGGGCACGGGGGGCCGAACCCACTTCGGTGGTAATAAGCCCCTCGCCGCCGCCGCTGTCCTGGAGCAGAGAAGCATCATGTGGCGGCCATTTTACCGAGCACTTCAAGCCTTTTAACCGTTTTATTAATGTTCATCAAGTTCAAACATCAAGAAAATTTCTTATGTAAAATGAAGTACCTGAGTTTTCCTTATTTTTATTTATTTATGCTATTATTTTTATATCACTTTTAAAATCAAATTTATATTGATGTTTTAAAAAAAAAAAAAATCAGCAATCATCAGAAAACCAGTCAGAAATGTTCTGATTGACAATCAGAAATCAGAGATGATTTCTGATTGACAATCAGAAATTAGAAAATCAATCAGGAAAATCCTGATTTCTGATTGGAAATCAAAAACTCAATCAGGAAAATCCTGATTTTGATTGGAAATCAAAAACTCAATCAGAAAATCTTGATGGCATTTACACCAGTGATGATGAATGATGATGATGATGATGATGATGATGATGGGGGGAGGGGCCGGGGTGGGGGTGGTGGTGATTATGATGATGAAGGTGATGATGGAATGTTTTTAGCATGTACGTATGAACTGTTTTTGTCTCGAGACATCACTGAAAAACCAAACGTGGTCTAGACCGCACCAACGGGTGTGGTCAAAGGGATGCCATTTATAAACCCCCAGTGGTGGGGGTCTAGACCACGTTTGGTGCGTTTGGTGTGGTCTAGACCACCCCAAAACGGGGCCCAAACGTGGTCTAGACCGCACCATACGGGGCCCAAAACGTGGTCTAGACCAAAAAAAACTGATGTGGTCAAAATGGCATCCCTGACCACACCAGGGGTTTCGGTCTGGACCACGTTTGGTTTTCAGCGATTTAGCCACATCGAGGGGACAGGCGACAGTCAGTGGACAGCGCCTCGGTATCGCTGCTTGGCCGTCTTTTTCTCTTTCGGGTTCGTTGTTCGTTATCGCGCTGGCCGAAGCAGAATTGACGCTGTTGTCGCGAGAGCGCGCGCTGCAGTAGGCTGATTCCGCATCGCGCATTCCGCATCGGCCCGTCTCTCTCGCGCCCACACGGGACGCGAGAGAAAGAGGAGGGGAGAGTCGGGCCACGAAGGCCCAGTGCCCAAGACGTTCAAGACAGTTCGAGACTGTACAAATCAGACTGAGTTATTCCCCGAAGATGGTGGCAGCAAGTTGCTCGTGGACGAGAAGGTGTTAGTTGGTGAGGTGCTGCTGGATTGGCCTGCAACAGCTTACTTCTTTCAGCGCTCCGTGCGTGCTCGGGCCCCTTTATACACGTGCGAAAGGGAAGGACCTTGCTCTCATTTTTGGTGAGTCGCAGAAAACATCACCAGCACAGTGCTCGCTTCATCTCTACGTAGTACAGTGTCCAGTTGTACAAGGTAGGTTTACGCCAGACCGCGTCTTGTCGTAACAGGCTTCGCGATGTCTCGCGGCCTGTTCCTTCAATCCGCGCCTGGCGTACCTACCTTGACCTGCGGCGCTAGCCTGCCTTCGGCAGGCATTGGCTTGTCCATCCTCGGTTACTTCTTCCGTGTTGCATGCTGGGGGGCTCAGACCCCCCTTAATTCTAGATAGAGTTGCTTCATCGACAGATAACACGATCTTGACCCTTGTAACTTTTTAACTTGTCGGGGCTGGGGGGCTCCGCCCCCCAGACCCCCTTTCTTCAAGACAGAGGTGATCTACCAGCAGAAAACTCGATTTTTCGCCGTTTTTTAGGTGTTTTTCGGCTATAAAAACTGAACCAGTTGAGCTAGGATAGTGAAATTTCGCGTGTGCCGAGCCAAGAACATACCTAATAAGCCTGCAAAATCTCAGCCAGATCGGCCGAGCCGTTCAGGAGGAGTAGTGTACACACACAGACACACACACACACAGACAAAACTTTTCAACCGCACTGGAGTAACGGGCTTCGCTATCGCTCAGCCAATTATTGCTATTCCAGGACTGTGACGTCACATGCCTTGTGTGCACGCTTGAAACCTTACGAAGCATTTTGAGCATACAAAGTACATACCAACTAATCTACTTTTTGTTATACGGAGAAATTGTCCGTAAATTATTATTTTCTTTGTAAGCTTGTATGCTCAAAATACTTTGTTATAGCAAGCTGCTTTTCTTTGTAAGCCTAAAGTAGTTTGTAAGGTTTTCTGAGTGTGTGGGCTTTGCTGACGCGCACTTCTCATGCCCCTTGCAGGAAGGCACAGTCACGTCGCTCAAGCACCTGCTCTCCAAAAATCCTGAGGGCGGTGTCTTGGCGGTGTCTGGACGTGCACACCGAACACTGTGCGAAAAAACCACAAAGAATCCTGTTAATTTTTTGCCGGGATTTACTGTAGTTCAGAACACAGGATTTACTGTGCCAGGTACAGGATATTCCGTACCCCACTCCCGTGGTACAGTAAATCCCGTACAAAGTACAGTAGATCCTGTAAAAAAAAAACAGTGAATCCTGTACTCTGAACTACAGTGACAGGTGACAGCTGTACTAATCACTACAGGATTTACTGTAATTTTTTCCCCCACAGTGAACGCTTCATTTCTTCGAGTCGATTCAACGGACGAGACTTTGGACCGCATTCCAGGATGTGGCCTCTGCGCACTCCAGTCCTCAAGATAACTTCCTCCCCGATCGTTCTCATCTTGGCGCTCTTCGCGGGCCACGCAGCAGGGGATGCCTTCACGCCACTGCAAGCCTTGCACGCGAACCCCGGCGACATGGTCACGTGCAAGATGGGCCCGGTGGCGCACTGGCTGCTGGCGTCCAACCGACCCGGCTACTTCATCAACGTGCAGCCGGGCTCACCCTCATTCGAGGTGAAGGAAGTCCACTTCTCGGAGGCCGGCGGCAAGAGCGACATCCGAAAGTGTCGTAATCTCGGTCCTGGTCTTTTCGGCGCCTGGGCCGTGGCGAGGGCGCGTCTCCCGCACCTGGACCGATCAGTGTACTACCACCTGCTGAGGTGCAACTGCGAGCACTACGTGAAGGCGTGGGCGGGGATGCCCCTCTGCTCCAACCAGGCCGCCATGTGTCCCTGCCATAAGTGCCGTCAGTATTTGACCGCCCTCCCCATGGCCCGTACCTCTGAGTCGCTGACCAGCCGCCGTGGTCTCTTTGGAACTGTTTCCAAACTCTTTGGCCACTTTAAAGCCAGGCGGATGTAAGGCCCTCAGGCCTCCCAGTGCACTGTGAAATTGAACCAATAAAGACTGTTGTTGTCAAACTCAAAATCTCAAATTTAAAAAGCTGACGCAAACGTGTGCAAACAGACAGCACTGTGGGAAAAAATCACAGTAAATCCTGTTGTGATTAGTACAGCTGTCACTGTAGTTCAGAGTACAGGATTTACTGTACTTTTTTACAGAATCTACTGTACTTTGTACGGGATTTATTGTACCACGGAGGTGGAGTACGGAATATCCTGTACCAGGTACAGTAAATATTGTAGCCAGGCACAGTAAACCCTGTGTTCTGAACTACAGTGAATCCCGGCAAAAAAATTAACGGGATTCGCTGTGTTTTTTTCGCACAGTGAGGTCGTGTACGGAAACTGGAAACTGTAGTTGTGCAACATGAAACCACTGTAAAAGATTTTTGTAACTGAGCGTGACTGCCCCTTTACTTTGAAATTACGTAATTTAGTTACCTATCCTTACACTGGTAAAACTAAAGCGTAACTCTATGCTTGAGTCAAGCATAAAGTTACGCTTGAAGACGTTACGCTTGAATTGAAGCATAGGCTAGAAATTCCCCCATGCATTTAGATAGGGGAAATCTTGGAGGATGAGCCTATTACGCTTGATTTCAAGCGTAAACTGATTACGCTTGAAAACAGTGGGTAATACTACGCTTTAGTTTTTTCACAATTCACAATTTGCAGTTCCCCACCTCACCTCACCTACCTCACCATATGAAGTGTGAATTTTCTTAACTTAATATAGCCTCAGTTCCTGCGTTGCGACACAGGAAAGCAGAGTGTAGCACCCCAAAAATTTTGGTTCGGTACCTGGGCAATCCTCAATCCTTTGCTCTGGCAACTTGCAAAATTGGTGGCTACTTTCATCTGCGTGAGAGTATAAAACGTCGGATAACCTGACGTGCCATCATATGTTTCAAAACTGCCGAAAGATATGGGAAAGGGGAGACGAAGGTGAAACAGTAGGCGAAGGGGTGAAGAGAGGAAGGGAGGGGAAGAGACTACATCGCTCTGATTGGAGGAGGGGACGGGCAGCGTGCGTGTTTTATGGGCGGCGCGTGCCGCAAGACGCGCAAGGCGTGGGGCACGCCGCACGAGGCTCTGCCGTGAAGACCGCCCCATGCCGAGCCACGCCGAGACACGCCGCGCACAGTGGTGGGCCAGAAGAACGGTGAAAGTGGTCAAAGGTGGTCAGTCAAAATCTCGGACGCGTTTCGAGCTCCAGAGTCGCTAAATGGGGCTCGAATCCAACGTGCGACCCCACCAATGGATTGCTCTCCGAACGAGGAATCCATTGGTGGGGTCACTAGCTCCATTCGAGCCCTGTTTAGCAACTCTGGAGCTCAAAGCGCGTCTTGAGTTTTGGCTGCCTTCACTTCGGCCCACGGTACCACTGCAGGCCATGCCATGTAACGTCACGCCACGCCACGCCTTGAGGTCTCCGGCAAAGGAGCAATTCGCCAATTAAATAGTTCTTGCATCCCGGTTGCGTTTCGTTTGGCATGAGAAGGACGGCGCGTGGACGTAACAAGCCTTTAGGATCGTAAAAAAAAAAATCATGGCCTCGTTTCACCCAGAAAATAAATAAACAGGTAATTAGAATGTACTTCCGAAAAAGAGGGTTCGTGTGAGAAAAACAAGCCTCTGGAAATTCCCAACGAGCCAGAAAAGGCTTATGTCCGCGATCTGGGCTCGTGAAATAGTTTTTAACAGTGATCCATGTGGACGCGTTCTGTCTGTCCTTTGACTTCTTTGTGAGTCAACCCGCGTGGGTTGAGTCTGGTTGAGTCTAGAGAGGTTTGGGGGTGGTCTCGCGAGCACAGCCTTGCGTAGCGCCGCGTCCCTTGACCAGTGTGTACACGACACGTGCTCCCTGCCGGCGGCATGCCAGGCCGCCTCGACCGGCACCGGGCCGCCCCGAGGGGCCGCCCTGCCCCGCCGCACCCACCAATGGAAATAAGTGTCCGAAACGAGAAAACATTAACCGAGGGGTCTGGCCGGGGTTTGACTCCAAACTCGGCCCTGGTTGCTCTGTCTCTCTCGCACTCGCGGGTTGTCCCGTTTGAGTGCGAGAGAGACAGAGCGACGAAAGCGGAGCAGGGCCGCCACGGGGTGGCCAGGCCAGCCAGGGGCGCCAAGGAGGGTGGCCGTGAATACCAAAGCACGCGTTAATAGGCCGCGTCTGCAGACTCATTCCGAGAGTCGTTTTCGTCGCCCTGTCTCCCTCACGCCTGCATGGGACGCCCCACGAGTGTGAGAGAGACAGAGCGACGAAAACGACACCCGGAATCAGCCTGCTGCACTGGCCCGCAACTCCTTGCATGGTTTTTCCCGCTCTTTCACGGCGTCCCATGAAGCCCAGCCCCTCGGAGCGCGGCAAAGTCTCCACGCGAAGTGAACTTTGGCTCAAGGTCGACGGTTGCATGACTTTACTATTCAGATTTTTCATTGTCTTCGTCGGTCTTGGTCTAGTGAAGAGTGGGACAGTTATCGAAAAAGGTTAGTACTCTCTCTGTCTCTGTCTCTGTCTCTCTCTCTCTCTCTCTCTCTCTCTCTCTCTCTCTCTCTCTCTCTCTCTCTCTCTCTCGCATGTGTGTGTGTGGCCGTGTGTGTGCTTGGGCCTTCCCTCTCCTTTTTACTCACACAGTGTGCTGGCGCAGGCGGGACGCGCTTTTGGTCCAAGTTAGTTATCGCGCCAAGTTTGGGAACAACTACAGTGGTGGTAATCCTCCCCGAGATCCTCCTCCCTGCCCTCCCCCCCTCCCTCCCCTCCCCTCCCTCCCTCCCTCCCCTGCCCTGCCCCGCCCTCCCCTCCCCTCCCCTCCCTCCTTTCCCTCCTGTCCTTGTCATCGGCGCTCCTCTCCACCATCGCCTCGGACCTGCAGCCAACACTCTTATCACAAAAACGTGGCTCTGCAGAACTCATTCCGAGAGCCGTTTCCGTCGCTCTGTCTCTGCCGCACCCATACTGGACGCCCCATGAGCGCGAGAGAGACAGAGCGACGATACGACTCTCTGAATCAGTGTAGTGCAGGGTGCCGACCTTTGCTTGGCCCCTGTCTCTGTCAGCCTGCCCCCTCCTTCTCCTTGCACCCCCTTCCCTCCTCCTTCAACTCCCCCTCCCCCTCCCCCCCCCCTCCTTTCACGAAATAAGTCGGCGCGACGTGCAAGTCTGCCGCTAGGTATGATGATGTATGGTGGAGCAAAGGGCTCGGACACCGTCTCCGCTTTTCTTTCTTGTTTTTGTTTTTCTGTTTCGTTTTTCCCTCCTGCTCTCCCTGTTTTTGTTTCGTTTTTCTTTTCCCTGGCCCCGTGCGTGTTGCCGCTCTGCGAGCTTTCGATTTATTGTGTTTCACTCCTTGTCTCAGGAATCCCGTTGGTTGGACCCTCTCCCATTCTTTTTTGGGGGGTTTTGTTTTCTGTCTATTTGTTTTGTTTCTTTACTCTTCTGCCTCCCCCGCCCCACTTGCTCTGACGTCATCGGTCCGATTTCTTCGCCACACGTGAAGCAGAGACTCCGATGCCCCCGGCCGAACTGCAGCACGCTGCATGCTGAGTCGAAACAGCAACGGGCCAGCGGGCCAGCGGGCCAGCGGGCGAGAAGACAGGTTGAGGCGTTCGAAATTCTTGACGCGTTTTGAGCTCCAGAGTCGTTAAATGGGACTCGAACCAACCAACGGGATTCCCACGACAAGGAGTGAAATGACCATGAGGATGCTTCGTCAGAAATTCGGGCTTTCCGGCCCCTCACAGTACGGCGTACTACGAGCACTGTGTTCACAGCGCACACGTGCCGAGACGTCGTGCTTTGTGCGTGCGCCTCGACACGCTGCACAGTGGGCCAGAAGACCGGTGGAGGCGGCCAAAATTCTAGACGCGTCTTGAGCTCCAGGGACGCTAAACAGGACTCGAACCGAACCCTTGACCCCACCAATGGATTCCTCGTTCGGAGAGCAATCCATTGGTGGGGTCAAACGCTCGGTTCGAGTCCTGTTTAGCGACTCTGGAGCTCAAAACGCGTCTAGAATTTTGGCCGCCTCCACCGGTCTTCTGGCCCACTGTGCGCTGCCGCCTTCGCCGCTCTGTCTCCCTCGCACTCACGGAGCGCTACGGAAGCGTGCGAGAGAGACAGAGCGGCGGCACACTGTTATTCCCAATGAGCCTGCTGCATCGCGTCGGCGGGTCGCGTCGGCGGTCGTCGGCGGTCGCATCGGCGGGTCGCGTCGGCGGGTCGCGTCGGCGGGTCGCGTCGGCGGGTCGCGTCGGCGGGTCGCGTCGGCGGGTCGCGTCGGCGGGTCGCGTCGGCGGGTCGCGTCGGCGGGTCGCGTCGGCGGGTCGCGTCGGCGGGTCGCGTCGGCGGGTCGCGTCGAGGGGTCGCGAGGCAGGTCTCTCTTTAATGGCTGCAGGGCGCCTCAAATTGAGCGAAAATGATAACTGAATCCGATCCGGCGACGCGCCGCCGCGGAGGCTGGGGTCGTCTCGCAGGGAAGGGCCAGGCTGGCTGGCTGGCCTTAGGCTGGCCCACCCCCACCCCCACCCCCTCGCAGCGCTTCCGGTGTAAGTCTCCTCTTGCTCGGCCCGCGGACTGACTCCGAGAGTCGTTTTCGTCGCTCTGTCTCTCTCGCACTCATGCAGCGTTCTGTATAGGTGCGAAGGAGGCAGGACGACGAAAACGACTCTCGGAATCAGTCTGCTGCTCGCGTTGTGCGGCACGCCGCCCCTCTAACCTTCCTCACCTCTTCCCTCCCCCTCCCATCTTTTCCCTTCCCTTCCCCTCCCTTCCCCTCCCTTCCCTTCCCTTCCCTTCCCCTCCCTACCCTTCCCTTCCCTTCCCTTCCCTTCCCTTCCCTTCCCTTCCCTTCCCTTCCCTTCCCCTCTCCTCCCTTCAGACAGCAGGAATCCAGCAACGGGTGGCACACGGGGTCGGGACTGGCCCGGCAGCCCTTTTCGAACCAAGAGCGCCATTCAGACACCGGATGCGCGCGTCTTTCCGAATTTACCTGACAAAATTCCGAGGGGTGCCCGACTCTGGTGATCGTGTGTACACTTCGTCTAGTAATCACTGGAAATCACATGCCAAGTGTGAAATGATTTCGCTGCTTTTGTCGTTGGGATTTTTCTTATGAAAATAGGCAAGAAATGCTCGTAACTGGCCAAAATTTTGAAGTTTATGTCGAGTGTACACTCCTGAGCAAAGTGGTGGAAGATCTGATTCAATTTGGGATCATCACAGGCGGGTATGTGTCGGGGCCGCAACGGCCCTTAATGGTAATGTTGTCAAGGAGCAAGGTAGGCCACCCTTCCACCACGAGTGTGTTGCGGGCCAACAACCGCCGGTAACCGCCGGCCCTCTTTTGTGGAAGCATTGATTTGCTTGACACGGTCGCTGATTTTCTGTGGACTCGATGGCTCTCTGCAAAATCAACTTCATCTTACTCAGTTCACTTTACTGCATACTCGGCCACCGGGAGTCCACTTATGCTTCCCAGGGAGTGATAAGTCTGGGAATGACTGTATTGGAGTGGAGTATGCTCCTGCTCTACAAACTCAGACAGTGTATCACTCACGAGAACATTCCCAGGAAATTGTCATGAGTAGTACACCGTTAAGTTTGCTGATTGTCTCCTGCAATGGAAAGGCAACCAAGCAGGCGGGCTGCCTCCACTTTCGACTCGACATTGACTCCATTTTCATTTGCCCCTTTCCGCCAGGAGAATCTTGTTTTGCTCTATACCTATTACACCTCGCGTCCAGTTCATCTATTTTATGGCCATGGCCATCCCGTGGCTCGCTTAAAGTGTGCAAATCCATCTGATGGCGGCGTGAGAGCCCCCGCTGCAAAGCTATAGCGCTGTAGCAGTGTGCCAGGACCTGGACGTTTCCAATTTTCCCCACCCGTTTACTGGACCCGATGCCGACGGATAGCGGGACGGATAGTTTCGTCGTTCTGTCTCGCTCGCACCCCTGAGGAGCGCCCCGTGTGTGCGAGAGAGACAGAGCGACGATTCAGCCCTCCAGAATGGTGCGGCAGGGCCGGACCCTGCCGGTCGGCCGAAGGGCGGCGACAGTTTCGCGGTCGCAGTGTAGAGACCATGGGCTGCAGCCTCGGAGGAGGGAGGCACGGTGGCGGCACGGGGCTGCCCAGCGTGAAGCCCCAGACGCGTTTTGAGCTCGAGAGCCGCTAAATGAGGCTCGAACCGAACGTGTGACCCTACCAATGGATTCATGGTTAAGAGAGCAATCCGTTGGTGGGGTCACACGTTCTGTTCGAGTCCCATTTAGCGACTCTGGAGCTCAAAACGCGTCTGGAATTTTGGCCGCCTCCAACGGTCTTCTGGCTCATTCACAGTGGGTCGGGGCCTTGCTGGCTGCGCATATTTCTCGCTGCGGTTCAGGGCTTAGCTTAGTCGGGACACCAAGTGAGTGATCATCTGACAGAACAACGTACCTTCGTAGGGAATCCCATGGTAGATACACTGTTATGTACGAATGCCACAAGTGAAATACGGTCCATCATGACAGTTTGCCTAGACACAGAAAACAATTTTAATTCGAAGCCATAGTGCAGTTTTTTTTTTTTCAGTCCTTGCCTGGCAAGAAATCCGGACGGCCCCGGGATGAAGGCCAGTAGAAGGGCTGCACCACTGGAAGGGCCTGCTCCTGCCTCCAGTGTATCACGTCGCGGCTCTGTCCTCCGACCCTTCGGTCCTTCGGCCCTGCCACGGCCCTGCAGCCCCCAATAAGTGGACAAGTAAATCAGCCCACCCGGGCAGCTTCCATTTCCTTGTCTAGGACTGGACTGCCCTAGCAGTGCCCTAGCAGTGCCCTCGCGGTGCGCAGAGCTCGCAGCGGTCACAGCGGCCAGTGAAATACTATTGCGTGAATCGGCCACCCTATGCAGACTGAATCAGAGAGGCGTTTTCGTCACTGTCTCTCTCGAACTCATGGGGCGTCCCGTAGATGTGCGAGAGAAACAGAGCGACGAAAACGACTCTCGGAATCAGGCTGCAGGACGCGCCAGGAGATGAGGTGAGGAGCTCGTGGTCGATCGGAAGGGCTGCCCACACTGCCCAGTGATCAACGGTTCGGTCCCCTCCCCAAACGGCTCTGTCTCAAAATTGTAGACAAGGGTGGCAAGGGCGGCTCAAAAAAAGTAACACAGCACAAGTAACTTTTTCAATTTCAATCATAGACTTTATTTACTCTTTATTAAAGCTTTCTGGAAGGATTGAGAAAACGGTACAACACAATTATTCTCCTTACCACTGTGGAGCAGGAAACTAAAAAATGACAAAAAAATTACCGCAAGGTGTTAGTGTATGGCAAAAGGAAGTCAAAAAGGGGCAAAAATGCCATAGTGAAGAAACCTACGCAGTTAAGCTTATCACAGAAATAAACACAGGAAAACACAATGTCTGCAGAAGTTGAGGATTATATCCAGCATTAATCAAGTTCAAAGAATACGTCAAACATTTCTATGTAAATATATTGCTATCAATTAAGCTTCAAAATTAGGTTCTTCCTATGTCTCTAAAGTAGTTTTCAAAAGTCAGCAAAATCAGAAATGTAATGCACACTTTCATATATCTTAAATCTTGCCAGTGTAATAAAAGCTTACAAAAAATTTTAAATACTCAAAACTAACAATACAAGATGCAATTCCAAAGTGACTGAATTTACTTTAGTCAGACTACATTAATATACGTCAATTGTACATTGAAGTTATGGAAGTTGTGAAGAGTAATGAATGTTACAAAATATCAGAACTTGAAAATAAAGATATTAAACTCAAAACAAAATTCTTATTACTTTCAAACTGTCTCTGACGTTCAAACTAGAAAACAAAAAACATATTTTCTGGGAAACCAATTGACACTTTGATGTTCAATATCATACCAACCATTGCAACTAACAAACTTATACCTTGAAGCAATCAGAAAAGTCATAAGCGTTAATGCTCGATGAGCTGAAGTCTAAAGTAACACCTCTCAAGTTTGGACAGAGCATCTGTACGCAGATTCAATACTTTCAATACTGCAAAATAAGATTTGAAGGTCAATGCCTGCAATAACCACACTCCTGTTACTTTCTACCAAAGTTAGCAGCACCAAAGTAGTGGGGCAAAATAATTTTCAAATGAGCGATCCAAAATCATGCAGAGGTAATGATTAATAAGGGGAACAAGGCATTATAGCAGAAATAATGTTGGGCAAGCATAGGCCAGTGCAACCTTACATACATAGAATATGTAGATAAATTAAACAAGTAACTTAAAATAAACAGGAGGAGCTCCTTTTAATAGTGATTTATGATGAGCACATAAACTATTTCATGATGAGGTCAACACTACAGTGAAATATAATCTTTTATACATTAATATACATGATCCCAATATGGGGTATCTATATGCAACACACCATCCCAGAAACCATTCAGAGATTTATAAACCAGAAATCACAGCACAATCTATATCTTCAATATAAAACTCTTAATTAATAGTCTGTATTTAACAGGCTACCTTCACTATTGAGAAAACTCACAAGTTTTGCAAAACTACTCTACATTACACGGTATAAGCTATTCCGATATGCAGAAAAAAGTTGCACACTACTTGTATACAAAATAAAAGATTAGGCAAAGCATTCTGTATTGCCATGGCTTTAACGTTGACCAGTACATCACAAGACATGAGAAAAGTATCCTCACAATAAAAAATCCAGAAAAATAAAGACTCATAGGTAGGTTATTTATATAAACATCTGACAAAGTAACAATTTTCTTCTGAAATTATATGACAAAGGAAAATTTTTCAGACCCAGCAACTGTATGAGTGCCACAAGTCACATATCACAAGGGAAAGAATCAAGTCTGTTTCCTTGAACATGTGTACCACACCATTGTTAATGCTTCATGCTCCCCTGAGATCATCTTAACATAGCCAGAGGAAAATTACAGTAAAATTGACACAAATGTTATATTTGGACACAGACAAAACTGAGCGCATGTTATCCATGCTAAGCTAACGATGAACTCAAAGCAGAACAGATTGATCAAGTACATTAGTACTAGTGTTCTGGCACACATTAAAAGAACCTTTCACCAAATTTGTATTCTTCTTTGAAAGAGGGCAAAGATTGTCAATAAACAAGGTATTTCAAATCATGTTAAACATACTAATAAAGAAACAAAATAGAGAAACTGCAAGACAAAATAATAAATACTACTTACTTAAATAAATGCCAATACAAGTTACCAAACATAATACCAGTATTTTTAACAAAAGCTACAAGCTGACAATGATTTCTATATTTTAATTTGTAGGGGAAAAGGCTTGGCTACAGGCTAAAGGAAACTCTCATTCATCTTCAGAATTCATAATCAAACCAGTAGCTCCTGAACTGTTAGTACATCCATGTGTATAAATTACATACATAATACGAGGGTTTAGGATAAGGGTACGCAAGGGAATGGGGGTGGAAGTTATAGCTAACAAACTCAATTATCATCAATTAAATAGACAGCTGTTCTATTATCACATAAATAGACTAATTTAGTGGTGTTTTGCATACTTCTAAGTATGCTTCTAAATTTTAAGACAAAAATAACATGAGATTTAAACAGAAGCCCTGCATAATTTAACTTCAAAAATAATAAATCAAAAAACGGGCGGGCAAGCTCATTTTCTGAAAGAACTCAACAAGCAGTGAACAATGTTGGTAGTGGTATCATCACTTATCAATGTTGACATTCAGCTTTAAAGTAATACACAGATGTTAGTCTTTGAGAGAAGTACGGTAAGATGTTGCACTCCAAAAGTTTAGCCATCCAGCTGCATGTCACCATCATCATTATCATCTACATCTTCATCACCATTGTCATCTTCTTCAACATATTCTTCCACCTCCATTGGGATGTATCCTTTCCCAAGATGTTGACACTGATCAATGACCATCTGGCAGAGCAGTTTTACTCGCTCGTTCACATCAGTTTCCAAGAGATGCCTCAACAGAGGAATACCATTTTCAGATTCAAGCAACGGACAATATTTGTCAGCTGAAATCATACAGAAACAGATACAAAGTGATTAAACAATAGATGGCAGCAAACACGAGATTTTCTTAAAAGTATGGATACTTACGGTAAACCCTTGTGAGGTTTGCAAGTGCCCATGCAGCCCAATGTTGGCATTCTGGAGTGTGAGACTTCTGCAGAAGGCCCAGGATTGGTTCAAAAGAACGATAGTGAATGAACCTTTGAGTACTTAAATCCCAGCACTCAATAGCGAATACCATTCTTCTCAAAGCTTCAACCCTAGAAGGATCGTCTATAGTCCAGAACTCCTCCCCATCTGATGCCATGTTTGAAAGAACACCAGCAGCATTGTAGCTCACCTACAAAACACAACAAAGGCACAATGTCATCTCTTATGTGTTACCAAAAAAAAACAACACTTATGAACTTAAGCATGAAAATAATATTACCTCAATGCCATCATAATCCAAGAGTTTCGTTATTTCCTGGACAAATCGGCTGTTCATGAGATTAGGGCGCAACCAACTAACCTCTGCAACATTACCCAACAGACCCAACATGTTGCGTATCATTTCTTCTTTCTTGGGGAATGCCTGTTAATTGAAGCAATTTAATAATTTACCACAAAACCATACAAAAGAGATCTTGACCTGAAGCTCCATGATAGAGTAACTTAACCATAAGTTAAGACAACATACCCTTAAGCATCGGAGGAAAAGATCCATGCCATTCCCATCCAAAAACCGTTGACAATTTTTAGGGGTTTCATCAGTTGCATTCCACATAGTAGACCATGCTGTATCAAGAATTTCTCCACTGAGTTGTTTTTTCAACTGATATTCTATGACAGCAAGCATTCTCTGTAAAATTAAATACATGTTCAATTAGTGCACTCTAGTAAGAAATGTTGTAAAATAAAATTTAAGCTATACTTACATGAATAGTTCCGTAGTCGCCCATAAGTTCTTTGTCTTTACTGTCTACTGTGACTGCAATAGAGTTAAGCAAAGTAATGCCATTCCTACGGATTGGACCGTCACCAGTTTCCACTCTTAAGAGCGTCAACTTGACAATACGTTCAAAATAAAATAGCTGCAACAATAACCAAAAGATCAGTTCCACCATTACCTTTCAAACTGAAAAATAGCTATGTTCTGCAGTGTTACCAGTAAATTAGTTTGGAAAGAGCCTAATCACACCAGTATGCGCAGCCAGCTGTCTCTCTCATACTGTCGAATAGGCACCAACTTAACCACTGTGGGCAGAAGTCGCCTAGTAGACAGGATATATTACAGCCCGCCACACACTGGTAAGACTGGAATCATTGTTTCCACTTTTCTGGTCTGGTGACACTGGCACTGTGCTTGTCTACAAACCTCATGAGGAGTAAAGCGCAAAATGAGGGTGAGGATTAGACAGCAGTTCTTCATCATTGTGGCTGTAGCGTGGGCCTCCAATCCATTCAAAAGGGTCCACATGAGTCTTTGCTTTGTTTGAGTGTGCTGGCCCTTTTGCAGGTGCTTCATGAGGTAATACAGGGAGGCACTGGAAAAAACAGAAATTGAGGCATGTCAGGATGGTGGCACAGTATAAACCTTCATCACTTCTTAGGGAATGAGAACAAGATTGAAAGGAAGGTACTTGAAAAGTGACTTTACCTGCCAGTTGTTTGAATGCTTTCATCATTTAAGTGACGGTCCATTATTTGAATGACAGTGTGTAAGCACTCTTTCCAATCATTGAACATTTCATTGCGTAAGATGAAGAAAATTTCATGCAATACATTTTTCAACATGGGAGGTCGTTCCATGTAAGCTGACGCAGCTACTAGCAGTTGCGCTTCATTTGCATCTCCTGAGACCTATAAGGAAAAAACCCAACGCTCAAAACAGTACCTCCTAAATTTCCACAAAAAAATGAAATAAAAGGTGCTAAGGAAACATAACATTGCCCAAGAACAAAATAATACCACATACCACTTTTGCTGGGATGTGGTGTCTGGTGCTAGCAGCATGACTAGTGTAGAATAAACCGAGAAAATGGAGGGGATTGCCTGCCCTTGACACTAAACCAGGTATATCAGAAATTCCATCTTTTGCCATTGCAACGGGACCTAAACAAGTTTCAATGCAAAAAGGGCAAAATTATTAGACAAAGTTTTAAGGAGAACTCTGAATCCACAAAATGCAAAAGAGTTTCATTCATTACCTTTCCCAGCCAGATTGGAACCCGAAATGTCGAGAGATAACAAGTGAGGAAGGGAGGTGACGATTAAATCTAGATAGTAGTCTGGGCGCTTATACATTCTTGGGGTCTCTTTGGGCACTGGTTGTGACAGGTCCAAGTGTCTGGGAAATCAAACAGCAAAGTTTAAAGTCACATTCAAAGTTTCCACATGACAAAAAGTGGTTAAATCCACATTTTTACCTCAAGTTTTTGAGCTTGCACACTGATAGAATTGTAAAATGCATTTCTTTCACATTATACAAAATAAGTGATGTGAGGTTTTCCAGAGCTGTTATGTACGACAAATCACCCAGGTTGCAGCAGTTAGATAAATCAAGGTGAGTTAAGTTTCGTACAGGTGAAATTAAAGATTTAAGTCTGGTTTCACATCCACTTAAGTCATTTATAATTAACTTCTTCAAGTTGCGAAGTTTAATATCAAAGCTACCACTGAAAGAAAAGAAAATGATAATTAAGATGAGAAATATTTTCAACACTAAATCATCTGTCTTGAACAGTTTCAAACATAAAGAATGAATAAAATTAAAATACTTACTTGCTAATACACAGTGCAGGCATGCCTGTCAGCAAACTTCCATTATTTGCTAAAGTCAAAGACTGCAACGAATCTCCTCCATACTGGTTGAGGTACTGAATTAGATTTGGAGTGAGCCTGTCACAATTTCGGAGGTCCAATTCAACCAACTGTTGTGTCAGAACAACAATCAGACCAGCATCTGTGACATCTGCGTTCCGAAGATGGAGGCGCTTTATGTGACAGTTTGTGCAAGCCAACAAGTGATCGTCCACTGTGTAGCCGAGGCGTTGGTACATATCGATGATCGACTCCCATACTTCAATAGGTAACTGAACATCTTTTCTTTTCAAAATGTCAACATTTTCGGCAATGTACTTTAAGCACAAAGACTTGAGCTGGGGCGGGGATTGCGACCACAATGACAGCAAGGCCTGCATCATTGCTTCCCTTTGGTTTTCAATTATTTATTCACATCTGTAACAATCTGGAATAAGGAAAGCAAGATTAAAAACAATCAAAATCTGATATTTTTTAAAGAAAATTATAAAAATATTGCCAAACAGATCCGTGTTGGCAAAACACTCAATAACCTACACTTGAAATATAAACAAACATTAAGCAAGCCTTTGTTCAGGGTTGAAATCAAAGTTTCACCAAATAACAACACACCCGCACTGATATTGGTCCCACAGCGAACCCGAATCACCACGGGACGTCTCAATTTGGTTTCATATGTTTGGGTGGTCATTGAGACATGGCCACAATAACAATGAGATTTTCCCCACCACCATGGAGGAGCAGTCAGAGTCATTCCACAAGACAATAAAAGGGGCAGCGCCAGGACCGAGGTTGGGGCAATCCCTCTCACTGATACCGTCTGGAGGCCGTCCAGTCAGAGAGCGGGGCGCGAGGGAACGCCCGCGACCAAAATGCGAGCCATTTGTTTGTTTTGGACTGACCTTTCGAGAAAGCAGGCGACAGTGACACGGGCCAGACGATCAGCTGTTCTCGTTTCGATCGCCTCGCTCGCCTCAGCGTGCTCCACAAAGTCGCTCACAGCAGGCAGCTTGCGCGCGCCCTGCGACACAGGGCAAGGGCAGCCTCAGCACGGCACATTCGCCAAACTCTCAGGCCTCGCGAAACGAAAAGGTCATGGCGCACATTTACCTATGAAACAATGAAGGATGGATGGTGTTTAGTGTTTTTCATGGATGTTTTCATTCTCACGTATCCGTGTGATGCGCATGCGCAGGGCAGGATGGCGTACACTGCGTCTGCAGCGCGCTCGAAAACATTTCGGACGCACCGCTCGCACCCGCCCGCGGCCGCGCGGCCCGACTGCGACGAGGCGAGCGACTCTCTCGGACGCGTCCCGGGCGCAGCTGCACACAAGGACGTCGCAGCCAACACTCCGCGCGAGGCTGCGTCCGCTGCTCCTTCTCAAACTGTGGCCGAAACCTTGCGTGCAGGGCTCGCGGATCAGCCTCTGTCGGTGAACTGGCATTTGGCACGGCGCGTGGACCAAGGAAAGCTGGAGAAACCCCCGCGACGCCGCTAGCGTTTCGCAGTGTAGGTTGGCAGCCGTGCGGTTTGCTCTATTTGCACGACGCGCGCGGTTTGAACCGAGGTTTGAACGACCCAGCTGACCCAGCCAGCGCGGGAGCATCCAGCAACCAGCCGAGCGATTCAGAAGGGCCGCTTCGTCGCTGTCTCTCTCGCACGGCTACGGGACGCCCTGTGAGTGCGACAGAGACAGAGCGACGAAGCGACTCGTCGCTATCAGTGTGCAGGCAGCCAAGGCGGCCAGAGGCGCGTGAGGATCGATGCAGCCCCGACGGGACAAAGGGGCTGGCGGGGCTGGCGGGGCTGGCAGCCACCGCGGCAAGGTGGCCGTGACCATGGCGGTGAATCCAGTTCAAGGGACGACGCAGACCCGAGGGAAGGGGGCGCCCATAAACCAGCTGGTCTTACTGGTGTTTCTTCTCTTTGAGTTTCACGTTAGCGTTCGCGATTTTTATGCATTTTCTCTCGGTCAGAATATGGCACCCCCTGATTTTCTTCGAAACGACACAGAAGACAACAATAGAAGACGCAATTTTTAAAAAAAACGAAAGGAAGTAAAATTGCGACAAATCCGTCAACAATCCATTCTCGTAACAATGTACCACTAGTCACAATGTTGCTTTTGTCTTTAAAAAAAAAACAGGGATACTCTTTGTGGTTTTGAAGCAGAACCGATGGTGCCGAGACTGTGTAGGCCGTCAGTCGTGCAGCGGTGCGTAGCGGGCGTGCCTACCTCGCAGTTCGCAGGCGCTACGTTGCACAGGGTAGGCAACCAGTCACACAGTGGCACGTAGCGGGCGTGCCTACCTCGCAGTTCGCAGGCGCTACGTTGCACAGGGTAGGCAACCAGTCACATAGCGGTGCGTAGCGGGCGTGCCTACCTCGCAGTTCGCAGGCGCTACGTTGCACAGGGTAGGCAACCAGTCACACAGTGGTACGTAGCGGGCGTGCCTACCTCGCAGTTCGCAGGCGCTACGTCGTTGTACAGGGTAGGCAACCAGTCACACAGCGGTGCGTAGCGGGCGTGCATACCTCGCAGTTCGCAGGCGCTACACTGATACTTTCACCTACCCACACCTGCGCTTACCTCCCCGCAAATGTCCACGCCACGCCCGCCCTGAGGGAGCGCGCGTACGCACGGGCGGTGCATAGATTCGCTGGGGCTGCAACTTGGCTGTGCGTTGGAGCACCGAACTTGAAATCGAAGGCGCTGTTTGAAAGAGGGACGGACATGTGTTGTGCTATGCAGTGCAGTCGTTTGAACCTGAAAAACAGAGGACCATTTGTGACCCACGCTACAATCAAAAACGAAACGTGGTCTAGACTACACCACTGATCCAGTCAAACAGGTGCTGTTTTGACTGCATAGTTGATGTGGTCCAGACCACGTTTGCATGGAAAGATCGCGCCAAACGTGGTCTAGACCACACCAAACCCAGTGGCGTGCGCAGAAATTTTGAAAGGGGGCGGAGGAGGGGGTCACGCCATACTTTTTGCCTACTTACAGGGGGAAAAGTGACGCAATTTGCCTACCTTCCAGGCGGCTCTCTACTGGCCAAAAGAGGGGGTGGGGGTCATGAACTCCTCCCCCCCTCCTTGTGCACGCCACTGACCAAATCACACCAAACGTGGTCCGCACACCACACCAACTGATGCAGTCAAAAAAAATGGCACCCATCTGACCACACCAGTGGTGTGGCCTAGACCACGTTCGGTTTTTCAGTGGATATTTAACGCAATAAAGGACGCAATCTTTTTTGTCCAGGGTATCGCTGTCCCCCCCCCCCCCCCGGTTCCGGTCATCTCTGCGTCGCCCCTGCCGAGGCGCGCCACCGTGAGCGGACTCAACTCGAGCGAGCACCGACGCAGCGGAAAGATAGCTCGGCGTCAGCGCATTCTGCCTCGCGGCCGCTCGCTCTCTCACTTCTACGCACTTCTTCGCGAGTCGCAGAGGCAGAACGCAGCGAAGTCCAGCAGAGTCCAGCACAGAGGATCAGACTGTGACGGTGATTTGAAGTGGCAAGGCCCGCGGCCCGCCGCTTGGTAAGTGGTGACTTAAAAGTAAGAAGCACTGTCGAATCGAGAGGGCAATCCCGGCAACCACTTGCAATTTGTCTGTACTCAAGATTCTTCAAGGGGGCAGGACTCAGAGCGACGCAGTGCGCAGAGCGGATCAGACTGAGGTGGATTTGAAGTGGCCAAGGCCCACGGTTCCCGGCTTGGTAACGCAGGAGCGTAGAGTGGACCAGACTGAAGGGGATGTGAAGTTTCGAAACCCAAGACTCCCGGCTTGGTAAGTGGTGACTTTAAACAAAGAAGTACTGTCGAGTCGAGGGGGCAACCACAAGCAATTTTTGTGTGCACAGGATTCTTCAAGGGGAGAGGACTCGGAGCGCAGGGAGGATCAGACTGTGAAGGCGATTTTGAAGTGGCAAGGCCCGCGGCTTGGTAAGTGGTGACTTTAAACTAAGAACTTCTGTCAACACTGAGAATCCAAACGCTATGAGTACGCACTGTTAAAAAAATCAGTTGTAATTTTCATAACATTGGTTGGCATTTTTATTTTTACAAACAATTGTAATGAAAATTAACATCACAAATGATTGTAAATTGTTGTACAATCACGTTATGAAAATTCATATCATGTTATGAAAATTCAAACCCGCGTTTGCGAGGTCATTTTGGAGGCGTTAAGCAACAGGACAGCTTGGTGTTCATGTATATGAATACCTATCTGGCCTTATGCCATTTTTGGAACCGATTCTTCTTTGGATCAGCGGGTTTCGAACCCGGGATCTTTGACTTGTGGTGCACGCTCTTTACCGCTGAGCTACCACATTCCACGTCAGGCGGAGGGTCAGCTACCTGATGACTCTACAGTTCTACACGCGCCCCTTGGCCACGCCTCCTGAGCCAGTTATGAAATTCACAATCGTATTCGGAAAATTACGATTGTGTGCTCAAAATCAACATTTAAGATTCACAATTTTCAGAACATAATTTGAAAATTACCAACAATTGCCAATTTTATGACTTTCTTTTGAATTTTCGCATCAAGTTATGAAATTTGCGATGTTTGAGAAATTCATGTGCGTGTCCGGAAAATTCGGAAAACTGTCATCAAAATTGCTTTGAAGATTCATAACGTTTTTAACAGTGTACTATAGCTTCAATTGGTGCAATGGGTTTGAAGACGTTACACCCATTGGTGCAATGCTTTTGCATTGCACGTGAGATGCGATGCCGTCTCATGCATTAGCATGGGATATTTTCGGGACGCATATTGCACGCACGTAAGGTGCGATGTGACTGTGGCATTGCACGTGTGGTGCAGCATTGCACCACACGTGTTATGTTCATAGTGTTTGGAATCTCAGTGGAGTCGAGAGCTAGAGCAACCACTTGCAATTTTTCCGTGCACAATATTCTTCAAGGGAAGGAGGATGCAGAGCGGACGCAGAGCGCAGAAACTATCATCAGGCTGAAGGGATCTGAAGTTGCGAGACTCAAGGCTTCCAGCTTGGTAAGTGGTGACAAACTAAGAAGTACTATCAAGTCGAGGGCGTAACCACTTGCAATTTTTCTGTGCATAAGTTTCTTCAAGGAAGAAGGAAGACGCTGAGTGCAGCAGACAGCACCAGAGAGTGGAGACTGAGAAAGGGGATCTGGAGAGGCGAGACCCACGGCGGCTCCTGGCTTGGTAAGTGGTGACTTAGAACTAAGAAGTAGTGTTGTACAGAGAGTTCAGACAGGCGGTAAACTACTGCAAGAAATACACAGGTCGTTGGTTTTTGGTTTGCGCGATTTGGGCGAAACGGCGGAGCCTGAGGGGATGAAACTTGGTGTGGACCGTCAGAATAAGAGTTATTCTGGCTCGGACTAGAGAAATACACTGCAAATCCAAAGGCAATACTTTTGGTACCTGTTTTGGCGATACAATTGAGTATGGCTAATAGACCGCCTTACGGAAAAGTATTAATTGCCTTCAAAACGGTGATACACAAAAGCATCTCCAAAATTTGGCGATACTTCGGAGTATTGCCTCGATTCGGCATAAAACGTTGAACAAATCAAGGGGACAAGTCCTTAGTTTAATGCCGCGGTTTTGGCGATACCCAAAAGTATCGCCAAATTTTGGCGATGCCGTTCTGAAGGCAATACTTTTCCGTAATGCCGTTTGTACCACTTGGTATCGAGAAATTCGTGCAGGTCGTGACTGCTGCCTCCAACTGTACACAGTTAATGTTCTGTACTATTTTGTACGAGACATAACAGTTTTTTGTGCAAACGAACTTTTCGTACAATTTTTGTACGAAAAACTGCCCATTTTTCCTCATTTTTATACAAAATTGCGTACTTACTTATAGGAAAAGTTCGTGTGCAGTGTGTGCACAAAAAAAACGGTGATGTCTCGCACAAATTTTGCACAACATTTTGTGTGACTCACTTTCATCCTCAGTGCACGTCGAAACACACCCCTGTAGTGAAGAGGCCTCCATGCAATCACAGCTCGATCACCACTCCTATTCCTGGTTGACCCTTCGATTAAGGAGGGTTTATACTGAGTTTTCCTACGCTATTACGAGTTTCCTTACGCTATCACACGATTTTTACGCTAAAACGAAGAATCCATCGCGTGTGGTTATACGGGAGCATTCACAGTGCTCTTGCGCTATGACAAGCCCTTACGCTACGCCGAAAGGCTACGACGGGCGGTTGGTTTTAAGCCTTAATCCAACAGGATGTATTTTTCGGCGTGACAGGCCTTTACGCTATGACAAGTTCGCGTATCCGACCAATGGGGAGCCGCGTAAGCCGCGTACGGCCGCGTAGCGTTGGCGTAGCGTACTTAAGCGAACTCGTATTAGCGTACACGGTAAAAACGGTTCCTGGTTTTCCCAGGAACTCCCTGGAAATTGCCTGTCTCTACCATAGGCTTCCTAAAACCAGGTACCGTTTTTACCGTGTAAGGTCCAGCATATGGTCAATAATGTTGCCGTAGCGTAAGACCATCCGCGTAGCGTAAGGAAAACTCAGCATAAACCCGCCTTTACATCCCCATCTCCCTTAAAATAAAACACTCCCAGATGGCCGCCCTCTTTCCTCCTGGAACAAAAGTTCAGGTTCATGCTTGATGGACGACAAACATTCGTCATCATTAAAATATTGTCGAATCTCTTTGTTCCAGACGAATTCATGAGCGCCGCCAGTGAAATCAAAACGAAGCAGATCAAAATGACTACTATAGGAACAGCTTCGTCGCACCGACCTACTCTGACAGCAAAAAAAATGTTCGAGTGCTCAGTTTGTAAAGAGAAGTTTAGTTCAAGTAGTAACCTTCGTGTGCACTTTCGGACCCACACGGGAGAAAAGCCATTCGAGTGCTCAGTTTGTTTTAAGAAGTTCAGTCAAAGTGGAAGCCTTCGTCCACACCTTCGTACCCATACAGGAGAAAAACCATTCGAGTGCTCAGTTTGTTTTAAGAAGTTCAGTCAAAGTGGAAGCCTTCGTCCACACCTTCGTACCCATACAGGAGAAAAACCATTCGAGTGCTCAGTTTGTAATAAGAAATTCGGCGAAGGTGGCAAACTTCGTTTGCACCTTCGAATCCACACAGGAGAAAAGTCATTAGAGTGTTCAGTTTGCAAAAAGAAGTTTCGATTTGATAGTACCTTACGTGTGCACCTTCGCACCCATACAGGAGAAAAGCAGTTTAAGTGCTCCGTTTGTGAAAAGAAGTTTACGAAAAGTAGTCACCTCCGTTCTCACCTTGGCACCCATACAGAAGGAGAACGTCTTGGATGCTCGATTTGCAATAAGATGTTCAGTAACGGAAATACTCTTCGTGCCCACCTGCTTCGTTCCCACACAATAAAAAAGCAAGCTGAGTGTTTAGTTTGTAACAAGAAGTTTTCTGCTGATAACCTGCGTGTGCACCTTCGAACCCATACAGGAGAAAAACCTTATGAGTGTACAATTTGTAAAAAAAGGTATAGCAACATTCGTTTGCACCTCCGCACCCACAATGGGGAAAAGCCATTCAAGTGCTCTGTTTGTAATAAGTCGTTTAGAGAAGCTGGTAAACTTCGCTTGCACCTACGGACCCATACAGGCGAAAAACCTTTTGAGTGCTCAGTTTGTAGGAAGAAGTTTAACCAAGGTAGTCACCTTCGTAGGCACCTTCGCACCCATACTGGAGAGGAACCATTCGAGTGCTCAGTTTGTTTTAAGAAGTTCAGTGAAAGTGGAAGCCTTCGTTCGCACCTTCGTACCCATACAGGAGAAAAACCATTCGAGTGCTCAATTTGTAATAAGAAATTCGGTGAAGCTGGTAAACTTCGTTTGCACCTTCGAACCCATACAGGTGAAAAGCCGTTTGAATGCTTAGTTTGTGAAAAGAAGTTTAGTATTCATGGTAACCTTCGTGTGCACCTACGGACCCATACAGGAGAAAAACCGTTTGAGTGCTCAGTTTGTAAAAAAAAGTTTCGTACAAGTGGTAACCTTCATGTGCACCTTCGGACCCATACAGGAAAAAAGCCATTCGAGTGCTCAGTTTGTAATCAAAGTTGTCGCCATGATAATGGATTACGAAATCACATTCTTACCCATACAGGAGAAAAACCACACGAGTGCTCAGTTTGTTATAAGAAGTTCAGTCGAAGTGGAAACCTTCGTTTTCACCTTCGCACCCATACAGGAGAAAAGCCATTCAAGTGCACAGTTTGTTACATGAAGTTTAGCCAAGGTGGTCACCTTCTTTTGCACCTTCGGACTCATATAGGATAAAAGCCGTTTGAGTGCTCATTTTGTAGAGAAACCTCGAGAGAAACTGAGTTTTGATTGTAACCTGCGTGTGCCTTCAGAACCAATGCCCAAGGAGAACAAGCAGGTCAAGGTGAGGTCATAATGATGTCTAGGATGACATTCTGACGTCAACACGACATCCTCCAACATCAGTTTGAGTGCATTTTGACATCGTTTTGACTTGCTGTTCTCTCTGGGTGCAGGAGAAAAACCACGAGAGTGCCCAGTTTTTTTTTATAAGGAGCTAAGCCAAGGTGGTCATTTTGGTATGCAACTTCGCAGTCATACAGGAGAAAACCAAGAATGTGCTCAGTTTGTATTAGAAGCCTAGATGAGGTGGTTCCCATCTTGTGCACCTAACGTAGCAGCAATTGACTCAATGGAAAACTAATATAGTGAAAAAATTATGTGCTTGAATTGTAAAGTCCACAACAGGGCTTTTGTAAAGTCCACAACAGGCCTATATGCTCCATGGACACATGCTTTATTCGCAATAAAAAAAAATTCGTGATATCAGATTCAGTCAACAATTGTGGTAACACGCCACGTTCTTTTAAATGTAATGCCTCTTTCATCAATGTAACAGTCTGACAAAATTATTCTGTTATTTTCTTCGAAATGGACTTGCTTCGAAGGGAGGATACGGGGCACAAAAGAATCGTTCTGCAAACAAAATTTTAGTTAATTTTCTGGCAGCTGATTTTTTTATCGTGAGGGCAACAGTTCGCTCAGATTAGGGGTAGGTTACAAAACGCGTACTTTGCACTGTACAGAAGTTACAGATGAGAATTTAAGTAACTATTCTGCTCTCTGTAACTTGTAATCTAGTCAATGCCCGATGAAATGGATCACTTTTAATTTATTGTAGTTTTCCACTTTACATTTGCCAAAATAAATGTGATTTCGGTACTTCTCGAAAGTGGAAAAATGAAACGGGTAAGAAAAGAACAATATCCTGGGGAAGAAAATTACAGGCATTGGGGAGGAAAAGAACGCTCCATAATAACTTGAAGTGGGATGGATATTAAATTGAACACGAAAATAGATTTGATTTAGCGAGACAAGCTAAAAATGTCAACACGTATCGAGGGGTTCTTTTCAAAAGATCTTATCTGGGCGTTCCCCCCAGGAGAATCTTATCTGAAACGCTTGGGAATTTCACTCATTTTGATCATTTTTGGGATGCACACTAAATGGACAAAAAAAAAGTCCCGTGACATTTAGTGTGTGGATACGAGAGAAAGCGGAATATGTTTCTACATGAACTATTGGTTTCTTTGAACTTTCATATTCAAGTTTAAGTGAATTAAATCACAAATTATAATGATTTGTAGCTGATGATCAAACTGAGTGAAATTCATCTTTTTTTCTAGCTTAAGAGCATGAAACGGTACTGTTTTTCAAAGATGATGGTCTAAGAGGTGGTACCCTACTTGCTGGCGGCTGATTCTGTTGGAAGCAGCACTGCGAAGTACAAACATATTTTTTTAACCGTGCAGTTTGTTTGTAAATATTAAATGTAGAACTGGGATAAATCATGAGACTAGGACTAGTCTAGACTAGACAAGGACTATTTTTTTGTCGGCGGAATGACCCATCTTTCCAAAAGCACTAATACGGGGGTTCAGTGTTGTTTCATTTCGGAGGAACAGCAGGTGTTCTTTTTTTACCCAAGCCTACACTGTAAACTAAACGTTGTCAAATTTGTGAGACTACTTTTGGTTGTGACACGATCTTTTGTACAAATCATGTACGAAAAATTTCACATATTTCCCAGAGCAAAAGGAAAATTTTTCGAAATTTCGTGTCACAAAACTGTGGCCCCCAAAAAATTTTGTTGCCCACATCCCTTGTTGGGAAAACTTTGTTCCTGACAGAGTGAATTTTGTCGCCAACAACATTCCCGCTCCCAAGTCATAAATTTTGCAAATTTGGACCGCAAGAGTTTAAACATACATTGCCCACGTGATCATCCGGTTGGAGTTGTAATAAATGATTAGGTGTACTGACCTCAGAAAAAATCACGGAGACTGAAATGGGGCATCGGACCTGCATTACTGAAATGTCAGACCAATAACCTTTTGACCACTGCGCCGACACTTCGCCCACTTTCGTATGACGCTCGGTCTTACTTTTTTTGACCGTATTTCGGTCATACTTTTGTACCGCCGTTAGCGGAGGCCCTCGCTTATGCATTTCATTTGTGGCAAGTTTGAGGAACCCGCTGGAACCACAATGAAAGGATGCTAGGAAGGGGTGGGCATGGGGGCCTCCGGAACTCCAATCCTGAAAATTCCCTTTATAGTAGGACCCGGGAACTTTAGTTGGCCAAAGGCACAAGGTACCGGAGACTGGGAAGGGGCAAAGTGGGATGGAGCTCTAGAGCACGAATCACCCACCTTCATAAATTTCCCCCGTGTACGCTTTTCGCCCGGGGCACAATAGAAAATAGTCGGTAAGGAATCGACGTGTAAATTACCTCCGTGGCCTTAACAGTGTCCTTTTTCAACGTGCCAAAAGCTACGCTGGGTGCACCAACTTTTGGAGATTTTCTCCATTGAAATTTGTCAAAATTTAGGCAGTGTCTGAATGGGTTACAATCATTGCAACCATTGGGACATTTTACCATAATAGGAGACTTCCTTACTCTCTAAACGTTACGTACAACTTTGTACGAGACATCACAGTTTTTTGTGCACACGATCTTTTCGTACAAATCATGTACGAAAAATTGCACATATTTCCCCTATTTTGAGCAAAATCGCGTACAAATTTGTACGAAAATTTCGTGTGCACAAAAACTGTGATGTCTCGTACAAAATTTGTACAAAAATATTTAGTGTGTTCCCAACCATCCCTTGTTGGGAAAGCTTTGGTTCGCTGACAGAGTGAATAGTTTGTTCGCACAACAACAAAATTTCAGCTCTCCGAAGATCAAATTAAATTTAGTTGGAAGGGCAAACTTTTTTTCGTGTACATATGCTGCGAATGAGTTTAAAGACATTACAATTGTCTCAAGTACACAGTGATCATCTACTTTTTCAGTTGAAATAAATGTAATAATAGAGTAGTAATTGACTTTTGGTTCAATTTGTTCGTAGCTACACACTAAACTCATGCGTGTTCAGTATACTGAAAATAGGAAGGTCATAACTGTGACCTTTAAAAGTGTCATTACTGAAATGTCAGACCGAAAAATGGTAATACTTTTTTGTGTCAGAGATAAAGGTCTCGCCCAGTCTCGCTGCCTGACACTTTTTCGGTCCTACATTTCAGTATGACCCTTTTTCGGTCTTACATTTCTGTATGACCGTATTTCGGTCATACTTTTTGTACCGCCAATAGTTGGTCGGAGGCCTCTCCTTTTGCATTTCAGTGTACTCCGTGAAGCACAAGCTTGTGAGGGTACCCGCGATGGGAGACGACAAAGACGGATGCCAGGGAAGGGAGATCGGAGACTGAGATCAGGGGAGCGGCTCGACTTCAAGTACCTGAAAAAAATTCCCTTCGATAGAAATAGAAGCCGGCGCCTCTATAGTTGGCCACGGCAGGGGCAACGCCGCCTCGGAGGGGCGGGCGGGGAGACTGGGGGAAGGGGGGGGGGGGCTGCAATGTCACCGTGTTGTATTGGATGCGTCGCTAGATGCACTGAATGCACCGAGCTGCACCTTTTGCACCTAAAATGCTGTGCCGCCGTGTACGTCTTTTGCGCCCGGGTACACAACCTCATGAAAAATGAGTCGGTATGAGTTGAATCAGACGTCTAAATCTACCTCCGTGGCCTTAATCTGTGTTCACTGTTTTTCAACGAATGCACAGTAAATGTCTTACGCTGAAAGGCTGCACCAACATAATATGGTGGAGATTTTCTCCATAATACCAACGAAATTCGTCAAAATACCTATAAGGTACAGTGAATTCTGAATGGTATGTTACGAAGTCAGCTGCACCACCATAATAGGGAACATTTTCACCATAATATGGAGAATCTTCACTGTAGAACATTTAGAGTGTGTGACGTCATATTCGTCAATGTGACTTAGTGTCACATTCTCTTGCACACTGTGAAAATTTGTTGTCACTTTATGACAGAATCATGGAGGATATTTTACACTCTCAGCCTTTTACTGACTATTTCTCATTGGCAGACGCATTTCTGTAAGTGTTCCAACGAACGTCAATCAACACTTTGCAAAAATCCTGGATCCGCGGTTGCCGCACACGGTGCACGGATGTTCCGTTCCGTCCTCACCGAGGATCCCTGCACGACGCCGAACGACTGAGAAATTTTGTGCACATCGGATAGGGATTACCCCGGATAACCCGCGGATTACCTCCGGATTACATTGAAAAATTTCCAGGATTACCATTGGATTACGCCGGATTACATCAAAATTTCCGTGGATTACCCCTGGTGTCTTTAGAACTTTCCTGGATTACTTCCAAATTTCTGGTTATCCGGATTACGGGTTACCAATTTTCTGTATACGCCGGATAACCGAAGTCGTTTCCCCCTCGCTGCACCGTGATCGACACAGGTCCGTCCAAAGCGAGCCGCCGTCGCAGCGACTGCAGCGTGCACCCCCAGTGCGGCGCTTGCCGACTGGTTCCGAGAGTCGTTTTCGTCGCTCCGTCTCTCTCGCACCCATAGGGTGTTCCTAATAGGTGCGAGAGAGACGGAGCTACGAAAACGACTCTGCTGCAGCCACTCTGGCGGCGTCGCGTCACGGCTCGGCGCCGCGTTGGTCGGGACTCGGGCGCACAGTGGGCCAGAAGACCGGTGGAGGCGGCCGAAACTCTAGACGCGTTTTGAGCTCCAGAGTCACAAAATGGGACTCGAACCGGACGTGTGACCCCACCAATGGATTCCTCGTTCGGAGGGCAATCCGTTGGTGGGGTCACACGTTCCGTTCGAGGCCCATTCAGCGACTCTGGAGCGCAGAACGCGTCAAGAGTTTTGGCCGCCTCCACCGGTCCTCTGGCCCACTGTGGGGCGGCGCAGTGCCACGCAGTGCCACGCAGTGCAGAGCACCGACACGGCCCGATTCGTGTCAAATGGCGTGTTCGGTCTGCAAGTCGCCCGCCATCTCGCGCCCTCTCTTTTGCACGTCAAAATAGACGGGCATTGAGGTGTAGTGCCCGCGCCGCGTGCCGAGCGGACTTCCCCGCGTCGGACGAGCCGTTCCATACTACGGCTCCTACACTCTACCAAAAATGTCCTGTCAATGCCGTTAATTTATTACCAGTTTTCACTGTAGGTCAATTCACAGCGTTTACTGTGATCTGCTCACGGGATTCACTGTGATCTGGTCCCCAGTAAACACTGTGAGTTTGACGCCGCTGAGCACTGAAGTACTGCAAATCAGGCTCCAGTTCACGGCGTTTACTGTGGCCAGATCACAGTGAACACTGTGACCGAGATCACAGTGAACGCCGTGAACTAGTTCACAGCAAACGCCGTGAATTGCATAACAGCAAACATTGGTAATAAATTAACGGCGTTGACGGGACATTTTTTGTAGAGTGTAGGGGAGGGGAGCTTCACCCGCATGCACAGGAAGGAGCCTGGGTGACCAAGGTGCCCAGACTCTGGGCATACCAGCTTTACCGAGGGGGTAAACACTCGCGTAATACCCTGTACACAAAAAACGTGTATTACGCGTAATGCACGTAATTGTAATACCATTTTTGGGCCAAATATGCCAATTTTGGCATTTTAATGCCGTAGTGTAATATCCCCGTAATACAGCGTAATACCGAGTACTCTGTACACGATTTCTTAGAGTGTTTACCCCCTCGAGCTTTACAGTGTACTTGGCGAGAAGTCTGTGTGTAAACTGCATAGCGTTGGGGGATGGAGTGGTGCGGGTGCGTGCAGGTAAGGCAGTTAGCGGTAGGCAAAACTGCAACGCAGGCGCCACTGCAACGCAGGCAAGGGCAGGCAACTTTTTGCACAACGCCGAGGCCCTTCGTGGACCATTATTGGGCCCGCGGCCAGGAATCCCTCACGGGCCTTCAATCTACAGACTGATTGCGAGAGTCGTTTTCGCGTGTTTTCGTCGCTCTGCTTCTCTCGCACCTTACTTGGGACGCCTTACAAGTGCGAGAGAGACAGAGCGACGAAACCGACTCTCGCAATCAGTCTGGTAGAGGCGGCGGGCGGCGCCACGGGGCGTTGAGCTTCTTGGCTTCTTGCCTACCTCCAGGCGTCCAACGCGCCCAACGCGTCCAACGGGGCCTTTGTTTACCCCCGGCACGCGTTCGCCACGCGCTCGGGCCGCTCGGCACGCGTGGCGTCGCGAGGACTCCAACTAAATCGAGCCGGCCTCTTCAGAGGAAACTTGTCTCCCCGACATGCCGCCCGCTACGCTATGCATACGCACCGGGGCGTGGCGGGGCGGGGTGCGGCGCGGCGGGGCGGCCGCGAGGATCGTCGCCGTCGGGGAGCCCGTCGCGCCCGTGCCATCATTCCCCCGGGAGCCTCCGCGTCGGCGCCACGGACGTCGCCGCCGACACGACCGCCACCGGCGTGGACCCGTCCGCAGGCCGCGCCCGCGCGATGGTCGCGTAGTCGCCGGTCCAAGAGAGTCCAGCGGCCACGGGCACGAGGACCATGTGCGGCAGCAGGATCGAGAGCCCGCTCGGCGCGTGGGGCGTCGTCGTCCTCGTGGTGCTCGCGTCCTTCTCCGCGCAGGCAGCGCAGGTGAGTCACTCCACCCCATCTACAGATCGAGGGGTCTGCCACTGACTAATATGATGTACACACTAAATGTTATGTACAATTTTGTACGAGACATCGCAGTTTTTGTGCACACGAACTTTTCGTACAAATTTTGTACGATGAACTGCACAAATTTCCTCATTTTAGTGCGAATTTGCGTACAAATTTGTACGAAAAGTTCGTGTGCACCAAAAAAACCTGTGAAGTCTCGAACAAAATTTGTACAAAAACATTTAGGGTGTACAATTGAATGTGAGTGTCCACCCTAAATGGTTTTGTACGAATTTTGTACGAGACTTGACAGTTTTTTGTGCACACGAACTTTTCGTCCAAATTTGTGCGCAAATTTGCCCGAAAATGATGAAATTTGTGCAGTTTTTCGTAGAAAATTTGTACGAAAAGTTCGTCACCTGTGATGTCTCGTACAAAATTGTACACAACGATTAGTGTGTACTGAGTTTCCACCGTTCCATGCACTGTAAAAAATTCCGTACTATTGCACGGAAATGGTACAGAAAAATAAAGTACGGAGGTACGAACCCATGTAAATGGGTACGGAAAAAAAAGTACGGAAGTTCCGTAGTTAGCTAGTACGGACGTTCCAGGTGTTACGCCAGGACGTGGCGCACGCATATTTTAGCTTTACCTAACTTCAGTGTAATTTTAGGTATTTTGAATTCCATCAATTTTGTTTCTAATAATGACAGAAATGTTCACTATCAACAACATAACTGTGATTTTATTTAAAACGAGGGATACGCTTTTTTCAACAGCTGTAACTAGGTGTTCCGCCGTGGGACACTCAGTGCAAAGGTCATTTCGCGGCCGCATTTTGCCTCTAATTGGTGACTCCTTTTAAAGTTTCTGATTGGGACTTCAAGCTGAAGGTTCAATTGATGTGTTCCATGCATAATATATAGCACCTGCCTCGGCACCAGCAGATGCATATTGAGTACACACTTCAGTTTGTTGTCTACTTATGCACTCAGTGTACAGTTTAGTTTGTGGTGGGCTTGACCGGCCGATAGAGTTAGTGGTTCACCGTCCGGCGGAGGCTGCCAAGGCTGCGGACTGCCGTGACGTCACGGTGTGAGTGCGATAACGGCGAAAAGAGGAAACAAAACGAGTCCGGTCGATGGCATCTGCCTCTGTCGTTGGCTGGACCTAAAACTAGGAACCGGGTTTCTTGGAAAACCGGAAACGAGGATCCGGTTTTCTAAGAACAACGAAACCAAAGAACCGGATTTCTAAGAAAAACGGGCGGAGGAACCGGGTTCCAAAGTTAAACGGAACCGAGTAACCGGGTTTCTAAAGAACAGCGAAACCGATGAACCGGGTTTCTAAGAAAACCGGGCCGAGTAGCCGGGTTTCTATGAAAAAACGGAAACAAGGAACCGGGTTTCTAAGAAAAACGGAAACGAGGAACCAGGTTTCTAAAGATCAACGAAACCGAGATGTTTTAAGAGTGTCACCGCACTGGATACTCATTTTTCGAGTCCATTAATGATTCTCTTTGGTAAAGTTCGCCAGTTAGCCTTTTTTTTTCAATTGCAGCTGCGGCCGAGAAGGGATGTCCTCGACTTTGCTGCGTCCGCGGAGAACGAGCTGGGCACGGAGGGCGTGGAGCCGAGCACCCTCAAGTCGTACCACGACAGCAAATGGGTGAGTCAAGCAAGAACCTGCTTCATCGAGAAGGAGGGGAATCGACTTAGGAGATCCTAATGAGAGCGCATTCAAAAAATTTGATTTAGCGGTCGCCGATGCAGAGAAGAATTGTGTTGAATTTGAGTTAGGAAAAGAGCTGGTTGACGCGACGACGACATAGAGCAGCAGCACTACCGTTTCGGTTCGTTCATGCATGTGGGAAGCTCCAGGCCAGGGTGTTACCTATTTTTGAGTCCTATCCTTCCTCAAGAGTTGTATGCTGCAAAGAGGCGTGTCAAATACCAGCTTTGTTACCTAAATTTACTGACACTTCCTGCTCTTTTTCTTTCAAAATTTTGCCCCACTTTGAAGTTATTAAGTGGTGCGCGGTGGCAGGCCATCTTTACAAGTGTAGGACGGCCGACTGCAGCGAAAGAAATGTTTTAGTCGCCGCGATAGTTCAACGCGGTCGCGCCGCCTGGTCATCCATTCATAAACTCGCCTTATCATTCTCTGATAGGCCGGCTCGAGTAGAAATTAAAATTCTCCCGGCCGCGCGAGGGCTTCGTAGAAAACCGGAACAAAAACGTTGACTGTCTGACGATGTTGGTCTGTGGACTGGGGGAAGGAGGGAGGAAGGAGGCGGGTGAGGCCAAGCTATCGTCCGAATGAGGTCTGTGTCACAAAATATGTCTAAAGCATGTAATGGGGTCGCCTCTCAGATGCGTGACAGTAACCTCTGACTCACGCTGACCCCCGCCTCACTCCTTTCCCCCCCTTTTTTGCTTGATTTCGCCTGATGTTTACCCCGCCTTTGATAGGCACAGGTCCAACTTTTCACATTTTCCCCAATGTTCGAGACAGAACGCGCCCGAAAGGGACTGAGACTGCATCGGATAAACTCTAAAAGGTCAAAATAGCACAAGTGTGGAGAGATCTGTACGAACTCCGGAAAAGGGAAGGCCGCGTGCTGTACTTCCTTTCATTCACACGAAAAATAAAATGAATTGGCAATTATGTGATACTTAAAACTTTCAGGTGAATTCAATATCTTGGTTCCACTCTCATGCCATCATCATCATCAACGCTGTTAGGCCTCAGCAGACCTCTAGCGTTCGAGTTAGCAACTACAACAGGAACGTGACAAAATGTCACGTACATTTGAGTATTGTATCACGTTCGTTTGAATGTGAACAAGTTGATTTTTTGCCAATTCACACCCAAATGATTGTGACACAATGCTCAAACGAACGTGACAATTTGTCACGTTCGTTTCAACGTGATGTCACGTTCCTGGAATGAGAGTGTCTGTAATCGACTTTTCGGGGCATAGGCCTCCTACCAAGGTGCAAGTGCCCAAGAGGGAGAGATTCTGACAAAGGTGCTTCGGTGTTGCTTGCCTGTTTCAGAACGTTGTAGTGTATCGCGATGTCCCGAGCCAGAGCTGCTACCTGGAGAGGTTGAACAGCTCGGCGCCTAGCAGTGGCGCCAGCGGCCGGACGCTGTACGTCTCGCAGAAGGCGTTGTCCGAGACCGAGGTGAGTGCGGTGTGCCCAGGTGGGTAAGAATTGACCACGATTCACCTGCCTGCCTATCTCAGCCTGACGAACTATCGGCTTTGTTGATGAGAAGTTGCCTAGTGGTAAGGCTGAGGTAGGCTCTCGGGTAGGCTGTCCATTCGACGCTGCTGAATCGTGGGCAATATAATTGTTGACGACTTATCTGACTTCATTGTGCAGCCGGACCGTTGCTGTTCGTTGCTCGCGTGGCACAGTGGGTCAGCAGACGACCGGCGAAGGCGTCCAAAACTCGTTTTGATTTCCCAGAGTGGATAAACAGGACTCAAACCAAAGTGTGACCCCACCAATGGTTTGTTCTCCAAACGAGGAGTCCATTGATGGGGTCACTCGTTCGGTTTGAGTCCTAGCCACTCTGGATCTCGAACAGGCATCTACAGTTTTGGCCGCCTGCGCCGGTCTTCTGGCCCACTGCGCGTACGCCGCTCTTGCACCACAACCCAAATGCCCTCTTCCAGCTGGTGCGGGCGGCAGGCCCCAAGGCCGCCTCCTTCTGCGCGGGCCTGCAGGCGTGGCTGCTGGTGGAGGAGCAGCCCCCCGCGTCGTCGGCCACCCCGTCGCCGCCGCGGTCCCTGTCGCGGCGCCGGCGGCAGGTCCTGGTGCAGGGCTCGCAGCCCAAGAAGCACAAGGGCCAGACGCAGACGCAGTTCATCGCCTTCGGCAACGGCAAGGATGGCGGCACGGCCGAGGCCATCGCGGGCGCCGACGGCACGTCCCGGTCCACGGTGCGCGGCGTCAACGGCATGGGGCAGGCGCAGAGCCAGTCCGGCGTCGACGAGTGTGAGGGCTGCCCCGGCCAGGGCGGAGCGGGGGCCCCCGGAGCGCCTGGGACTGCGGGAGCGGCGGGAGCGGCTGGCGCTGGAGGTGAGCAGGATGCTGGTGTATGCACCGTAAGCCGAGGTAATGAGACAATTTCGGTGTAATATGAGACGCATGATTTCTATCGTTAGAATTGTAATGCTAATGGCATTTGATGAGTCATCTCTGTCAAACTTCACGGCGAAAAACAGTACCAGCTAGAGTAATTAATTTTTTACAGCAGTGGCTCTCTTTGTGACAGAATAGCGGGCTCAGAGTGAGTTCTACGCGAACCAAACTCCGTTTCATATTACCCCGAAATTGTCTCATATTACCCCGGCTTAAGGTATATATACGTACATACATACGTACCCAATTACTCACAGATCAAGAAAAGCATTCGTAGAACGCAAGTAGATATATTAAGGCTAAGTAGCACAAATGGTTCACCACCCCGAAACTGCGGGCATTGGTCAAGGCCCTCGAAAAGGGGCATGGTTTTAACCGGGACCATAAAGCAAAATTTTGAGGTCCGAAAGGCATGAGCATATTTTTTACAACGTGAAAGAGGCGCGAAAAACTGAGATGCCCTGCATGGCGTAGCATTTACGCCTGTGATTCATAGTGATTCAAAAGGACCCTGAGTAATATACTGTAATTTACAGGTATACCTGGACTTGGTGGTGCCGCCGGCGTTGGAGGTATTCCGGGAGTAGGCGGCTATCCAGGAGCTGGAGCGGGTGTCGGTGGAGCGTACCCTGGAGGCGTCGGAGGAGTGCCTGGAACCGGTGGTGGCGTCGGAGGAACCTATCCTGGAGGCGCCGGTGGTGGCGTCGGTGGAACCTATCCTGGAGGCGTCGGAGGAGTACCAGGCACCGCCGGTGGTGGCGCCGGAGGAACCTATCCTGGAGGCACCGGCGGTGGCGTCGGTGGAACCTATCCTGGAGGCGGGGCTGGAGGAACCTACCCTGGAGGCACCGGCGGTGGCGTCGGTGGAACCTATCCTGGAGGCGGGGCTGGAGGAACCTACCCTGGAGGCACCGGCGGTGGCGTCGGTGGAACCTACCCTGGAGGCGTCGGTGGCGTGCCCGGCACCGCCGGTGGTGGCGTCGGTGGAGCCTACCCTGGAGGAGTCGGTGGCGTAGGTGGAGTGTACCCTGGAGGCACCGGTGGCGGCACCGGTGGAACCTACCCTGGAGGCGTCGGTGGAGTGCCTGGCAGCGCCGGTGGTGGCGCCGGAGGAGTCTACCCTGGAGGCACCGCTGGTGGTGTCGGAGGAACCTACCCTGGGGGTACCGGTGGCGGCGCTGGTGGAACCTACCCTGGAGGCGTCGGTGGAGTGCCCGGCACCGCTGGTGGTGGCGCTGGAGGAGTCCACCCTGGAGGCACAGGTGGAACCTACCCTGGAGGCACAGGTGGTGGCGTTGGAGGAACCTACCCTGGGAGCACCGGTGGCGGCGCTGGTGGAACCTACCCTGGAGGCATAGGTGGAGTACCCGGCACCGCCGGTGGTGGCGTGGGAGGAGTGCCTGGTACCAGTGGCGGTGCCGGAGGAGCCTATCCAGGAGGCACTGGGGGCGGCGTTGGTGGAACCTACCCTGGAGGCACCGGTGGAGGCATCGGAGGAACTTACCCAGGAGGTGTCGGTGGAGTACCTGGCACGGCCGGTGGTGGCACCGGAGCAGTTTACCCTGGAGGCACTGGTGGAACCTACCCAGGAGGTACCGGTGGTGGCGCTGGTGGAACCTACCCTGGGGGCACCGGTGGAGGCATCGGAGGAACTTACCCAGGAGGTGTCGGTGGAGTGCCCGGAACTGCTGGTGGTGGCGCCGGAGGAGTCTACCCTGGAGGCACCGGCGGTGGCGTGGGAGGAACCTACCCCGGAGGCACCAGTGGTGGCGCCGGTGGAATCTATCCTGGAGGCGGTGTTGGAGGAACGTACCCCGGAGGTGTCGGAGGAGTACCAGGCACCGCCGGGGGTGGCGCCGGGGGAACGTACCCTGGAGGCGTGGGAGGAGTGCCCGGCACCGCCGGTGGTGGCGTCGGTGGAACCTATCCTGGAGGCGGCGTTGGAGGAACTTACCCCGGAGGTGTCGGAGGTGTACCAGGCACCGCCGGTGGTGGCGCCGGGGGATCGTACCCTGGAGGCGTGGGAGGAGTGCCCGGCACCGCCGGTGGTGGCGTCGGTGGCACGTATCCTGGAGGCACTGGCGGTGGCGCCGGGGGAACGTACCCAGGAGGCGTCGGTGGAGTGCCTGGCACCGCCGGGGGTGGCGCCGGTGGAACCTATCCTGGAGGTGCTGGAGGAACCTACCCTGGAGGCACTGGTGGCGGCACCGGTGGAGCCTACCCTGGAGGCGTCGGAGGAGTGCCCGGTACTGCCGGTGGTGGCGCCGGTGGAGCCTACCCCGGAGGGGTTGGAGGAGTTGCTGGTACTGGAGGAATCTATCCTGGAGGAGTGCCTGGAGCCGGAGGTGGGTCCACTGGAGGCTATCCTGGTGGCGTCGGTGGCGTTCCGGGCACTGGCGGTGTGGCTCAATATCCCGGGCAAGGAGCCGGAGGCGGTCAATACCCCGGCAAGCAGGTGGTCAGTATCCTGGGGGTGCTGCGGGTGGACTATATCCGGGCGCAGGAGCTGGCGGGCAATACCCTGGCCAAGCAGGAGGCACCGCTGGTGGCGTTGGAGGAGGTGGGTATCCTGGTGGGCAAGTACGGATTCCAGGTGTGCAAGGTAAACCGGGAGTTTTGTACCCTGGCTATGTTTCAGGTGGAGGCCAAGGTGTGCCGGGTGGTGTTGGTGGCTATCCTGGAGGAGCTCAAGGTACAGGAGGTGCCGGCGGCGCATATCCCGGCACTGCGGTTGGTTTCCCCGCCGGGACCGGGGCTGGAACGGTAGGAGGACAATACCCTGGACAAGCGGGAGGCGTTGGCACAGCGGGAGGCCAGTACCCTGGACAAGCGGGTGGCGTTGGCGGCGGTACAGCAGGTGGCCAGTACCCTGGACAAGCGGGTGGCGTTGGAGGTGGTACAGCGGGTGGCCAATACCCTGGACAAGCGGGCGGCGTTGGAGGTGGTGCCGCAGGAGGGCAATACCCAGGACAAGCAGGTGGCCAATACCCTGGGCAAGCCGGTGGAGTTGCAGGAGGCCAATATCCTGGACAAGCTGGGGGGGTTAAAGGAGGAACTGCAGGAGGACAATACCCAGGCCAAGCAGGTGGCCAATATCCTGGACAAGCAGGCGGCCAGTACCCTGGACAAGCTGGGGTTGTCGGAGGAGGAACTGCAGGAGGGCAATACCCTGGACAAGCGGGTGGAGTTTCAGGTGGCCAATATCCTGGACAAGCAGGAGGAGGAACTGCAGGTGGTCAGTACCCTGGACAAGCTGGTGGTCAATATCCTGGACAAGCAGGTGGCGTTGGTGGGGGCGCTGCAGGTGGCCAATACCCTGGACAGGCAGGTGGGACTGCAGGAGGCCAGTACCCTGGACAAGCTGGTGGTCAATATCCTGGACAAGCAGGTGGTACTGCTGGTGGTCAGTACCCTGGACAGGCAGGTGGTACTGCTGGAGGCCAATATCCGGGCCAAGCAGGCGGAGTTGCTGGTGGCCAATACCCTGGACAAGCAGGTGGCGTTGCTGGTGGTCAGTACCCTGGACAAGCAGGAGGCCAATATCCTGGACAAGCAGGTGGCGTTGCTGGTGGTCAGTACCCGGGACAGGCAGGAGGTACTGCTGGAGGCCAATATCCTGGACAAGCAGGTGGAGTTGCTGGTGGTCAATACCCCGGACAAGCAGGAGGCGTTGCTGGTGGTCAGTACCCGGGACAAGCAGGAGGAGTTGCAGGTGGCCAATATCCTGGGCAAGCAGGAGGCGTCGCAGGAGGTCAATACCCTGGACAAGCAGGTGGTACTGCTGGTGGCCAATACCCGGGACAAGCAGGTGGTACTGCTGGTGGCCAATATCCTGGACAAGCTGGTGGCATTGCAGGTGGACAATATCCTGGACAAGCAGGAGGCGTCGCAGGAGGTCAATACCCTGGACAAGCAGGTGGTACTGCTGGTGGCCAATACCCTGGGCAAGCAGGTGGTACTGCTGGTGGCCAATATCCTGGACAAGCTGGTGGCGTTGCAGGTGGACAATATCCTGGACAAGCAGGAGGTGTTGCCGGAGGCCAGTACCCAGGTCAATCAGGAGGAGTCGCGGGTGGCCAATATCCTGGACAAGCTGGGGGCGTCGCAGGAGGTCAATACCCTGGACAAGCAGGTGGAACTGCAGGTGGCGTTGCCGGAGGCCAGTATCCTGGACAAGCGGGTGGCGTTGCAGGTGGTCAATACCCTGGACAAGCAGGTGGCGTCGCGGGTGGTCAATACCCCGGACAAGCAGGAGGAGCAGCAGGTGGTCAGTACCCTGGTGGCGTCGCTGGAGGCTATCCGGGAGGCGGCGTTGGCGGAGTTCCTGGATCTGGTGCTGGAGCTTACCCCGGCGGTGGCGTGGGTGGGGCCTACCCGGGAGGGGCGGGTGCTGGCGCTTATCCCGGTGGAGCTGGCGGCGCAGGCGGCTACCCAGGCGGTGCTGCTGGCGGAGTTGGTGGCACTGGTGGCTACCCAGGCGGTGCTGCCGGCGGAGTTGGTGGCGCTGGTGGGTACCCTGGCGGTGCTGCCGGCGGCGCAGGGGCGGTGGGCGGCGTCGGTGGCGGCGCTGGTGCTATTGGCACCGGCCCGCTCGGCTCCAACGAGGGCGACGCCGTGGCCACGTCCAGCATCTCCTCCACCCCCGACGGCCTCACCAAGCTGGAGGCGTCGTCCAAGGGCCGCTTCGGCTCTGGCGTCGCGCACACGGCGGTAAGAACACTGAGGACACAAAGCTAAACAAATTTTGCTCTTACATGGTGTAAACAATTGCTTTTGGAACGGCGGGAAAGGGCGTAAATCAATGGACTCGTAGTCAAAATTTTAATAGGTGGAAAGACAGTTGTGCCGTGAAGCGCGTAGTTTTCATGCCTTTGTTGTACTAGCATAGTTGAGCATGCTTGACCCAGCCCCGCCCTATGAACACTAAATCTCTTTGAACAGTTTTTGTTCGTGGAAGCCCAAAACTGTGTGTCTGACAATGCAAGCCCTTTGTCATGCACAAAGTTGTGTGAGGCCACGGACAATTATTGTACCACAATGCATTTACTGCGAAGCGAAGCCAACCCGGTAACTTATTCCATTCTTTCCCCCTGTCCCCAGGTTGACGGCAGCTACTCGGGCACGGGCACCTTCGCGGCGTCCGCCCAGACCGGCGACGAGCTCAAGTCCTCCAAGACGTCGGTGTCGGGCTCCCCGCAAGGGTCCTCGAGTGTAGCGCAGTCGCATGGAGGACGCGAGCAAGCGCAGACGCAGGTGCGTGCGATAACAAGAACGGAGTACAACACTTATACCATATATTCCCTCCATAAACTCAAAACGCCCATCGTGATGTCATTTTGACTTGACTGCTCCGTTAGTATTCCCTGTTCTTTGAGTACACGTGAGCAACCGCTACTTACCCAAGCTATTCATATCGTCGCGACTTTCATGTAAGAACCAAAGGACAGGCTGGCCATGCTGGCTCGTGAGCGGGGGAGGTGCACTGTTAGTTTGGCGTGCTGTAAAAAGGGGTCGGGTCACACGTTCGGTTTGAGTCCCATTTAGCGACTCAGGAGCTCACATCGCAATCCGTCTCGAATATTGACCCAACCGCCTCCACCGGTCTTCTGACCCACTGCGCTCCTCCCCCTTCTTTTGGACACTAGACAGGTGCCTGGAAGGTAAGCAAAATGCGATGCATTCCGCGTTGAGGTACGCAAAAAGCGTCTATTAACATGACACCCCCACCCGGGGTCGGCAACTCATATAATACTTCGTACGCGGTGGCTATATTACCCGTATATTACCTGTATATTACCATATATTACTTTCATATTAACACAATTTCGCCTCTATAATACCCCTATATTACTATATATTACTTTGTATTACATTATATTACACATTATTACCTATATTACTGGTGATATACGTATACGCCCTCGCACACGGCCAAGGGAAGTTGCCGACCCCTCGCCCCCACCCCCACCTCAAAAAAATTCTGCGCATGCCTCTGCCTTTGACTGCGCCGCGACCACTGCACTGCACTGCCGGCTCTCCGCAGGTGACCATGGGCACGGACGGCAGCGGCACGAGCGCCTTCTCCACGAGCCAGGGCATCACGTACGGCACCAACACGCAGGTGCAGGCCGGGCTGGGCGGCGGCATCGCGGACGCGCAGAGCCGCGGCCCCGGCGCCACGGCCTCGCAGGCGCAGATCGGCTTCCTGCCGCGCAACCAGGACCAGCCCAACCCGTACCGCGGCGGCGGCACGGCCGTCTCGCAGTCCGGCCCGCTGTCGGGGCTGTCCACGGCCGAGATCGAGGGGTCGTACCGGTGAGTGCGCTGGGAGACTTTGTTGTCATTGGACGGGAAGGAACAAATAGGGGATGACATTTTCGTCGCTTCAAATGGCGTCAGTTTCGTCACTTTAAAATGGTGACATTTTCATCACTTTGAAATGGTGACATTTTCATCACTTTGAAATGGTGACATTTTCATCACTTTGAAATGGTAACATTTGCAGCACTTTGAAATGGTGACATTTTCATCACTTTGAAATGGTGGCATTTTCATCTCTTTAAAATAGTGACATTTTCACCACTTTAAAATGGTGGCATTTTCGTCACTCTAAAATTGTGACATTTTCATCACTTTCAAATGAGTGAGTGAGTGAATGAGTGAGTGAGTGAGTGAGTGAGTGAGTGAGTGATAGTTGAAATGAGTGAGTGATTGAGTGATGAGTGGTGAGTGATGAGTGAAGAGTGAGTGAGTGAGTGAGTGAGTTGGTGACGATGGTGATGAGTGAGTGAGTGAGTGAGTGAGTGAGTGAGGATGATGAATGAATGATGTGAATGAATGAATGAATGAATGAATGAATGAATGAGTGAGTGAATGAGTGAGTGAATGAATGAGTGAGTACATGAATGAGTGAGTGAATGAATGAATGAATGAATGAATGAATGAATGAATGAATGAATGAATGAATGAATGAATGAATGAATGAATGAATGAATGAATGAGTGAGTGAGTGAGTGAGTGAGTGATCGCTCGCTCGCTCGCTCCTGCGTCGCTTTGCCTCCTGATTCCGCAGAATCGTTTTGGTTCCGTTGCTCTGTCTCTCTCACTCCCCTGCGGGACGCCCCAGGAGAGCCACCTAGAGCAACACAGAGCGTCGTAACGATCCTTCGGAATCAGTCGACAGGTGCTGTCCGGGCGGTTTCTATGACCGCGGCGCGTGGTCCACGATTATGTGTGGTCCAGCCCTTAATGGTAATGGTCCCGAGTTCCCCTAAGGCGCAGATAGGCAAGCCCGCCACACTGCAGCGTCTTGCATGCGAGAATCGTTGCCTATCCGCAAGGGGCTCGTGGCCAGCTTTAAGAATGCAGCAGATCTGGACGTTGCTTTCGTCCCCCCCCCCCCCCCCCCCCCTCTCTCTCTCTCTCTCTCTCTCTCTCTCTCTCTCTCCTCTCTCTCTCTCTCTCTCTCTCTCTCTCTCTCTCTCTCCCTCTCTCCCTCTCTCACTCACTCACATGTCGTCCGTATTGCTGGGAGAGGGAGAGAGACAGAGCGGCGGGTCCCTCACGCGGTGTTTCCGCCCCCAGGTACGGCATCGCGTACAAGGGCGGCGCGCAGGCTGCCTCCGGCCGTCCGCTGCCGCAGTCCACGATGCGCCTGCAGGCCATGAAGGCCCTGAACGAGTCGCAGACCGTCGACGAGCAGTACCGCGTCGAGAGCAACTCCACTGGCATCGGCGCCATCACCGGCACCACCAGGACCGCCGGCGCCAGCCTCACGGAGCACGAGGTGGAGATGCTGGCCCGGCAGACGGCCGGCCACCACATCGTCTTCAACGAGACCCTCACCATCTCCACGCGCAACGAGACCGTCACGTTCGACTCGACGAACCGCGAGCACTCGCCGGCCACGCCGCCGCCCGCGCTCCTCGGCCCCGTCACCGGCCCGCCGGCCGCGGGTGAGTTTGGGCAGCGAGATCGGGCCTCTTTGTGAAGCGGCACCGCACATTGGGCCAGAAGACCGGCGCCGGCAGCCAAAACTCTAGGCGCGTTTTGAGCTCCAGGGTCGTTAATCAGGACTCGAACCGAACGCTTGACCCCACCAATGGATTCCTCGTTCGGAGAGCAATCCATTGGTGGGGTCAAACGCTCGGTTCGAGTCCTGTTTAGCGACTCTGGAGCTCAAAACGCGTCCGGGATTTTGGCCGCCCCCACCGGTCTTCTGGCACCGCGCGCGCCGAAAGGGGAGAGGGCGGACTGCATGAGCGTCTGATGACATTCTTGTCAGGAGAATTGTCAACAACGAACACCCAAAATGTTGGCGGTGTTGCGGCAGGTTCCACGGAGGACTCCAGCGAGGAGCCCAACACGCTGCGCGGCGACACCACCTTCACGCCGCCCCGCCAGGAGCAGCCCAGCACGCTGGCGCCCTCCCCGGCCCCCGCGCCCGTCGGCAAGGGCGGCGTGGAGGAGTTCGACGAGTACGAGGACTACGAGGACGAGGAGGAGGCGGACCTGAGCGACGCGCACCAGGTGGGCCAGCGGCCGCCCAAGTACCAGGACGGCGGCGCGCGCCTGCCCGAGCGCGGCGACCTCTTCTCCTCGCGGCCCAAGTCGGAGACGGAGAGCGTGGCGGCCGGCCAGCAGAACGCCGTCAAGGACGCCGCCAAGGACGCCGTCAAGGACGCCAAGGGGAAGCCCGGCAGCAAGAAGGGCCGCGGCAGGAAGAACATGCTGCGGCAGGGCGCGCGCAGGTACAGGCAGAGGCACGGCCCGGGGCCGCAGCGGGGCCGGCACGGCATGGCCAGGGTGTACCGATTCTGGGGTGCTTCTCTGGACTGACTGCACTTGTACTGACTGAACCGGGCGCGGCTCCTGGGGGTGGGTTTTGGGGGTCAACCCCTCCCTTGGGTACTGGATAGGCCGCCTGGAGCGTGGGCAACATGCACTGTACCCCAGAGCCGTACACTGGGCTCCCCTTAGCAAAATTCTGGAGCCGCGCTTGCTGCACTTCTTGCTCTGACTGTACTTGTGCCGACTGTAGGTACTTGTACTGACTGTAGGTGCTTGTAGCGACTCATACTGACTGCAGATACTTGTACTGACTGCAGGTACTTGTATACTGACTACAGGTACTTGTACTGACTGTACTTTAACTGACTGTAGATGCTTGTAGTGATTGTACTTGTGCTTGCCCTGACCGTACTTTGCACTGACTGACTGTACTTGCACTGACTGACTGTACTTGTACTGACTACTTGTGCTTGCCCTGGCTGTACTGGCACTTGCCCTATGACCGTCCTCTGCACTGACTGACTGTACTTGCACTGACTGACTGTACTTGTACTGACTGTACTTGTGCTTGCCCTGGCTGTACTTGCCCTGACCCTACTGCACTGACTGACTGTACTTGGCTGCCCGGACAGGAAGCTGGACGCCAAGAGCAGCAACCGGGCGCTGGTCCGCAGCGGGGACACTGTGAGCGGCCCGGTGCCGGACGGCTTCATCAGCGTTACCAAGAGCGTCACCGGGCATCTGCCCGCCCTGGGCACGCCGTCGGCGGCCATCACGGCGCCGGGGGCGTTGCCGGGGACCGGCACCGCGGCCGCGGCGGACGGCGCCGACCCCAAGGCGTTCGCGCACACGTACTACACGGCCGCCTCGGCCTGCGGCTTCTTCAGCTACGCGTGCAACGAGGTCGCCGGCGAGACGGGCAAGACCAGCATCTGCAAGCCCGGCGCCACGCCCACCCGCATGGACGGCACGCCGTGCTGAAGGCCGGGAAGGGCCGGCCGGCAAGCCAGGCGCGGATCCAGGGGGGAGTGGTGGGGGTCATCATTCCCCTCCGTGGGCACTACATAGGCTAGGCCCCCGCCTGGACGGTAGGCAAAATGCAAAATGCACTGCTTTTCTCCTGGAGGCCGCCCAGCAATACTTTACCCCCATCCTCATCCTTACAAAAATCCTGGGTCCGCGCCTGCTGCAAGCCTGCAGCCACCCCGAGCTGATGGACGGACGCGAAGAGTCCCCCTGGATTCGGACCCAGACCCAAATCTGGGGAGGAATAGAGTTTCGTTCCGGCGGTCCAGACATATTCATAAGTATTTTACTTCATGTTATATTCCATGTACAAAATTTTGAAGTCACCCTGCTTTGGTCTCAGACGACATGACAGTCTCACATAAACTTTGTACAAACCCATGACAGACTGTATGTATAAATAAGCATTTTCTTTGATAACTCATTTTCATTAAGGTGCTGGCGTGTTTTATAGAAAGTTAGTGGCTTCATATTTGAAATAAAAACATGCTGCTAGAGCATGTTGAGAGTGGACTTCCCTATGATAAGAAAAGTGTAACAATGCTGACACATAGGATGCAGTAAGAATTGATGTTTTGTCTAATATAATTTATTGTAGAGTTTTCTTACCAATACAATATCAGAACAAATCACCGAAGCAATTGATAGTATTATTGTATGTACCTAATGACCACATGACAGCGTTCAGACTTCTGGCAAAGTCGACTGTCTGAAGCACCTGAGCCACCAGTCGGCCGCGACTCACAGAGCTGTGCGGCTGCGGCAGCAGTGGCCGCTTGACTGTCGGGGCTGCTACTGCTGCAGCCGAGACCGCCGATTCGTTCTCAGTTGGAATTCTTCGCCTGCCAACTCAGTCGCTTCAGTCAGTCGACCTGGCCAAAAGTCCAAACACAGCCACATGATCGCCAAATTACTTGTGAATACATGATTCATATTTACGATCAATAATTCCATAATCTCAACTTCTAATGCAAATACACAGGCCTATTTGTGAGACTTTATAAATTCTATGGTTATTTTAGTGAGTCTTTGTTATTAATACACGAACTTTATGTTGTTCAGAAAAGGCTAAGAACCAAAGTAAGTCCTGCAAAAATCTGAAAAAGCAGTGTTTGACACTCACATGTGCAATTTAAAGTCAACAATTTCAGGTACAAAGGTCCCTTTACTTCCTGCTTGTCCAGTTATACAACACCACATTCACAGAATAATTTCTTTCATTAATACTTGAAGTTTCCCTTCACTTTCACAGAAACAGAAAATGCTATCTAAATATATTTGAGCAGCTTCAAAGGAAGTTAAAGAAAGGAAAAACACAAAGGAAACATTTAAGAGTCAATATTTCAGTATATTTCCTTGAAAGTGACACATTAGGCAATCAAATTTAAAAGAACACATGAAGGCAAATAGAAAGGCAAAGTCATACGAAAACAAGTTAGAACCTTTCACCCTAAATTGACTAAAGAATCTCCAAGGCAACATTTGGAATAGAAAAACAAATGCGATGCAGGAACTTTTAGACTACTTTGATATGTTTCAATGTGTCAGTTTTCAGTACTTTGGAAGTCTTGTTGATTGCGTTAAAGCGTTACTCTAAACAAATATTTATCCATTCAGAAAACAGATACACCATAGTGTACACAGATGATATAGTACTATACTTATCACAAATCTGTTGGCTGGATTAAAATTCAAATAAAAAGAAACAAGAAATAATGGAAATTGCTAAACATCTAAGTCTGTTGCTGCAGCTAGGAAGGAATTGCAGTACTGATAATTATATACTGATAGTATGATACACTGGCGTGCACAGTGGGGTAAAGACTCCAAAAATATACATTTTAGTGCAAATTTTAGACAGGCCGTAGAGAGTTGGGTAAAATTGCACCCAAAATTAGCCCTCCACTCCCCTTAAACCTCAAACTGTGCACGCCAGTATGATTGTTCACAGGAGAACAGCAGTGAGGAAGAATTAAAAAAAAGTTAATGAGTAATGCGGAGAGAGCAGAACTAAGTCCCACCATGATCTATTTTGTATTATAATACATGACATGTTGGCCACATTTTGACTAGGAACAAAACTTGATATAAAAATCAATGAGACATAGACCTAAATAAATAGTTAAAAACACAATATAATACAACAATGAGATTAATACTAAGATTATTGCTGCTGAACATAGGCTATAACAGAAACATATTAACAACTTACAGTAATTACAGCAAAACCAGTGCAGGAACAAATAATGCCCCTCAATGTGTAACATTCATAGGCCTTCAGCAACTTAATTTCTCTTATAATAACATTACTTTTTATGTTGCCACCATTGATGGTTTAAAGTCATTTCTAAAGTATTAACATTGAAGCTCACATAAACAAAAAAGCCACAATCTTGTGACCATAGCCAGGGGCCATTGCATTCAGATATTTATGCTATTCAGGAATTCCATCTAGCACACTTCTTATATTGCTTTGAGTGGATATTCCGTTTGGGAAATTACTTTAAAATTCGAGAAGAAAAAAAAGAAAGAGGGTAGAAGACAACAAGTATAGAAGCCAAAAATAAATAGATCACCTTCATTACCAACATTCAAAAATGTTATATAACTTGTAAAGCTTGTATCTCTCTTACTGAGTAGCATTGATCTGAAAATAACAGTGAACTAAGGTGCTCTTTAAGTGTTTTAAATAATTCTCTTAGTAGATTCACATTCATATCACAGAAAACTATGACGTTATACAGACATACTGAGCCCAAACGAATAAACCAAGTCAGTCAAAACTATGCTACAAATCGATAAACTTAACATGCTGGTGCAAGTAAGTTCATAAAACAGAATTTGTCTAAATTAAAATTAAGGTCTACGACCCATAAAAAGTAGTGGAATGTATGCCACATTGAAGTTGCTTAGATACAGAAAAATATGAGAAACCAAAAAAAATAATTACTTAGGCATTGACTAGAAATGCATTAATGCTTTCATATTTAATACAAGTTGAGATCATCGTCGTCGTCATCATCGTCATCATCATCACTGCCTTGTTCAAGCAAGTGTTTAGGATTCCTTATTGACAGATGACTCGAGGATGTAGAGTTTCTGAGTCTGGAAAGGAAAGAGCTGTTAGATGGGCGAAAACAGGAAAAGGTAAAGCCTACATAATTGTTAATAAAAGAAGAGAGAAAGACAAAGGTAAGCTAGAAAGATATTAACAGACAGAAATGGGAAATATTATTTGCCAGGAAGTGTTAGTTTACCAGCGCATTAAGAAGAAGACAGACCATCTCCTTCACCTTCTTCATCATCTGCATCTGGTTCTGCCTCATCATCTCCATTACTGCCCGATGGTGAAGCTGAGTTCTCAGTATCACGTCTAGATTGTGATACAAGCAATACAAAGAGTCAAGACAGAAAAAGTTAGTAAAGCTTAGCCCCGTTTCCATCATGATTATCACACAGATAGGTAAAGATGAAAGGCAAAAGGCAATTCACAACGGATTGAGAAAACAATAAGAAGCTCTTGTATAGTTTTCAACAGCAAGAAAACTCCTTGAACTTACCTAGTTTGTGTGTGGTCTAGTTGAACTTGTAAACTCTCAACTTGTTCTTGCAGCTCATCATTAGTCCTTTGCAGTTTCCTGAAATGCCAAGAAATAGCCATGTGAGAAATCGGATTGTAGATAAATTCTAAAATTTTGACAACCAAAAACCCCAAATATCATTTTAAAAATTACCTTATGTTGTTTGAGGCTACATCAACTTCATCTTCGGCAATGGCTAAATCACGCTTGAGCTCCTCTACTCGCCCTCGCAGGCGTTTCACTTCAGCTTCATACTGCTCAGCACGGCGTGCAGCATGGGCAAGCTCTGTTGCCTTTTCTTGGATAATTTTTTTAAGCTTGTTTTGAGAATGTTTCAGACTTGATAATTCCTTAAAGTAAAAATGAAAAATTAGAGAGGTTTGTACTTTTTTTTCTCAGCTTTTACTGAAAAAAGCTAACAAACAATATTGTTCTCATTACTAACATTTGAAAAAATTGTTGTAAACTTACCTTGGTTCTATCAGCTAGCTCTTGCTGACATTGTCTCAATTCCGCATCAGAGGAAGCAGAGGTTGGTTTGGCACGTCGTTCTGCAAGCCGTTCTTGAACATCCTTCAATTCTGCCTTAAGTTTCTTATTATCACGCTCCAGCCCCAGCTTCTCGGTTTCAAGACGTTCCCTTTTACCCCATTCAACAGCATTCTCAGCTTGCAACCTCTCTAGCTGCAGGTCCAAGAAAATGAAGATTAACTCAATGTTGTAATGGAGAAATATTTAAGATTGTCTATAGAATTTGATGCAAACTACAATTCAAAGTCACCTCTGATCTGAGATCCGCCAGACGACGATCCATCCCCTCTCGACTTGATGCTTCATCTTGAAGTTCTGCTCGAATGTGTCGCACTTCATCCTCTTGAAGAGATTCAAGCTGGAGTAAGTCTCTCACTGCTTTTTGTCGTTCTTGCCACAGATCCTCACATCTAACTTTTAACTCAAGCAGTTCAGCTTCCAAACGCTCAATCGTGTTTCGCCTGGTCAATTTCTCCCTAGAAATAGATTATCAAAAAAGCTATATGAGCAATTTCTGCAGAAAATTGAAAAATAAAGAAACACGAATGAAGTTTCTTACTCATTTAGTGTCTGTATAGTTTTTGTAGCTTCTTCCAGTTTTGACATAAGTCTCTGAATTAATATTTCACGATCTGGGGATGAAGAACAGGCTGACACTGAACGGTTGTGATCGCCCACTCGTCCTCTGCGCCCTCGCTCTTCCCCCGGTTCACCACCAACACTGCTACCACTGCCCACATCATAATGTGAGCCCAAGGTATCCACTGCATTTGGTGAATGACTCCTCAAGGCTGTGATGTAAGAAAGCAAACAAATTGAAAAGAGAAAGAACTAAGAACAAGCACGATCCTTAATCCTTACCTATGGTTCCCTTTAAAACATACCTTTGCCATCTTCAGTTGCAGCTGCATCAGGTGATTCAAGTCCACCCCGGGGACAAAGAAGGCTGTCAGCATTTTCTTCCGCGTCAAGAGCATTTTCTTTGCCACTTGAGTAGTACATTTCAACAGCATGCCGAGGTACTGCTCCCTGGAGAACATACTCCTCTATATTCAGCTCTCTGCACATCTTGTTGTGCAGGTCAGCAGTGCTTTTGCGAGAACTGTCAGACTCTCCACCATTCCCATTGCAGGCAGTAGGGCTTCGGCTGTTGATGGATGCTGCCTTTGGTGATGGCAAGCTGCTGCTGCTGACAGGCGAGGAGCCCGTAAGTCTGGCTGGTTTCTGAACTGTCAAATCTCTCTCAGGATCCTCATGGGCCAATGCTTCCACCAATAATGTCTGATCATCATGTTTTAAAAGAAGGAGGTGGATTTTCTCTAGTTCCCTCTTCAATCGATCATTCTGTGTTTCCAATTCAAGCTTTTCTCGTTTGAAGCTATTTCTGTCTTTGATAGCCATTTCAAGTTTAGAACGTAGCATCTTACTTTCTTCTCGGGCAGAATTTCTTTCATTTCGTACCTGTAAAGATATGATTATTAACGAAAGGTTCGAAAAGAACATCAATTTCATTAGCAAATGACAAATGAAGTTCACACCTTGCTCCACTTTTCCCTCCAGTTAGCAGTACAATCGGACCACCAACGCATTGTTTTTTCCATCTGTGCAGCCCGGGCACGGGCTTCCTCCAGTTCCCTTTGTCGATGAGCTTCTTTTGCTTCCCATTCTGTATCACCATGCCTACCAGATGGCATGGATAAGGAACCTGTCTCATGAGAGTGGTTGTGATGGCCATGTCGCCGAGAAGACGTTCCTCCAGGCATGCTGACACTGTGTGTTTGAGCCATCCTTGTCGATTACAGCCCCACTCAACACCTATTTGACATAGTGAAGATGGGCACAAATAAAAAAGATGAAATAAGACATCTACGAAATAACAATATAAATCAAGAGTCGTAAGAGAAAAATCAGTTCGAGCTAAGGAAACATTATTCAGCACAAAAAATTAAAAGTAATAGAAATTTATAGAAATGGTTATGTGAACATGAACTGTTTGAGCTGTCATGAAAAGAGATAACAGAGAGGGACAAGATAGCAGGCCCAGTATTAAAGAGGGAATATTAACGAAGCTTTCAAATAATGTCACAAAGAAATGGAAAACTGTAATTTTCACTAAATGGCAAATAGCAGTAGCAGCCACCTCCCTCGACGTAAACAAACTTGTCAACGAACTATCTTACAAACGAAACATTTCCGAGAAAATCTACTTCACGAACCTAGGATCAACACGTCAATGATTCCGTTTAAACAAGCATATAATTCCAGACATTGGTAAATTTACACGTCGTCTAAATGGAATAAATTAGGGCTTCCGACACTACTCCCAAACGACTTAAAAAAAAAAACAACCCACTGGATCTCGATCATACATCGAGAGTCTCGAATATTCCGACCGGTCGTAGCAGAGTCGACTGATCGAACTTCATTCGAGTCCGGCGCGGGGTGGTGGGGGAGGCGCGGGAAGCAGCAAGTGTGTTGTCAATATTTATACTTCATCTTCATCTGTGATCTTGCATAATGACATTAGGCCGTGTGAGGCAGTAGAAGCACTTCAAGCGAGTGCGAGCCTTGTTCACCAGCATACACTGTAAAGAATCATCTTCAGGCATGGGCTGGAACTTCCTAAGGTGTTTCTGTAGCCAATGCCAGCAGTAAACATAACCATACCTCGTCCGGCACTCTTTCATTCATTGTCAAGTTCAGTGGGTCTGGAAGAAAACAACATGATTGCAGCTTCAGAACCGAAGGTGGTTCTTCTTCCAGTTTCAATTTTTGTGTCTGTTGGTGATGTACTTACTTTAAATGAAACTTTGTCTTGACACCGCTCTATGCTGCAGGTCTTTGTGCCCTGTGGACGTGAAAGGTTGCAAATTCATCCAGGCTCTGTGATACTTCCTTCGACAAAGCCTCAACTTCAGCCAGAATCCCACTTGCTACACCTCTTGAGTCAAGTCAACATCTCTGACACCTCTGATGTGAGAACATCCAATGATCATTTCTGGGCACAACTAACACAACGGCTCATTTGAAATTGTTATGTTTATATTGCTGAAATTATTGTTTTCAGGTGGAGTGGTGGGTCTTACGAGAGAGTCCAGAGTATCCTCAATGCGAGGAAGAGTTATATGTTCGGGGCAAAACTGTAGTTTGGAGCAGAGGTGAAGGAGCTGATCCTGGTCGTACAGATGTCAATGGTAGCCGCAATGTTGTCATTTGCTGTTTCACTGTTGAGACAACTGTGTCACATGCCCTGTGGACCACATTTCCGACTACTCCAACTGACAAGTCTTCTTCAGAAGGTTCAACAGGTATGAGTTCAGAGGTCCTAGTGTGTAATTGATATTGAATGTTTTAAACCTCATATACAGTGCTAATATTTTTTTCCGAACTCTCCTCTTCTTGGTGCAGGAAAACCTATGTCTTGTGTGTGCATTGTGGATGAGAGTAATATTAAAGCATTCTCATCAGAGGGTGAAGATTTCATAGCATCCCTTCAATTCAAACTCCGCAGTGTGTGGAGCACAAGTCATGGCCTTCTGTTGGAGCGTGCTACAGGTAACAGTGAAGATGGAAGACTACCAACTCTGTTTGCTCTCTTGCACCCACTTGATGAAATCACTCCTGTCATTGTAAAGCAAGGTATTCTATTTATTATTCTCTATTATAGTATTTTCTTGAACCAACTCAATTCATGTCTAATAGATCTTCGTTTTCCACATCAGGGAGCGTGAACTTCATGAGTGATCCTTATCAGCATGTTGTATTTTGCTCGGACAACCCCCCTATAGTGATGATGTATGATTCTAGAAATGGCGTCCACTCCATTTGGAAAATTAGGAAGGCACAGCAAGAAGTATGTTTCACATTTTATTGTTAATTTCTCTGTGATTATTTGAGTCACTTGAGATGAGAATGAGCTGAAATTGATCTGTTCCTTTTTCTTGCTCAGGAAAGTCAAGCAATGTGCGGAACTGAGAGCTCTTTAAACCTATCATCATCTGTTTATCTCAGTAGTGGAAATGTTAGTACGTCTTCCAATGCTGGATTGCACCGTAGTTTGTTTGGGAATTTGTCAATGAATCCTGGTGTGAGTAGTCCCTACAGTGGCAACAACCAGTCATTCTGTAGGCCTCAAAGTCCTGTTCCCTCATTTAGGTTTGTACAATGAATAATTTACATAATTTCTGTTTAATGACTGTTACTGTTCAGTTTTACTTTGTATCTAACAAATGTAAATCAATAGATGTCAGTCTCCTGCTCGCTCGCCTCAGTCATGGATGAATCGCTCGTCAAGAAATTTTCAGTCACCTTCTGGGCCATCTAGTCCTTCATCATATCAAAGCACCCCATCACCCTCTGCTTTCAGTCGACTCTTGACTGATAATTGTGCACAAGATCCACGACCCGTATGTCCTCAAATTTGTTTAGAACCTGTCTGGACTGAGAACTGTGGATCCTATGGGTAAAGAACACCTTATGTTATTTTTTAAAAACTTTTTGTCAGCTTCAGCTTTTTACTCAAATGTTTCCTTTATTCCAGTGATGGCATAAAATCGGCCCCAGCTAAAAAAGCTTTCTTTACCACTGATGTAGTTGGACAGACCTACCTGTGTTACCTTGTTCCGTCCAGAAGGCAGTTGTTATACTCACGTTTAGAAAAAACAAATGCATCAGAAAAACTTATATTCGGTATAACGGCTGGTGTTCCGGCTGTAGATGCTGCACCTATAACAGTGAGTAACACACATCAAGTCACATACTGACATTGCATTAAGTACTGTTATAACAAATCAATTCTCTTTTTATCTCTTCTTCAAAAAAATCATTTGCCAGCATTTAAGCATGGTCGTAGTCATAGATCCAAATGGTAGTGTGGTGCTTTATTCTGGAACTACTGTTGTGGGAAAAGTTCATGTACCTGGAATGCCTACTCAGATAAATTCTTCCTTTATTCCCATGAACCTTCTGCAGCAGTTTGGATCACCATTCCCAAGGTTCTAGATTTATGTCCTTATTTACAACCTGGGTTACATTCTGAACATAATTACTAATGTTTCCCCCTTTTTTTTCAGGCGAAGTAGTTTGTTGCCTACTATTCGCAATTTGGCAACACCTCATGAATTACCAATGGAAGATCGTTTGTTCATGTCCCCTGCTCCCATTCCTAGAAGAAGTAGCTTGTTGCCTTCCTTCAGAAACGTTAATGCTCAGGAACCCATGTTTGATGAACGTGCTGAGCTGCTTTCACCAGTGCCTCATGACAAAAGCCGGGATTCGCCCCTTTGTGGCAGTGCACCTACTACGGCTCAGGGCACACCCAGGGAGGGTTTACTTTCCCTGAGAGATCCAGTCAGGAATAGGGTCACTTTGGTAAGACAGGAGAATTTAATCTTGTCGAATTAGTTAGCAAATCAGAAAGTATGTACTTTCTTATTTTAAATTATATTTTCAGGAATATTCAAATGGAAGTTTTTATCGCCTGTCACTTCCTGAAATTTGCTCTTCACCATTAGGTCAGTATCACTATTTCTTTGAAACACTGTGTGATGTGTGAACTCGTACTTTAATTTATGACAGGATTGTTTTAAGCCCTTTTTATTTTCCTACAGTGACCTTGTGCATAAGTGCTCTGAAGCAGGTGTTACCAAGAGAGATTGCTGTGCAGTTAGTTGTGAAGTGGTATGTGGCTAGGAATGCCCCTGGTACTCAAGACATTGCACCAAGCCAGGAGTGGCGGTTGTTTCTTGGAGTTTTACTTGGTCTGTTCTCTGTTTTCCTCTACACATTACAATAGTAAATGTTGAGATCGTATTACTATGAATTGTATTTTGTATTCACCTAGGCATGTTGGGATATGACGTTGAGAAACTGGCTGTGATGCATCAGCCGTCTTCAGAGAATGGAGACAGTCCCACTTTGCAACCAAAAAAGAAGCGCACCTGTGATAGTGGATCTCAAGAGGTGACAGAAACTTACTTTTTAGGGAGAGAAAGGTACCTAATTTTTTATTTGCTTGAAATAATCTAGTGATTTGTTTTTTTCACAGGACTGGGAATACCTTCTGAATTCTACACACCACCACTCATTAGGCTCTGGACTATCTGCACTGCTGGGTCTGACACCAGTTAATAGTCCAGCTGGAGGTTCTGATGGTGAAGCAGCTCATGGCCAAATTAATGTGAACGCTTCACTCTTTAGTCACATTCCTTTGGTGTTGTTAAGTTTACATTTACTGTATGAAGTAAGTTAACAGCTTAATTTTCAGCTTCATTTGAAAAATATTCTTTGTATTTTTATGTTTTTTTTTTTTTTTTTTTTTTTTGTGAAGGACATGAAGCTGAACACACTGCTGTTGGACTGTCAGCCACTTCTCGCTCAACTTCTACACCAATTAGCATCGGACCTTCGTTTTGTGCAGTATGCACACCACTATTGGCGGGACTACCCCAGCCATTGTCCTATAACTCCAGTTAAGGTAACTATTACTGTTATTTTGTGAAAGAGGAGAAAATGTGTTGTTCCTAACTTGCAACTAATGTTGTATCTAACTACTGGTTATGTTTGCCTTTTGTCAATCAATGCTACTCATGAAGCCATTTATGGAAACGGTATTGTGATGATTGTAGTTTGATCATAATTTTTCACCTGTTGTGTGTGTAAGTGCTTGTTTTCTAAATTTAATTGAAATAACATATTCCCTTTTAGGAAAGTCAAATTAAGGATGCTGATCTTCAAAAGTTGTCTACTCCAAGTTACATGCCAGCAGAACCACCCAGCATTTATGAGCACCTTTTGGCTCTTCTGCAAGGTCCTACAAAGCCTCAGCCATTCCCCCATTTGAAGCATGTGAACAAAAGGACAAAAGATATTGTTCAGGTATGAAAACAAATAAATTTGTGTACTATACACAGTGTTTTCATATGAAAATTCTTTACATATTTTTAATCCTTTTTTTTTTTCCAGCTTTCCTGTTTGTTAACAATTGCTCAGAAAGAACCTAATGTTTCACTGGAGAACTTTGTGCGCCCCATTGTGCCCGCTGGTAGTCGTAATGACAACCGAGAGCTATCAAATCTAAAACTGAATAGAGAAGAAAGTGCAGCTCACAGAGCTGTTCTCCTTATGGTGGAAATGGGTGAGATGTTTTTTCTAGTATAGTTTTCTTGAAAGCTTGATCGTTGCTGTGCATTGTTCCAGACTTTTTTTGTGACCATAAATTTATTTTTGGTTCTACAACAAGGATATTTTTTTGATTGCCCTCTAGGTTTTGATAGGAAAGATCTGCAGACACTCCCCTCAGCCATTCTACTGCTCTTAAGTGATGCCTTGTACCAAGCAAGAGAGAACCCTCCCAGAGATTGGCCCCATGTAAGTTCCAGTGCAGGGCCTGAATTTTGTGTGGGCTTTGGCCTGACCCCTGCGTAATTGTCTTTCTTTCTTTCTGTGATCCATAGTAATCTTCACAATTTGTTTTTTAATTTTCCAGGCTGCATACAAGCTTATAGCTCGTCAAGATCTAGCCTCTCAATATGAGCCTGCTAAGGCTTCTGTGAGTAGTTCTAGAGCACTCGGGTCAAGGGGTAACAATGGTCCTACTTCTTCGAAAATTTCCCAAAGTCCTGAATTGGAGGACGATATGGATGGTCTGAAGACGGTCAGTGGGCATGACAGAACTTTGTGTGTCAATTAATTCTTCATATTTCCTTATTTCTCTCATTTTCTTTCCTTTTGTGTAGATCATGAAACTACGGTGGCCCAAAGATCAGAGAGTCAATGAGGTGAAACGACTTCTACAGTCCTCACAACCTGTAATGATAACCATCCAGCAAAGACCAGAAGTATCAGACCATGAATTTATTGAGGAACAAGAAAAACACTTGTATGCTCTTTGCACTCGCACAATGGCACTTCCTGTCGGCAGGTAAACAGCATCTACTATTGGAATGTCTTCTGCTGTAAAGGGAAAGAGAGTATTGTTTCATTTTATCTGAACTGTTTCATAATGCTTCTAGGGGAATGCTGACCCTCCGCTCCTCAGTTCCTGTTATAACTGAGCCATTGCCTATTCCAAGACTGAATCTAGTTGGCAAAGTACCTCCCAGGAACACAACTGTCGATTTGTCACACATAGAAGTTGTCCCCAACATGAATATGTGGCCTCTTTTTCATAATGGTGTTGCTGCAGGCTTGCGCATAGCTCTATCAGCTCCTAATATTGATTCCACCTGGATTGTGTACAATAAACCAAAGGTTTGTTCAACTCATTAGAATTTGTGAGTTCTTACACCTTCTGTTCATTGTTTTATTTCATTATTATTTTTCTTCACACTGGTTCAGGGTGGAAGTGAAGTGTTAACAGAACATGCTGGTTTCCTTATGGCATTGGGCCTAAATGGTCACCTCAATACTTTAGCTGTTTTAAACAAATTTGAGTACCTGGTGAAGTGTCATGAAATGACGAGCGTGGGACTCCTCTTGGGTATTGCTGCTTCCAAAAGAGGTAACAATGAAAACTTACCCTTTCTTTTTAATTGTTTTGCCTCTGGCTGCCATTATTTATTTTGTTCATGTTTCTAGGCACTATGGATGTGAATGCAACAAAGATGCTTAGCATCCATGTCGAAGCTCTTCTTCCCCCAACATCCATCGAACTGGATGTAGGACCTAATACTCAAGTAGCTGCCCTGTTAGGTGTTGGCCTTGTCTATCAGGGGACAGGTCACCGTCGCATTGCAGAAGTGTTGCTGTCTGAAATTGGTGAGTTGGTTTATCAGCTTCTCTGTGCATGGTGTTGCATAATTTTCCTAATCATTCTTTGTTTCGGTATTTTTGTAGGAAGACCTCCTGGGCCTGAAATGGAAAATAGTGTGGATCGTGAATCATATTCTGTGGCTGCAGGATTGGCACTAGGTCACGTGGTTCTGGGGCAGGGCTCTGAGTTGTGCGGTCTGGCGGATTTGGCCATTCCTGATACGCTTCATTACTACATGGTTGGTGGGCATAGAAGGCCAGTCACAGGCTCTCAGAAGGAGAAATATAAATGCCCAAGCTTTCACATTCGTGAAGGAGACTCGCTGAACATTGATGTGACGGGCCCTGGTGCAACTCTTGCTTTAGGAATGATGTACTTCAACACTGGAAACAGGTACATTGATTTCCATTTATACAGTTGTGTGATCATGAACCGTTTTTCTTGTCTATTATGCAATGGACACTTAGCTTAATCTTTTCTTGGAATGTTACAGGGCTGTAGCTGATTGGATGAAAGGTCCTGATACTCAGTATTTGCTGGACTTTGTTCGTCCTGACTTTTTATTACTGAGAATGCTAGCAAAGAACCTCATTCTTTGGGATGAGGTTTTACCCACTATAGAATGGGTTGAGTCTCATATTCCTGAATCTATTCGGCCATATTGTCTTGTAAAGCCTAAAGCCACTACCACCGATTTTGTGGTGGACTATGAAACAATGAAGTAATTGCCTTATAATGCTCTTTTTTATTCTTCTTGTGATATTGCTTCTTCATTCTTTTATTTCTTTTCCAGTCAAGCTTACTGCAACATTTTAGCTGGTGCTTGTATGTCAATGGGTCTGAAATTTGCTGGATCAGCCAACAAAGAGGCATTTAACACCCTCCTCATGTATGCCAAAAAGTTTACATCTCTGCTTGGTAAATCCATTGCCGAGTTAGCAGGGAAATCTACCATTGAAACCAGTCTGAATGTGATAGTATTATCCCTTGCAATGGTAAACAATTTTTTTTTCTTTAATTTGTCTGTAAAATAGAATCAGAGAAAACCATTTTAATTTCTTGAATTTTTATTATGTAGGTGATGGCTGGAAGTGGCTCTTTAGAAGTGATACGAATTTGCCGCTTTTTGCGAGCCCGAGTTGGTCCAACCAATTCTGTTGTAACTTATGGATCTCATCTCACCACCCACATGGCTCTAGGTTTGCTGTTGCTAGGTGGGGGAAGATACACATTATCAACTTCACCCCCTGCCATAGCTGCCATGCTTGCAGCATTCTTCCCAAAGTTTCCCACTCACAGCAATGATAACAGGTAAAACACTTGCTTCATCAGCTGGCTTCAATCTCACCCTTTAAAGAGTTTTCTGACTCACTTATATTAAATACTTTCAGATACCACTTACAAGCCTTCCGCCATTTGTACGTACTTGCTGTGGAACCTCGTCTCATTGTTCCTCGAGATATTGACACTGGTGTGCTGTGTTATGCCCACATTACAGTAGTGTACTTAGACACAAAGCATTACTCAAATCAGTCTGCGAGGCTCAAGGCTCCATGTGTCCTTCCAGAGCTTAGCACTTTGAAAGAGGTGAGTAATACTTATGTATTTAGGCACATTGAACCTTTTCTCTGATGTGGTTTCTTATAAAGAATTTTGCACTCAGGTCAGAATAGAAGATGAGAGGTATTGGACAATGGTTTTCCACAGAGATCAGAATTGGGATCAGCTCAAGTAAGATTATTCATATTATTGATTTCAAGCCTGGTCGTGGGCCAGTTTCGATAAATTGCTCATGTTACAGGCGATTGCTGGAAGGTCCTGCTACAGTGGATGTGAAGCAACGAGCTGGCTGCTTATCGTACTCTGAAGATCCTAATGGTTTCCGAAGTCTTCTTGCTCGAACTCTTACTGCTCAAAGTGTGTCTGCATGGAGTGTACCTGTAAGTTAGAACCAATATTAACTGAAAAACAAAGTTGACTACTACAGTAATTATTTTGTGAGTAATAATCATCTCTTTTATTGTTTTTAGGCTGAGTCAGTACTAGCATTTTCTTCAGATCCCAAAATGGTGAATTTTGCTCGTCTTTTCCTTGAGCAAAAAGTCAGCAACGACAGCCAGGTTGGTGTGAGCGGAGAAAGTGAGAATCATATGATGCAACTTCTCACCGCACTTGTGTACGAGTGCATCACTCAGGATAAACGAATGATCCTTTCTATCTGGATAACCGTTTTGAAGGTAAGTTAAACTTCATCTCAGCCACTTAAGTGTGTAGAAAGGATTCTGTCTAACTGTTTGTTTTGACCCAAGGGCCTTCAGAATATGAGACGTGTCCCTTGCCCTGTGATGACATGGCAATTGAAGCTCCTGGTAGCTCAGGTCTTGAGATCAGGCAGAGTTGGTGAAAAGCCAGTTTTCACTGCAGACCTCGCTTTGTCAGTACACCAATCAGTCAATATGATTCTCGAATCATGGGAGAAAGGTATGGTGGTGTATCAGAGTTAACAACGAACTAACACCCTTCGTTGAATGTTACTTACTAGTTTTCTTATTTGCTACACTTTCAGATCTTTATCCATTTTTGAGGCAGTACTTAAGCAATGGAAAACTGAATGGAAATTGTGAAATGCTCAGAAAGCTAGCCACTTACATAACGTATTATGGTATTCCTGGGCCACATCATTTGGCATTCAATGCTGGAGGTATGTGTGTCGTTAGTTTATCTTGATTTTGATATTTCCACCTATTGAAAACAAGTGTAGAACAAATATAACAATCCTATTCTTTCTTTCTTTTTTCCCTCCCAGAAAATGTAAATCCATTACTAGTTCATTCAAGATTGAGAAATCTTCAACTCCCTGTTATCACTATTCAGAAGATTACTGCTATTCTTCAATCAAGCCATGATGTCAGCTGATAATATGCTTTATTTTAATTGCATAATAAATTTTTTACCATGTAATGTGTTGTTATAGACTGGAGGCGAGTGTTACCTTACATGGGCATTACATAAGCATAGATACAAAGTTTCTTTGTCGCTGCCTTTAAAAAAAACACCAAAAAACTACCATTTATATATTTATTTTTTGATTCCTAGCATGCTCAAAAGGTCAAGGATCTTAAACTACAGTAGTGCTATACATCAGCAACTTTACTTATCATTTTATCACGCTTCATTTTATTGGATTATGGAATCAGCATCCAGCGACGGTGAGTGCGCACTTCTGGTTGATCGGGTTGAAGATGGTGGTGCCCGGGCAATTGTATGTCCACTGGCTGAAATTGCCGTTGGTCTGCTGAAAGCACAAGTTGTACGACCTGGAGCACGCGGTGCTGTTGAAGCGCCCGTTTACAGTGCAGTTGTTCGCCTGGCCCAGCACGTGTGCGGCCAGGCAGACCAGCACCGCGAAGGCGACGGTAAAGATGACCTGCAACACCACCGACCACCTTGTAGGAGACTTGGAGGAATGCAGAAGCCTTGCACTGAAAACTTTTATACTCAGCACACATTTAATAAGGGTCAGGGCGGGGAAAAAATTAAACACTAAAGGAGCGGGGAAAAAATCACACACCCCTATTTTTGACTAAATTGTCTCATTTTGATGCCAGAAGTTCTTCCCCTGCTGACAATTGGTGGCCCAAACAATCGTTTCTGTGTATTATACGTCCCAGAATCAAGAAGAACTCTCAGCACAATAAAGGGTGCCACACTATTCCCCACCCTAGGAGTCGGTTCTTCCCCGCATTGACCTAAGTTGTTCATGTTTGTGCCACTCCGCGAAATTGGTGTCCACTTGTTTCTTCGTGTCCCAGGTGAGAATCCAGTCAAAGAGTCCCATCTTCCCCACATCGAGGTGCCACATTCCCCTGGCCTGATCCATGTGTCGTGTGCCCTGTGAAGTTCGATGTACACACGTTGTTCACTTTACGTTCCCAGCGAATCGAGAAGACCCTTCACATCTGCCACCATTCCTGGTCGTGAATTGTCACGTGTCCGTGTTCGATGTGCCACTACGTGTCATGTTATTCCACGAAGTCGGCACTTCACGTTCGCTAGAGTGGAAATTTGACGTCACACGTTCGTATTGACACAACGTGTATAGGTCCGCACTCAGTCGAAGGCAAATTGACGTCACCAACGGTGGGAACTAGCGCGCAGTAGGCAACTGAGTCATCGTTCAACGGCGCCAACTGGCGCGGCTAGCAATTGACGTCCCCACGCGCGGCAACTGGCGCCCGGCAGGTAGGCAAACCCTCTGACGTCACCAAGCGGCGCGGCAACTGAGCGCCCGGCAGGTAGGCAAACCCTCTGACGTCACCAAGCGGCGCGGCAACTGAGCGCCCGGCAGGTAGGCAAACCCTCTGACGTCGTCGAGCAGCGCAAAGCAGGCTCACTGACAGGCATTTCGTGCACCTTGTACAGCACGTGTACAATGCGACCAAGAATGCGACTCGTTGAAATCTGGGAATGTTTCCTAGAGTAGCTCAAGGAGAGGTCTGATTGGGCGAGCCAGTATGGAGATGTAATGCGTGTCGAAGTGGCTCAGAGCGCAGAGGAGGGGGAATGGCATCCCCCGAGACGCTGTGAGTTCACAAATTCGTGAACTACTCCAGACCCAAAACAATCGATAAATTTATGAATCGAAATCCGGGTTGGTCGAGGGGGCATTCCCCGAAGCCACGCCGGGGGGTGGGGGTGGGGGGTGCTCCCGAGGGGCAACCACTCGCGAAATCTTGTGTACACTTGACTGGCCGAAATCTTGCGCAAAATCAGTTGAAATCTCGCGAAATCACTCCGAAATCTGGTGAAATTTCACAAAATTCCATGAAAATTTGGTGAAATTTCGCTAAATCCCACCAAAATTTCACGAAATCTGGCATAGTTTTGACGCGAAATCCTGCGAAATCTCGACGAAATCCCTACCTTTGAAGTCCTGTGTACAAAAAAATTACGAGTGTTTGCCCCCTCGCAGGCTCCCCTCCCCCTGAGCCACCTGAAAGGTGCGCAAAAAGTCGTACTTTGCCCTTGTTCTTAGTGGGCAACCATGACCCCCCTCGGTCTCTGGATCCGCCCTTGACCACTCTCCTGTCACCGAAGACTGCTCACAACCCACTGGAGGACATCTCCCGGGGGCGGCTGCTGCAGTGCGACTTACCCAGGACGCTCGCGACATGTTGCTACGGAGGCTGCCTGAAAACGAGTGCGACAGAGACAGGGGGCCGTCTGTCTGCTCTAGTTTTATCAGGCTCGCACCTGATTGTCGTCATGGTTCGTGGTTATGTAGAATGAAGGAAGCTTAGCGGGTTTCATGACGGGCGACAGTCTCATGAAGGATGACATTTATTGAGCATGAAATAAATTAATGGGACACAGCAGGTACTTTGGTTGCTATTCTAGGAGGTTTCCGTCCTTCGTCACTCAGAGAGGGCGGAAAGGGGCAGTCATCTGCCAGTGCGTCTCGTCAGTCTGCGAGTCTGCGTTCGCTTGTCTCGGCTTGTCTCGGCTTGTCTCGGTCCGTGCGCGCAAGCGTCACCCCCAGAAGAACCACCCCAAGCCTTTCTTGCTGGAAAAGAAGGAAAGCGAAGTTGAGACGGTTTCTTACAATTCAATCAAGTTTCAGAAAGGACAAAAAACAAAGATACAATTTTTCCATTATTTTGATCAAAAATTTATTTTGTTAGCGGCGTTGTGTTTCATTTTATTCTTATAATCGTGTCTGTCGTCATCATCATCACAGTAATACGGCACAGTATTGAATCACGTAAGACAGAAAAGTCACTTTGTTGTCATAATGGTACCAACGACACGAAAATACCTAATTTCGACAGGAGGTAATTTTCACTCTAGGTGATCTTGACTTTAAAGTGACCACTGGTTCCACTTGAATACCTCTCTTTCGTGCCGGTCACTGGTAGACCGGTGCAAGTGGATTCGACGGCTTCACTTAAGATCTTATGGTCACCTTCGCTGTCACCTGAGCTGCTTCATGTTATTCGCATGGTAGAATGCAGGGAATGACTTGCATGTCAAAAAAAGAGTTTCGTCTTCCCAGAGCGCAATACTTAGTCGTCTCTAGGATCATTACATGAGTATCACAGCTAGCTAAGTGCAGTTCTTATCTGTTTGCTTCTTGCAAACGAGCAATCTTCCTTCTCTCGTGAAGCACGTTGGCCAAAAATGAGCTCAAACATGGCTCAAATACATAAAAGCGCATATAGTGGCGAAATAAAACAACAAAACCATAACACGGCTAAGCCATATCACAGAAACAGCGTGCACGGTAGAACCGTGAGGGGTGTACCCTGGTAACGAAGCACCGTGCATTAATACGCCTTAAGGACGTTAATCCTAATTAATTAGGACTCGGGCCTAACATGAAGCTAATACAAAATAAGCGTAATGGTCTCCCCCACTAGAGATCCATGTCAATTCAATGGAAGGCTTGTACGGATTATTCACCACATGAAAAAAATACTTTGTTGTGGTGATCAACTATGTTTGATGGGCTGAATTCGATGTCCGTCCACGACCGAAAGCTGATAGCAACGACCAAGGGCAACTAGGCTGTTCTTTTTATCGCTATGCGTACAAGTAACCAGTCGTAGCAACCAGCTTTTGGTTGTAGATGTGGTCCGATTATCGATTGAAGCTCTCGAATTTAGTGCATCGAAAGAAGTTGATCACCTCAACAAATCTTTTTTCCTGTGCACGCCGATGATTAACACGTGTGGTGAGTGGTGATCGGCGTGGTGGTCCGTGGTGACGGGCGGCGCGAGCTAAGCCGTCCTTTGCCTCCGCACTGTCGGGGCGAGGCGCCCTGCCTGCCCCGCTCTCTAGGCGTAATCACCGTTTGCAAGCCTCGGGCCGGTCGTTGGGCGCCAGCTTGTCGCACACCACGTGGAGCAGGTTTGACAGCGCCTGGTCCTGGTCGGTCTCGCTGAATTTCTGTCGGAAAGGGTGAGAGCAATGGTTAGCCAGGAACGTTCGTATTGCTTGCGTCATTTCCTTCATATAATGGGAAATTTCTTCGTAACTGACATCCCCAAGAACACGAAACGCTCACAGTTACGTCATTTCGATGTCAATATGACAAATTTTAGTCAAAATTTCGACAAAAAGAGCATTATTTAGACGTCATTTTGGCGACCTTTGACTGCTTCGTGAGTGTTTCGTGTTCTTTGGGATGTAGAGTGTGTGGCTCAACTCACCCCGTTGAAGTTGACGGTGGGCACGAAGCTGATGTCGCGCGGCGTCCTCTCGCCCATGCCGGCCAGCAGCACTTGGCCTTCCCTGCCCGAGGCGCAGTCCTTGACCTCGCCTGCGCTGAGGCCGACCTCGGTCATGCACTGCAAACAGCAACAAAAACAATCACAACCTCGACCCAACACAGTGGGCCAGAAGACCTGCCGGAGGCGGTCAGAATCCCGGTGCGTTTTGAGCTCCGGAGTCACCAAGGGGCTCGAACCGAACGTGTGACCCCACCAATGGATTGCTCTCCGAACGAGGAAGTCAGTGGTGATGTCACACGTTCCTATCAAGATCTGTTGACAAACTCTGGAGCTCACGCGTGTAGAGTTCCGGCCACCTTCACCGGTTTTCTGGCTCACTGCGCCCAATAGGAACAAGACCCATGCACTGAGGAAGTTTTCTAGATTTCACGCTAAATGTTGAAGTACCATGTGGTGATGCATGATTTTAAACCTGTGCTCGAACCTGTGTAACGTTTCGCATAAATTTTGCTCAAATATGCATAAATTTGTGCATTTTTACGCATGACGTTATGAAAATTCCGCATAAGCACAACATCGTTGAAGTTACACGTACAAAGTTCTATATAAACATTTAGTGTGTTGGCTGTCACTCTAATGACAATTTCCAGGCTAATTTTTCTTACAAGAATGTCATTAGATCGTTGTCACGCCCATGCAATAAGTGCAGGAGATTTGCTGGTGAAAATGGAGACCACACACTAAATGTTAAAGTAGAATTTTCTACGAGTAACTTGCACGATTTTGTGCATACGTGGAATTTGCAAAATATTATGCGTAAAAATGCATAAGATTATGCAAAGTTGAGCACAGTCTTATGCAAAACGTTACGCAGGTTTAAAATCATGCAGAACGTGCACGTACAAACTTTTACAATAACATTTAGCGTGAATAGCGACCCACAACCCTCACCTTCTCGCTGGGCACCGACGGGTTGGTCTGCGACATGACGCACTGGACGAACTTGACTTGCTTCTTGTTGTCGCCGAGCAGGCGCGCCAAGCCGCACGCCTGCAGCTTGTTGCCGCGGCACTCGCTGGGCCCGTGCTGGCAGCGGAACGCGTAGCCCGTGTCCGAGGCGTGCGTCTGGAACGGGAAAGCGTATCGAACACACTTTCAAACATGGCTTCTCCTATCGCAGACGCGGAAAAAAAGAATCTGCACACACTTAATGTTTTTGTACAAATTTTGTACGAGACATCACAGTTTTTTTGTGCACACAAACTTTTCGTACAAATTTGTACGAAATTTTGTACAAAAAGGGGAAATTTGTGCAGTTTTTCGTACAAAAATTGTACGAAAAGTTCACAAAAGTGCACAAAAATCTGTGATGTCTCGTACAAAATTGTACATAACATTTAGTGTGAAGTTCTGTCAGCCTTGCTCTTAAGGCTAAGCAGGTTAATTTGTGACTAGGAAGTTAAAATAAATGTAACATTGTGACTGCAACACCAGGGATGACAAAGCGATGGACCTGACACCATAATAGTTGGTTCACTGCGTGATAGCACGCGTAATAGATTACTAGCCAAAATTCTCCAAATTGCACTGCAAAGTATTACAGAATTACAGTATTACAGAAAATGCTTTGCAACGTTACAAACCAATGCTTCACAACGTTGCAAACGTTTTTCTTCGCAACTTGCGAACTATTTCTTTCCAATGCGAAGAAAAAAGTTCGCAAGGGAGTTCCCAATACAAAGACGGAGAATACTTCGTACTGCAAAGTTTCTTTTCTTTGCAAGCTTTTACGAATGGGGAATTACCGATGCTTTGCCGTACGGCACGAACTCCACCACCATCCGCTGCGACCCCAGCGTCTCAAAGGTCGGCGCCAGCTGCTCCTTGATGAACTGGATGGAGTCCGGACACAGGGACTCGTACATGACGCGCAGCATCACCTGGGGAGGCAGAGGGGGCCATATTAGTCTGAGCTGGCACTGTGAAAATTTGCTGTCGATTAACTCTCCCAGTTTCCTAGTGAGAAATGCCGCGCAGCCTTCTCACACTTCTCTGCGACACGAATCGATCAAAACAGATAAATTTGTTCGTGATGCGAAGAAATGGGCCTTACGTTACTGAGAACCCTCCAGCATGGGTTACCTTCGCTGTGCTGTCTTTATACTAAGCGTTTTGTTCGTATGACGGAAGAAAATGCCCACTAGGATAAGACAAAATACAGTATGACAATTTCATCACTTTTAAAAAATTACAGTTTCAGCACAAGTTGATGGCGATTTCATCACGACAAGTTGATGATTTCATCTCAAGTTGATGACGATTTCATCACAAGTTGATGACGATTTCATCATTGGTTTGATAAAATTCTTGCACGGGAAATTTGCCTTGAAATTGAAAATCAAAATTTTCATAATGTAGCAGAGATGGCCCAGTGGGATAAATCAGCTGGGGGAACGACAGAAGGCGAACGCAACCACTTTCAGGACGAGACGCCCAATTTTTCGCACATTCCTCGTCGCGTTATCGACACCATTCCTAACCCCTGTTGGTCTCTCGCTGGCTGTTGTTGCAAACACAGTATCGGAACGAAAGCAGCCGTGCTTTGTGCTTTCGCGTCGGACAATGCAGCAGAGTGCCGCGGGCTTGTTTACCCTGCAAGGCTGGCGTAGCGCCTGCAGACGGCGGGGTAGGCAACCGCGCTGGAAGCTATGCAGCAGAGTGTCGCGGGCTTGCCTACCTGGCATTGTCAGGCGCCTGCAGAGGAACGTGCTCGCTTTGCTCCACGCTCAAAAACCTTTGCTAAGTATTTTGGTCGCGAGAGAGGCAGAAAAGCGGGAACCGGCACACTTGTGGGTGAGGGAAGGAGAGGCAGGCAGAGGAGGAGGGGCATGATGGGGAGGGGGGGAGGAGGAGGAGGAGCGTGGAGTGGGGGCAGACCGAGGATGAGGGATGGGAGGTAGTAGAGGGGCGGGAGCGGGGGGACCGCGGTCCCCCCGCTCCCGCCCCTCTCTACCTCTCCATCTCTCATCCACAGTGTGCCCCCTCTCCGCGCTCCTCCCCTCCTCCCGCCCTCCCCTCTGCCCCTCCTCCTCTGCCTGCCTCTCCTTCCCTCACCCACAAGTGTGCCGGCTCCCGCTTTTCTGCCTCTCTCGCGACCAAAATACTTAGCAAAGGTTTTTGAGCGTGGAGCAAAGCGAGCACGTTCCTCTGCAGGCGCCTGGCAATGCCAGGTAGGCAAGCCCGCGACACTGCTGCATAGCTTCCAGCGCGGTTGCCTACCCCGGCGTCTGCAGGCGCTCCACCTATGAAAACGCATGGGCCCATGGTAAAAACGGTTCCTGGTTTTCCCAGGATATCCCTGGAAATTGCCTATGTCGCTAGCACTGGCTTCCTGGGAAAACCAGGTACCGATTTTACCGTGCTCTCTTCAGGTGGCCCCGAAGAGTTCGCACAAAACTTAAATGTGCGTGACAGGGACCACACCATACATGCTTTGTGAGCACGCACACTAAATGTCATGGGACTTTTTTTGTCCCACGATTTATGCAATTTTAGGCACATCCCACGCGGATACAATTTTGTTCCCGAGGGGTGAATCACCAGTGTACTCATGTGTACAAATTGGCCCGTACTCAGTGTACTCTCAAGTTAAAAAAGGGCGAAATTCACTAGTTTTTCGACCGATTTGGCGTTGAATGCCAATTGAAACACTAAATAAAGCCGTAGAATGTTTTCAAATGTGAAATTTATGAGTAAAGCATGGTGTACTCACCCGTACTCATGTACTCATGTGTACACCAGAACGCAGAGTGATTCACCCCTCGTTTGTTCCCGTCTGGCGACACATTTTGTCCGACGCCTGCTGCAAATTGTGCTTTCACTAGACAATTTGTCCCGCCTGGCGGGCACAAAATTGCATCATTCATGGGACAAAAAAAGTCCCATGACATTTAGTGTGCGCATTTCAGGGGTGTGGAGTTCCCCGCACTTGTTTTCACGCACTTCCGGTAAATCCGCTCATACCCGCGGGGAGCGGCTTCCCCAAGGGCTCCCCCCTCCCCGCCGGGGCGTCGACCCGCGACGTGTGAGACCGGGCGGCAGACGCGGCGATAGACGGGGCAATAGACCGGGCAATATGCATAGAAAATGAGGTAATAATTCGATCCGGGTGACGGCGGCGGGCCGCGGCGGGGCCACTTTCTCCCAGGCGGCATTCTGGCCCAGCAAGAGCACAGTGGGCCAGAAGACCGGTGGAGGCGGCCTAAACTCTAAACGCGTTTTGAGCTCAAGAGTCGCTAAATGGGACTCGAACCAAACGTGTGACCCCACCAATGGATTGCTCTTCGAACGAGGAATCCATTGGTGGGGTCACACGTTCGGTTCGAGTCCCATTTAGCGACTCTGGAGCTGAAAACGCGTCTAGAGTTTTGGCCGCCTCCACCGCTCTTCTGGCCCACTGTGAAGAGGTGACCCAGACGGAAGAGGAGGGCACCGCGGTGCGGCCAACTTTTGTTTCGTTTTAAAAAGAGGCATATTTCTCATTTCAAAAAAAAATTCAACGTACGTCAAAGCAAAAGGGAAAAAAAATGGTACAGGCACAGATAGTAGTTTTATAATGTCCTTTCTTTCTTTTGTTTGAATGAGAGTACCCGTCGCACCAATGGCCGCGCAGCACGCTAAATGTGACGAATAGTTTTGGACGGAACGTCACATTTTTTGAGCACGCGCTCGAAGTATTGCGACGTATATCGAGCACATGTCTAACAGCAGATTGTTATAAAAGTACATAGAACAGCATTTTGAGCATACATAGGCTTGCAAAGAAAATAATTCGTAATTTATGAACTTATTCTTCTCACCACAAACGAAATAGTTTGCACCTGACTTACGCTCCAAACACTTCGTTTGGTTTTAAAGCTTACGTGACAAGTCGAATGGACACTTCCACAAGAGCGCCGAGTGAAGAACAAGAAGAATAATCAATTTAAGGAACTTTATATTTGCTCATTCTACATATTAGATTAAAAGTTTGTCTATCTTAGAACCAAAATTGTTAATTTTAAAGCTTCGTGCAAGTTCTGATCATGGAACTTCAGGCAAGGCGCGAGTGAAACTATAGGAAGAATAACAAATACCTGGAAATGCTTAGTCTCTAAACTGTCGTGATAAACTGTTGTACTATACTTATGGGTTTAATTCTGATCCTAGTATTGAAGCAAAATATTATTCCATAATTTAACCGTCAAGATCTAAACGTTATGGAACTAGTTCCGGTGCTATTTCTTCCTCTTGTTCTTCACTCGGTGTTCTGGTGGAAGTGTCTATTTCATTGCGAGACATTTGGAGTGCACGCTTTTGGAATGAGAGGCGACACCTTTACGGTGCAGTGATTGGATACGTCGGATTCCGCGGGCTTTTTGCGCGCGGCCTTGAAGGCCTTGAACCGCGGCGGACGCGAAACCGACACTGTACAGTACAAGCCGGCCGCCGCCTGGGCAGCGCCCGCCACTCCGCCCGGCTGGCTAGCTCGCTGGTTCAAAGAGTTGTTTTCGTCGCTGTCTCTCTCGCACCTGTGTGGGACGGCCCGTGAGTGCGAGAGAGACAGCGCGGCGAGAGCGACTCTCGGAGTCAGTCTGCAGCACGCGCAGGTGGGGAATTCCGCGCCGCAGCCGCGATTTCCAGCCGTGCAGATTTACATTAAACTGGAGACTGATTCCGAGAGTCGTTTTCGTCGCTCTGTCTCTCTCGCACTCATGGGCTGTCTTGTATGGGTGCGAGAGAGACAGAGCGACGGGAACGACTCTCGGAAAATCAGTCTGCTGGAGTGGCGTCGCCGTCCCGCGAGCCACGCCTGTCGGCTTGGCGCGATTCACGGGCTGTCGGCCGCGAAGGCCTGGAACCGCGAAGGGATCGCTGATTTACTTGAACTGAGACAGCCTGGAGGCTTCAGCGCCAGCACACTCGCCCAGGACGGCTAGCGTGGGTAAAGAGTCGATCGGCCTTCGCAACGCGTGTGGCGAGCTTCGGATGCACGTGCGAGCTGGCGAAACGCTTCGAGCTCCAATGTCTTATGCACGCCAGTTGAGGACTTCGCGCCCAGCCATCCAACTCGTGATGTTAACAATTAAGCTCGAATTGATTCAATCGTTGCGTTCATAATTCTCTTGCACTCAGGACGATATGTGAAACTTGTACGACGAAGATTCGAAATCGTTTTCTCGTATCAGCTTCATGTTCACCTTTGGCGATACAAGATCGCATTTTTCATGAACTAACACTGAGGCTTGTGAATACTGAAACACCAAAGTACAGAGATTTTAGTCACGTTTAGGAATTTTGCATATGCACTGGATCGTAAACCTTCGTAACATGTCTTACGTGATACAAAATTTACGGATCAAGGCCAACAAATTTGTAATCCAGACTACGTGTTACAGAAGTTTTGTATGAGTCTACAACGAATTATACTACAGAAAAGGTACGTATAAAAGATTCCCTTTGTACCTGACCGAAATTCCGGCCAATCATAAATATGAATTCCATGATTTTTCTTGCAGATATTACGAAGGTTTCTCTTGTATCCAGGCAACTAGTATAGCGGCATAGCAGAATAGGTACGTTTGGCGACGCACTACGAAGTGAATGCTCTCGTGATTATGCCCGTGCGGCGAATTCCGAGCCGAATTCATTGTAAAATAGCTCGAATTCCTTGAATTTTCATTGCAAGATATTTAGAGCTTAGTGTTCCCAGGCACTAGCATAGGGCGGCATAGGGCGACATAGGGTATGTTTGGGACGCATCGTACGTGAAGTGGAATGTCTCTGATTCATTGCACGATGATGTATGGCCTCAAAGCGTGCACTTGAAATCCATGCCGAAGTGTCTGAAGCCTGAACAAGCCAGTGAGTTAAATGGGCCATGGCAAAAAAGCCACAACTCGTTCAAAAATCCATTTCCACGTCTGAGCGTTCAAGTCTCCTTTAACAACCAAAGTGAGATAATAGCAACGACTGGGTCACGCTTCGGTGGGCATGGACTGCGGGCAGCGCACCGACTCACACACACTCACACCTACACACACACCTACACACACACCACACACCCTACACACACACACCTACACACACACTACACACACACACACACACACACACGCTCTGACCGACGGACGGACTTAGCTGGCGTGACGCACAGGCGGACGTTTGATAGACGGCTGGGCTCCTTATCATCGCTAAACAGCGGCGGCTTCGCCAAATCAGTTCCACAGACAGCGGACGGGTTCCGAGAGTCGGAGCCAAGAAGAACGCCCCAAAATCGGACAACGATAAGCAGCTCCCGAGAAAACCGTATCGTTTGTTGTGACCAGGAATACGCTGGTAAAATTAAAGCGCTGCTTGTATTGTATGAGTCATGCTTGAGTCAGTGACTTAACGTTTTCTATTTTGTAGAAAAGTTTTGAAATACAACTCAGACGGCTAAGTATCATTTAAAGAAAAGTTTTGTAATACAACTCAGACGGCTCAGTATTACAAGCGAATTTACAACTGCACCGCGTTTTCTCATAGTACAAGAGAAAGTCTTGTAATACATAACTTGCGCAGGCTACTGTTTAACAATAAAAAGAAAAGCATGTAGCGTTTGCTTCATAACAACGAAGAAAATGAAAGCATTGTAGAATTGCTTCGTAGTAATGAAGAAATAGTGCGTATTACGAAGGATTTTGCTTCACGAAGCAGTTCTTCGTAAATTTTACAACGCCTTCATTATCTTCGTATGACGATGCTATTGTTCGTGGAGTTTTTGCTGTATACGCGCCCCGATGCGTGCCATTCGGGAAAACAAACAGTGGCCCAGCGAGCGGTGTCCCGGTTCCGGGGTATCCGTGCCTCACTCCGTGCATGCGGACGGACGGGACGGGGCAAACAGGCCTTGGCTCGTGCGGCCGGCCGGCCTGCAGCCTCTTCCTCTGCAGGCTGAGAGTCGTCTTCGTCGCTCTGTCTCTCTCGCACTTATGGGCGCCTCGTGAAGGTGCGAGGGAGACAGAGCGACGACTCTCGGAATCAGTCTGCTGCTTATCCCGGTCAACGCCACCAACTCATCCCAGCCAGGGCGATCCCTCGGACCCAAGGGCAGCCAGAAACGGACTGGCGAGAAGACGCGTCCATTCACACTAGGAGTTTTTGCACAAATTTTGTAGGAGACATCACAGTATTCGTGCACACGAACTTTTCGTACAAATTTGTACAAAAACTTGTACAATTTTGTACAAAAATGGCGAAAAATGTGCAGTTTTTCGTACGAAAATTATACGAAAATTTCGTGTGCACAAAAATCTGTGATGTCTCGTACAAAATTGTACATAACATTTAGTGTTGTTCGATGCGAGATTCGCAAATTGGACGCAAGCCACAAACCAAATGTTTAAGCAGAATTTTGAACGTGTAACTACCACGAGTTTGTGCGCATACTTGAACTTTGCATAATATTATGAACAAAAATGAATAATTTATTCAAATTCGAAATCAATTTCAGTTTCACGTGAAACGTTACACAGATTCAAAATCATGCAACCCCACGTACGAAACAGTGCATGAACGTTCAGCGTGCACACCGTAGGCGTTTTTCACTGTGCAGGTGGGTGGGGCAGGCAGGAAGTCTCGCATAGGAAAGACTTTCGCGGAAGGCAGCCAGGCTCACGCACGGTGGCATGCCCGCGGCTCAAACAAGACGACACGCGCTCACGCTAAACGTTGTGTAGAATTTTTGTACGTGGTGCTGATGATTTTGAACTTGCGTAACGTTTTGCATAAAATTGTGCTCCATTGCATACATTTATGCATTTTAACACACAATATTACGCAAATTCCGCGTGTGCACAAAGTGCAAATTACACGTATAAAATTATACTCTAACATTTAGTGTGCGCACACCGGCCGGCACTTCTACCTTCACGAAAAACAGTAAGGAGACTTTGTTGAGGTTGTGCTAATCAACTTTGCTTGTTCGATGTCTGCAATCTTGTATCCACAATCAAAAGCTGCAAAGATACGACCATAGACGACAGCTAAGCTGGGGTTTGTTGTCCTCGTACAGCCTCATTCCAGGAACGTGACATCACGTTGAAACGAATGTGACAAAATGTCACGTTCTGTGTCACATTCGTTTGGATGTAAATCAGCCAATTAGCTTATTCACATTCGAACGAATGTGACACAATGCTCAAAGGAGGCCAGTCGTTTCGACGTGATGTCAAATTCCTGCAATCAGAGTGTTTTTGGTTGTAGGTGTTTGGAACTGTCAAGAGTTTTGCATGTCCTACCGAAACAAAGTCTTGTTTTCCGTGTTCCTCCGCAATGCACACACGGTAAAACCCTCCGGGAATGAACCGATTCGCGAGAATATTCCTGGAGCTAAGAAGGGTCGGCCAACCCGGCATCAATCCTCTATCAATATCAAACCGACTTGTGTGAAGCCTGTCTTGGCGGCACACAGTGGTCCAGAAGACCGGCAAAACCATGTCAAAACTCTAGACGCGTTTTGAGCTCCAGAGAGCTTAACCGGACAAAACGTGTAACCCCACCAATGGATTCGTCTCCGAACGAGGATTCCATTGGTGGTGGTCACACGCTCGGTTTGAGTTCTGTTTAGCTACTCTCGAGTTCAAAACGCGTCTTGAGTTTGGGCGCCTGCACTGTGCGGCGCCAGTGGTTGTCTGCGAGTCGTATGGAAATAGTTGACAAGGCCTCCGCGCGGCGCGTTATCTGCCGCTGCACTGGCCCCGTTCCGACGCGGCCCTTAAAGAGCCAAGGTTGTGACCCCCGCGCCCTGCTCCCATTCACTCAGCAGACTGATTCCGAGAGTCGTTTTCGTCGCGCCGTCCCTCTCGCACCTAAACGGGACGCCCCATGAGTGCGAGAGAGACAGAGCGACGAAAAGGACTCTGAACCAATCTGCAGGACTGACCTTCTTGGTGGGCGCGGACTGCTGCGCGGCCTGGCTGGCGGACACCAGCACCAGGGCGGCCAGCAGCACCGTGGACTTGGACATGGCCGCGGTCGTCGTCGTCCTGGAGGGAGACGTGTACGGCGCGCGGTCGGCGCGGCCGAGGCGTACGGCGGAGCGTTCGTGCGGTCGCGGGAGTCTCTGACGCGGAGCCCTGACGCGGTGCTCCGCACGACTCTGCTCGGCGAGGCGTCTGGCGTGTCTGCAGCGCGGCGGCCGCACGCCGCACGGCCCGTCGCCCCATCCACTCCCCCTCCAGTTCCAGTCGCGGCGATCGGACCTCGAATCTGGAGGGTAGGAGAAAGAGGCAACGCACCCGTACTGCGTTTACACGGTACTGTCATTTATTTTGCGATACTTTAAGTACCACAAATTTTTAGGTCATTTTGCTGTACAACCGAATATGCGAATCTCACGATGTCGAGGGGGCAAACCGAGGCAAACACTCCAAGAAATCGTGTACAGAGTACTCGGTATTACGGGGATACTACACGAGTATTACGGCATTAAAATGCCAAAAACTGGCACATATGGCCCAAAAGTTGTATTACAATAACGTGTATTACGCGTAATACACGGTTTTTGTGTACAAGGTATTGCCCCCTCGCACGATGTATCGCACCTAGAATGCAATAATTTAGTTGTGGCTATATTTTACCAAAGCACACCTTGATTATTGTGACAAAAGAGGCTTTTGGCACACTTTTGTCGCAAAATTGCAACGGGCTCTTCTATTGCACAATTGCACTTCAAAATGACACCATTTTGTCTTTTCTTAACATCCTGGCAGTTCTCAGTCCAGTAATATCCTCGGGAAAAAATATTTTGAACACAGAACTTGTTCTATTTCCCATATATGAGGATCAACTTTTCATATCTGCATGTCAAAACGGGTAAATACTTCACGGTAGAAACCGGTAAAACGGTTCCTGGTTGACCCCGGAAGCCTATGGCAAACACACAGACGATTTCCAGGGAGTTCCTGGGAAAACCAGGAACCGTTTTGACCGTGTTGAGACTCTATTAGATTTGGCAGGATTCTAGGTAGTGTCAGGATATGATAAGGAAGTAAAAGAAGAGAAGTTCTATTCTGAGAGTTTCTAGTTGTTAATACAAACATGATAATTTACAGTATCAAAAATAAGCATTGACTTAGATCTAAATCTTACAGACAAGAACCTTACTCTACTGTCTTTACACACTAAAGAATTGATTAGCTAACTATCACGAAACTAACAATCTTTTCATTTGTTTACAGAACGAGTTAAAATTGACTTTGAAATGATTCTTGTTCGTGTTGTGAACTTGATTATTAGTTTATTTTCGTTTATTAATTATTTCTGGTACCGCCTGGATTACGAGCCGACTCGCTCGCCAGACGTAAATGCAAACATTTCCTAAATAAATACTGCTTGGTCTTGGTGGCCCTTCGCACCGGAGTCCCACCGGCAGGACTCCGGGCTGCAGCGACTTCTCACGCCACTTTTCGAACTCTGATAAAAAACCCGGGCCTCCCTTCGAGCCTGAGTCGTGCCGGAGCGGGTAGGTCGTAGTCAGTGTGTGTCGGACGCCGGAACGGGCACACCACTCCAGTGAGGAGCCAGGAGCCACGACCAAGGACCCTAGTGAGTACGGCTGACGGCTGATTGCCGGGAAACATTGCCAAACTTGTAAGGTTAGGTCTGCTTGCGTTAGTATAGGATGCCTTAGAGTGTGGACTCGACTCTCACTGTGTTTTAAAATCTGAACCACCGACGAGAACTGTAAATTATAGTGACAACAACTTTCCCCTGTGTTACTTGTTCCTTGTGTTTTCCCCTTTTCCCCAAAACCTAACATCCACTGCGATACCTTTCGCGCGCCAAGAGAACCCGGGGCAGGATCGGTCTGAGAAACCGCCCACAACATGGTGCCCCGGGCCGAGTTGGTGCCCGTCTGGTTTGCAGTGGCTTTTTTTGGGTTTTTTCTCCCTAGCACCCCGCACATGGTGCCCCGGGCCGAGTTGGTGCCCGTCTGTCTTGCAGTGGCTTTTTTTGGGTTTTTTCTTCCTAGCTCCCCGAAATGGTGTTTGGGCCAGATTGGTGCCCGATTGGTGACCGTTGTGTTGTTCGGTTTTCTTTTCTAGGGGGGCACACAGGGTGCTTTGTGTCCGTTTGGTGTAACTCTGGTTTGTTAAGTTTTTTTTTTACTTTTCTGTGCACTTGACGCACGGTGCGTCGCCCTGTTGGTCCCCGTCTGGTTAAGTTGGTTTGTTTTGGTTTTTGTTCGCATGAACGCGCATGGTGCCTCGTGCTTGGGCAGGTTTTTCGCGCCCCGTTTCGCGTAGCGGTGTTTGGAAATTTTTTTCTCAATTCTCGCACAGTTTTTTGACCGGCCACCGAGCCCGCCCCGAGTAAGTCTGCGTGCGCCGCGAGGATTTGTTTTTGAGTGTTCTTTCTTTCCACGCCTAGCCATGGCGGCCCCGCTCGTGTCCTTTTCTCCTCCGCTTCCAAAATTCGGGGGGAACCTGACGAAGATTGTGCCCAGTTTCTGTCTCGTTTGGGATCGTTTGTTCGGCCTGTATGCAATGTGACGGCAGATCAACAGTTGTTCTATTTAAAAATTGTTGCCATGGGTCAGCTCAACAGTCGTTGCGCGCCGACTTCGAGAGATCGAAGCAGCACAGCCAGAAATTGGACCAGTTTTGCACCAAAGTGCAATACGCGAGTGTCCGTGACGCGCTCACCGCAGCATTCCCTCCCATTTTAGAAAAGCAAAATTTGCGTGACCAGTTTCAAACGCGAATTAAGAGCGAGGCTGAGAGCTATGCTCAGTATGCTCAGGACGTGCTTCAGTTGTGTCAGAAAACGGCATCACCGATGTGGCTGAGCAATTGCAGGAAATTCACAAGGGTTTGGATTTGGCCGTAGCAGCAGCACTTCAGCCCAGTAGTTACCAAACAGTTGAAGCTTTCCTCAGAGCAGTCAAATCTCTGGAAATGGCGCGTCGCGCCGCGTTACGCGCGCACTCCCAGGCCAGTTTGCAGAAAGGCCTTCCGCTTCCAGCTTTGGCACTTCCTTCTACAGTGCCCACGGCCGCGCCGTCGGCCGCCGTAGTTTTGCAGTCGCCTGTACCTTCACCCTCGCCCCTGCAGCCCCAGCCCGACGCAGGCCCGGGCCTGGCAGAGCAGCTCCGGCAACTTTGCGACAAAATTGATAAGCTCACCCTCGTGACCGTGAACGCCGTTCAAACAGTGTCACACCTGCAGCAGGTAGAAAACTGGCAGGAGTCTGACTCCGAGGAGCAAGACTCTGGCTGCTCGAGTGGTCAGCAAAGCCAATGGGTCGAGCGACAGCGCCGCCCTTTGGAGTGCTACTATTGCAGTGGTCCACACCCCATTCGCGACTGTCACGTGCTTCAGTCACTGGCGGCCCCTTCAAAAAACAAATTTTCCCGGCGGTGGAAAGCCACTCCCCGTTTCCCCACTGCATCCCGCCCCCCCCCCCTTTCCCTTGCAGGCCCCGCAGTGGACCCCCCCGAGTTGTGTTATGCTGATATCAGATCCACGGTGTCCGTCCCCTCCGATGGAAATTGTCTCTTTACGAGTGTCTCTCTTAGTAAATGGGCAACGACAGCACCCGCCCCCGAGTTACGCCGAGCTGCTGTCCTTTTTGTGTTAAGAAATTGGTCGCATTTCAAGGAGTCTGTAGTCCTTCCAGGACTGGCCCGCAGCCCCACCCCAGAGGAGTACGCGCAGCACATGCGTCGCGATGGTGCGAGCGCAGCCGAGGTAGAAGTGCAAGCGTTGGCTAGGATTTTGAATGTGATTATTGCTGTGTACACCCCCGACGGAAAGCATGTGTATCGGCCGTTCGGTCGGCCCCAGCACACAGTGTTCCTAAAGTTTTTCCCCCAATTCGAAGGGCACTTCGAGTCCTTCCTGCTCCAGTCGCAGCAGATAAGGCCGCCGAGGCCGGCCCCGGTGTGGTGGCCCCCTTCGGCCGACTCCCTGCACCTGGAGGCAGCCTCCGCACCCTCGTGTGATAAGCCGGTGCGCGCCCCGCCCGCGCCTAAGCAAGCAGTGCAGTCGTCCCCCACGGACGCCGACACGCCGTCAGCCACGTCTCGAGGCTGGACGATGGTCGCCCCGCGACGCGCCCCTGGCTGCTTTGTAGTGGCGCCAGTGGTGCCCCCTCAGCTTCGGTTGTCGAGTCGTTTCGCGGCATTGCAGCCCGAGGTCCAGGTTCCTGATGGGCCTTCCCTGGACGCAGTTCCCTCCCCCTCCCAGCATGTGCTTTCTGGTGCAGATGACGGCTTCACGAGCGCGTCCAGCACCACGCCGAGCACAGCGTCTCGCCGGCGCAAGCGACGCAGACGCCGCACTGCCCGCCAACCACCCTCTCTCGAGGAACTTCGCCGTTTCTCCTCGTCGCCTAGTGAGCAAGTCGAGGTCCACGTCGAGCTCCCCTTTGGCAAGGCCCAGGCCTTGGTCGACAGCGGGTCGACGTACTCGTTCGTTGACGCGAGACTCCTCCCCGCGAAAGACGTCGTTAGGCACAGTAAGATCCCCAAGTTGCATGCGGCAGCTGGATCTGTCTTGCGCGTCAAGGGAGCTTACCCCGCGAAAGTGCGATGGAATGGTCATGAGTTCATGCACACGTTTTTGGTTTGCAAAAACTTGGCCCAGAATGTCATTCTTGGTCTTGATTGGCTGTACAGAACTAGCGCTGTACTTGACTTTCGGAGTGGCAGAGGCATTGTCACGTGTAGCGGCCTAGGCCAGACCTCGGAGCCAGTGGCGTGCTTCGCGACGAAAAGTGAGTCGCGCGCCGACGCTCAGGTAGGCCCTCCGCCGCCAGGCCCTCCCGGCCCCCACCCCTTTCCCCACCCCCACCCTCCCTGTCCCCTGTCGCAGCACCCCGGCCCTGTCGTGCTCCCCCCTCCCCCTCCTGTTGCCCGTCGACGAACCCTGTAGTGTGGCTGTCGAGACGGAACCTTTGCGAGGGATAGCAAAGTCAACACTCTGACTTGATTTCCAGTTGCGGTCAACTTTGTGTCTTGTTAAATTGCGTTCGAGCTACTAGTTGAACGTGCCTGTGCACTTTGCACAAGCAAGTTGCATTGTGCTTTAGTAGTAATGGTAGCAGTTAGCTTAAATGCTGACGGATGGTGAGAATTTGCACGCGTGAAGGCCCCTGCCTTTGCGACTTGCGTTGCTCGCGGCTTCTCTTTCTTCCGCCGCAGGACGCGAGGCCCTCGCGCTGGACGTCGTGGTGGACGCCACGCCGCGTCCCTTCAGCGCGCCTTGCTCCAGTGGAGGTGTGAATTCTCTCCCCTTCCGATAAGGAACCCTCGCTGCCGGCGAGCAGGCCCGGTGTGCACACACGAGGCCCCGCCGCGCTGCGCAGCCCTGCGATGTGCGACCCTTGCCCCTGTTTGGTCATTCCCTGACCTTTGTCCCGCGCATGACACCTGATTCCCTCCTTGACTTTTGACTGCGGAATCCACCGTGTGCGCACAGGAATGGACCGCACCCTAACTGACAAATGACTTCCGAGAACACAGCGTGAGATAAAAGACATGGGATTTTGATTGAATTTGTTGGGTGAGACGCGAGAGCCCATTAGCTTTCTTGCTAGGCTGAGTGGTTCTCTTTAGTAATAAATTGTTTGTTAATTAAAATTGGATTCGTGGACCAATTTTAATTGTTGTGGGTTTTCATTTTCTTTTTGTCTGCCGTTGTGCTGACATTTTTGAGTTGATGAAATTTGTCATTTTGGACAAATTAATACCATTATAAGTTTTGTTAACAGTGCTGCCAACCTAAACGGTCAGTGCTTTTTTTTAGGATTTAGAAAGCTTATTTGGGTTAATTTGTGTATTATTTTTGGCAATCCTGGTGTTCCTTCAGTCGTACTCGGCTCTTGTGCGTGCCCGCCTCCGTGCTCGATGCACACGCCTATCGTTTCTCTCTCTCTCTCTCCTCTGTTTGTCTTTTCCTCCGTCCCTCGCTTTCGATAGCGATGCAGACCTTGCAGCAGCCCGGACCAGGTCCGCGGCAGCCCAGCGTGCTATTTGCCTTCTGACGGATTATCGGTCCTTCTTTCTTTGCTTCGTAGTTTGGCTAATTTTAATTAATTTTAGTGAATGATTCTTTTGTCTCAACGCCCCGTGCGCTGACGGAAGCACATGCCACTGCGGCGTCTGAGCGTCCCGCCAACGCCTAGTGCAGTGTCGTGCATAGTTTTGTGCACTGGTTAGTGTAAGTGTACAAAGAGTTTGTTCAGTGCCCATGTGAGTCATTTTACAAGACTTTGTGAGTGGCTGATTCAGTCGCAGTGCAGTTTGACACGGCCAGGTGTCACGCCTTGGTCCCTGCACCCCAGAACTGATAAGGCACCCCCTCTCCGTGAATTTTTCCGGGCAAGCCAGGACGGCGACGACGGCTGGACCTGCTCCCCCGAGCCCCGTCAGTCCCTCGCCGCCCTCCGCCCCGAGCACAGTGCGGGTTGTGTGCGAGCGTGCCCGTGCTCTCGTGAGTTCGCGTGTGTCGACTCGTAGTGTGATGGTGCGTCTCGGACAAGTGCTCAAAAAGTGACGCCTCTTGGATTGGCACCCCTGCCCCGTGACCCCCTTTTGGTCATGGCCCGTGCCGCGTTACCGCTGAGCGAGAGGACCGCGCCAGCGCTGTGACAGCACCACCCTGCGTGACGGCCAGGAGGCCGCCGTCGTGCCGGACTCCAGCGTCGCTGCCGAGATCGATCGCCACCGAGTCCCTGATGAGCGACGCCCCGCACGCTGCAATGGCGTTAGCCTGCACCGTGTGCTCCAAGTGTTAATATTTAAGTTAAGTATCCTATTTTCGTACAAAAATTGTAGTGTTGTTTTGTATTTATGTTTGGTTGCCTTGTCCGCCCCTCATTTTGAGTGTGCGTTTGGATGAATTTAATTTTTTCTTTAGTTGGCAACAACCTTAATTAACGTTGAACCTTAAGGCTTTGAGCAAATGGTTAGTCTAGCCACAATGTTTTTGTTTTAGTCTCTCGGCGATGACGTTCACACCCTCGCCTGGAACGGCTTCTCTCCGTGCCCGCCCCTGACCAGACAACGCCACGCACGCCGATGTGAGCGCAGAGCTACCGCCAAAGTGGTTGCTCGGCACACCTTGACCCGCCGCATCGACTGGACTGCAACCCCGCGAGCCGCAGCGCCGGACTGGCAGCAAGAGTACCACGGACCCGCGCGGCAGCGGAGCCCCGCACTCGTCACCCCGGCCTCACAGAGACCTTTCCTGTGACAGGCCCCAGCAGCAAGTGAAAGTGGTGCCAGTGCAGTGTTATCAAGGGCAATTAAGTGCAGTGCAGTGTTGTGCGAAATGTGTGTGTCTGTGTGTGTGTTTTGGGTGCGGAAGAGCGCAAGAAAGCCAAAGACAATTTCCAAATAAGCGAGTTGTTGTGTTGTCAAAGCCATGTTTAGTTAAATAATTTTTGTAATTTTATTTCCATTAGTTTAACTGTGTTTGTGAACTTTTTGAACTTTTGCTCAAGCGTTTTGTTGTCAATCAAGTACTTAAATTTCGTTTTTCTTTTCTTTAGTTTGCTTTCTTGTTTATCATTTCAATGTTTTCAAGAGTACGAAAATAAGATAACCATAGTTATTACCTTATAGTTTTCTAAGTTTCACAGTAAAATTAGGTTTCTCGCGAATTCTGTTTAAATTCCGTCACAAAGTGTTGTTAATTTTTGAAATGTCCGTATCTGTATTTTGTAATGTTTCCGCTATTGCTTTTTGGTTTTCAAATTTTCGATTTTTACTTTCCAAACTTTAACTCGGACGGTAAAGAAAAATTAATCTGCCCCGCTTAAGACTCCATTAAGCACCCCTGCCTACTTAGTCATTAAATAGGGAAAGGAGCTGTGCACAAATGGTTAGTCAACTAAGGAAACGACTAGAAATGTGACGAAATCTGTTTTTCTCGAAAAAACTTAGCTTGCTGTCACACTGTTTCTTTTAAGCCAATTTACGCTTTTTCTCAAATTTCTCTGAAAATTGTATCTGTTCCAAGACTTGCAATTTTGTTGTCTACTTTTGTTCTTATTCATTTAAATTCCTCTAAGTTAACCAAATGGGATCATTGTTTTACTTACTGTACAGTTATTTTCATTTTGTGTTGATAATTCGTCTCTTTTCTTTGGAAATGTGGGTGCAAAATTTGACAGATGTCATGCTTTTGTTCTTTAGTTTTTATGCCGTGCTATTGTACCTTCGGCGTTTTCCTTTTACGTGTCAAGTTCTTAAGACGTTTAGCCTTGTTGTGTATTTTGTGTATTCATTTATTTCGTAGAAAAGAAATTTGTCATTTGACGTTCATGTGGTGCGATTGACAAATTTCGTCTTGTTAACATGAAAGTTTATGTTTAAGAGCCTAACAATCAGGGCATGCTTTAGCATAAATTGTTGCGATTTTCACGTGTTCAGTTAAGGTCAATTTTTTTCCTGTGTCACAGTAAAATTTTAATTAACTTTTTCGTGACTTATGCTTGTTTAATTTTTAAACGAGTTTGGTTAAGGAGTTCTCCCTGTGTTCATTTTTGCCTGAAAGTAAGACTGATCAATGTAAAAAATGTCTGATTGCAATCACTTTATAGAAAAATTTTCAAAAAAATTCACAAATAATTTTAGCTGATTTTGCTGTAAAATTATTGGTTGTTTGTTTTCCTTACTTAGTTGTAGGATGGAAGCTGTTCTCTTATGTTGGTAAAATTGACAAAGATATGTCAAAACTTTTTATCACATTTATTTACAATGTCTTGTTTGACCTTCTGTTTGTACTTTTATGAGGTTGAGTCCACAAATTAAGTTTAGGTCATTCTTTGTAAAATGTTTAACGTTTAGGAAGCGTAGGTTTATTTTAATTTTTCTTGGCAGACAGTTTGCGTACTCTCGACTTAGATTTTGTCAATTTAATTTTTTGAATCAAATTTTACCTTTATTTTGGTACCTTTGGCTACTTTCACTTCTTGGCAATGGTGAAATCCCTCTTGAAACGGGGACGTTTCAATCTGTGTCGTGTGGGATGTTGTGAACTTGATTATTAGTTTATTTTCGTTTATTAATTATTTCTGGTACCGCCTGGATTACGAGCCGACTCGCTCGCCAGACGCAAATGCAAACATTTCCTAAATAAATACTGCTTGGTCTTGGTGGCCCTTCGCACCGGAGTCCCACCGGCAGGACTCCGGGCTGCAGCGACTTCTCACGCCACTTTTCGAACTCTGATAAGAAAGCCCGGCCTCCCTTCGAGCCTGAGTCGTGCCGGAGCGGGTAGGTCGTAGTCAGTGTGTGTCGGACGCCGGAACGGGCAGCACCACTCCAGTGAGGAGCCAGGAGCCACGACCAAGGACCCTAGTGAGTACGGCTGACGGTCTGATTGCCAGGAACATTGCCAAACTTGTAAGGTTAGGTCTGCTTAGCGTTAGTATAGGATAGCCTTAGAGTGTGGACTCGACTCTCACTGTGTCTTAAATCTGAACCACCGACGAGAACTGTGAATTATAGTGACAAGCAACTTTCCCCTGTGTTACGTTGTTCCTTGTGTCTTCCCTTTCCCAAACCTAACATCCACTGCGATACCTTTCGCGCGCCAAGAGAACCCTGGGCAGGATCGGTCTGAGAAACCGTCCACAACATTCGAAGGTAGGAAAATGTGGAATGCAGCGGTTTGATCTGCGGTCCGCTCCGACAAAGAGGTTGGCTGGATGGCAGACACAAGAAAACGAAGACCAGACCCGATGAAAAGGCAATCGATTAATTGTCGATAAACATACGAATACGTACACATATACACATAACACATATCACACATATAACACACATATAAATATAACATATAACACATACGATCGTTCAACGGTTCACATTCGTTCAACCATCGGACTACCGAAACACTAATCAAAATCGATGTTTCTCGCCAGTTTCTCTTTATAATCTTATGTCATCTAAAAAGATAATTACAGAGAATGATCTTTAAGGGAAGGCCTCAGATGGAAACTTCCTACAACTCAAGATCTATGATTGCCTATCCGACGTACCCAAAATATTAGATCCCCTTTCTCCCTTACTTACACCGTGGATCAACACCTTCCTGCATCTCAGCCCATATGCCACAGCACCAAGAAGGTGGTGATCCAGATTGGTTCCAAAACTCATTATCTCCGGACCAGTATTTGGCGTAGTGCTCACAATTGTAAGTAAGTAAATGATAGTACAGTCTTTTACCGACCAATCTTCGCACCCTAGAGACAGCCCACTTGCCTTTAGGCCCTGGACCCTGCACCTGTCTCTATTAAACATATTTCGAACAGCTGTGAAGTGGTCTTCTCTCACAGTTCCATCCTTATTGCCATTGTCGCCTGCTATGTGAATGACATTCCCGTCGTAGCTAGCAATCATCCAGTGATAATTGACCAAGCTACCCTGCAAACGACAAGTTATCCTATCTCCAGCATTCTTACAGTTACCCTTACAGTATGCAAGTGAAAAAGTTCCTCTGAAAAGGGGTCCGAAAACGGCCTGGTTTCAGGTTAGGAGTCAAAATTCAAACCGTTATTAAAAAGAATCCATTCATCAGAAATGTCTCAAAATTTTTTCGTGGCACCTTTAGAGTGTACCCTTCGAAAATTTAGGTGACCGGAAGTTATCGGATCGCCCCTGTCAAAACGCGAGGGGGGCTGATCCATGTTTGGGTCAGACCCAAACATGGATCGCCCCTGTCAAAACGCGAGGGGGGGTGATCCATGTTTGGGTCAGACCCAAACATGGATCACTAAAATCAGTGAAATTTCAAAGCCCTGTAAATTTCAAAGTATTTGTTATTAAATGTACAGTTCTTGGGAGAGGGTTGCCTTTGTGGTAGTCGTGAAGTGTGTCGAAGAAAATTTAGGTCATCGCTTGTTTGAGCCGAAATATGGGACATTTCTAAAAAGTGATCCATGTTTGGTAACCTTACCGTACCCTAAACAAAGTCAATTCATCTCTCCTAAAAATTAGCCCATTTATTTATGCAAAATAAATGCTAATGCTCTTTTACAAACTAGTGCCTAACTGTACCCGTGGCCACCTTGGCTGGCACGTTTTTTGATTAAGTCTCGAATGAACTGCCCACGTTCGTGTTTCTTACAACAATGATCCATCAACATTTCTGTAATGCAGGACTGGACGTGCTTGGTAAAGTCCACAACAGAAAAATTATTCCGTCTATCCGTGCGACTGCAAACTTCCTGGAAGCCACATTGCAGAGGGCACGATAGAACGCCCTTCTCTCCGAGTGAGAACACCTTTGCCTTAACGTCGCTTCTCGCGAATCTGGCCCATTCGAAGAGATTTCCGATAGCAGTCAGTGCCGCGTCTGCTAATTCCTCCTCTTCTTTCGAAGCTTGTGATCCGCTCTGAGAGCCAAATGGTCCCGGGGGCGATGGCAGGCCTTGTGCTGCGTCCGATGTGCCTGGGCTGTTGTAAGATTCGTTGCCGTTGTCATTTCGACTCCTTTTCCGAGACGGAGTGCTCGAGGTTTCAGCGATCGGCGTGCTAGCTTCATGGTGGGCAGGTCCCGTACTGCGCGCCACGGGAGGTGATTGAGACGCTGCCAGGACTGCCAGTAACTGACCGAGGAGCTGTAGCTGTGAGAGCTGTGGCTGCTCCGTCACTTCGTGATTGGCCTGAAAGAAAAATCGTACCACTCAGTTAGGTTGTGACTCGTTGAGGCTCAGGTCTGAACGAGGGGATAGTCAAGATGCTGTTGGAACCTGTGACCCGACGATTAGGCTTATCACGCTCTTTTACGCCTCAAAGTCATCAAGAATTGGCTAGAACAGCCAAAAGCAACCACAAAATACTTCAAATTTTGAGAACTAATTTTCGGCTATCACGCCGCTATTTCGCGTTATTATGCGCGTGCCCACCCCGTCGGTTTGCGATGCGGTGGCCTCAAGAACCTTCACAGTATAAACTCTACGGAGAATCGCTTCACATACAAGATAGGTTTACGCCAGACCGCGTCTTGTAACAGGCTTCGCGATGTCTCGCTGCCTGTTCCTCCAATCCGCGCCTGGCGTACCTACCTTGGCCTGCGGCGCTAGCCTGCCTTCAGCAGGCAATGGCTTGTCCATCGTCGGTTACTTCTAGCATGTTGCATGCTGGGGGGCTCCGCCCCCCCCCCCCCCCCCCAAACAGGAAAAACCTTTCAACCCCAATGAAGTAACAGGCTTCGCTATCGCTCAGCCAATTACGGACAACGCAGGCATTGCAAAATCTACGAAGAAATTCTTCGTAACACGAAGCAAAACCCTTCGTATACTACAAGGCATTTCTTCAAAAGTTGTTTAACCTACCTGTGAGTTTCCGTTGTTGGATGCCATATCGAAGAGCCCGATAAGCGCTTGACTTCCAATAGCGTGAACACGTGCGCTCTGCGTGGGGACTCAGGAGCAAGTGGCGGCGAGAGGACGCTGGCGCCTTGTTTTACGTTCGCCAAACGGAGCCGTCTCCCCACGGGCTAGAGGCAGTATTCCCCTACCGTATATTCCCCTTCAGTTGTTTCTGAGACAGAATGCGTCATGCCAATGAACGCCCCTTCCACCCACTGGTCTCTTTCTGACTTCGCCTGACAATCGAGAATATAAACACAATGAGTTGAGGATGCAATGGTGCAATGCTTGGCCGCTGCACGTGAAGCGCAAATACGCACGCATGCCTTTGCAAACCTTTGCACTTTGCAATGCCCATGGGCATTTTGGGCACTCGTTTCGAATGATGTAGACAACACCCCGAATGCAGACTGCAGAGTTAAAATTTCGACATTTTCTAGAATTTGAACTAGATGTTGGGTCATTCCAGGAGTGATTAGCCACCTTTTGCATGACCATCTTCGATGTCGCCCATATTTTGCCCAACTGTTGTCCCTAGTAAGGCAAGGTTCTGTGCGAAATTTCACCGCTGTAGCTCCAGTAGTTTAGAAATGGCAGCCTCCTAAAGGTTTGAAATTACTAAAAGTTTTAATTTATACTAAAAAGTGAAAATCGGCCACAGATCGGGCAATAATAGTGATAAATGGGTGCGGTAAAGTTCTCTTGACGTAATTTTGGACAAGGAATCCGAATTTGCCGGTATGGGGGTCCTAGGTCAACTCCAATTCCATGCTTTTAGCGAAAAACACCCAAAAATCGCCTATTTTTGACCTGGTTGGAAAAATTGACGCCAATCCAAACATGACTGTTTCTGTGGTGCAAATGGTAGCCCTGGACAAGGACTTTAATATTCCGTGCCCCAAAGTTGTGGTACCGGCCCTCGTTTAGGCGCTACAGGCCCACAAAGATAGCAAAAAACTCAAAAAAGTACTTTTTTCGAACTTTTTTTGCTTTTCTTAAAAATGTTTTCTGAGGCCAAAAAACCATTATAAAACACAAAAATGACATTAAAACTCAATAAAGCAAGAGGTACCCTTGTCTGTTAGGCCACCCACTGGAAGGTTGCTGCTAGAGGCCTACAGGTTCGTCCGTTCAGCAATGCAGCCGTCGCTTTCAAGAAGCGTGACGTCACGTCACTTTGAACGGAACTGGTCACACTTGAAGGAACGTGGCAACGTGACAGGCTTGGTTGCTTTGTAGCCTAGCGGCCGTTATTTGCAAATCGTCTGAACACTGCGAGAAAAAAGTACGGAAAAAGTACGGAACATGTCTATGTCTGGTGTATAATTTGCCTGGACCGTCCGTGCCTGTCCTACTAGGGAACTTCTGTACTTTTTTCCGTACTCGATTACATGAGTTCTTGTGGGACAAGTAAAACCGTACTTCCGTACCGTTTTCGTCTGTACATTTTCCGTACAAAACTACGGAATTGTTTACAGTGAAGCTGAACCCCACCCAGGGTTACGCTGGACGTCACTTATCGATAGACACCCAGAAAAAATAGCGACATAGCAGATACCAAGTAAACTAAAGTAAATCGAGAGATACAGATATACTAAGGTTATTCAGATAAAGTATAGCTCTTATACAGACCGGATATACGTGATTAGTCCTATGGATATTCAGATCACTGGTAATACTAGAGCGTCTTTATATGCATGAGTCAAGCATGAAGTTATGCTTGAAATCAAGCATAGACTAGAAATTTCACTAGGCATAAGATGGGGGATAAACCTGTGACGCTTGATTTCAAGTGTGAACTGGTTACGCTTGAAAACAGTAATACTGCGTAGCAAGCATAACTAAGTAATATTACGCTTTAGTTTTACCAGTGATGGTGACGACACAATGTAGATCCTGGATAGACGATCTGTTCTTGTCTATGGACATTTATATATCTTGTAGAGTATTTAGCAAAGCTTATACACGGTTATCTTCCGTCTAGTACGAGACCCCCAGCCCCTTTAGTGTATCTTTACGCAGAATTTCTCATGTAAACCAGAGCGAACACTATTTTTGCCATGTGTAATCCCCCTCCCCCATACAATTTTTTGAGTTTCATTTCGGGAACGTGGATATTTAGTAAGTATCGTGTTTTTACTGTCGGAGTAAACTTGCGCCGACAAAATTTTAAATCTAATTTTAAATTTAAGTAATTCTCCTGCAACGCGGGAGAAACAGCTTCCAGGTCTCCAAGGCGCATGCAGGAAAAAATGAGGCCTAGAATAAATATATTTATTCTAGTAATTAAGCACCGTCTTAAGCCGTGCAAGTCTTTTGTGTGCAATTTATGATGGTTTCGAGAAGGGTTCAAAAACAGAATCGGGAGACAAAGGGTTAAATCACTGCACGACATGCAGTCACTTTATTCTTAAGCATTTATGAAGTATTCCCGTATTCAGCCTTACAAGTTAGTTGGATCTTTGCCAGCGAATACACGTTTATTAAATCGCGATACAAGACACTCCTGTACGTGTTTTGAGAAATCCAAAACTGACCACGCTTTTTTCTTATCTGTACGCTTCGTCTCAACAGATTTTGCACGGACTGTGAAAAGTTTTCACAGTTTACTTGGTAACTTGTGCCTATGGCGTCATGTTTAAAAGAACACGACTGCTTCTATGAATTCACACTTAAACATGCGTGGCAGCTTTCACGATGGAACAAATTTGATGTCGTTTCCACAGACTACCACTGCCCAGGTGCCGAGCGCCAAGAAGATAGACAACCCATCCTACATCACCAGGCACAAGTCCGATAAGTTGCCTACTTGCGGGCTCTGGCCCGCAGTGGACTGTTTCGAGCGTTTTAAAGTTGACGTCTTTAAAGATATCAAATAAATGTAAAAGTTTCCCAACTAGAAATAACCCACACTATTTAAAAGGCTTATACCTCTGCACTTTTCATCAATGTCTCATTCAGACTTAGTTTTTCTTCCTCTTTCCAAGTCCTCTTCGAATTTGGAAATCTTGAGAATTGGCCTCTATATTCAACGAAGGCTATGAAAGCTTGCACTATTTTTCCCAATAATGTATCCCACCTTTAAAGAAAGTAGAGGAATCTCCAAGATGGCTGTCGATAGAATATAACAAACCCTGACAAATATTTTCGGATCTTTTTCTGCTTGAAACTGACCATTCTTCTTTCAGTGAAATTTTCTTGGATAAACATGTTTTATTCCTGATAACTAACAAAGCGGGTGCATACTTACATTTAGTTTTCAAATCTCACCCCCGACCGCGGCCCGTGCTCACTCGAAATCCCCATACCATTTACGCCCTTCCCAAGGGCATAAAACGATTTATGCCCTTGCAATGGCGTAAAAGAGTATTTATGCCCTAAAGGGCGTAATTTTTATGCCTTTGTTTTACCAGTGTATTTCTTCATGTTCCACTAAGATTCAAAGAAAAACCCTCGCAATGCGAAGAACAACGACGTTCGTCCTACACTGTAAAAAAAAAGTTGCAAATTTTTGCTACTTGGGTGCTGAAACGCCCCTGCACCCACCCTTCGATCACGAATTTCGCAGCCCAAAGGGTTGCGAAATTCAGTAACCCACTGGCGCCAAAATTTTGTTGCCCAATGGGTGTATAAGGGAACCGTTCTTACCCAAATAGTGAATTTCTCACGTGGGCAACAGTAGGCCCTCCCGCTGCCCAAGGTGCATAAATTTTGCATCTTGGCCGCAAGACGCTCCCCAACTTGCCCACGTGTATAGATCCCGGTTGGAGGTGTCTTAAAATGCGGGCTGACCTCAGAAAAATCACGAGGTGCATGGGCATCGAACCTGCAATCTCCACTCAGGACCCAACCCCTCTGACCACTGCGCCACCACGCTAGCTAGTCGAAGACGCTCGGCGGAGGCTACTTGACCCAGCCGGCTCGAGACCGTCTGCCGTTAGCGGCGCCCTCGATGGATGATTTGCATTTGTGGGCAAGTTGAGGAACTCAGCTTAACCACAATGTTAACTTTTCTACAGGTGGGCATGGTGGGCCATCCGAGAATCTCCACATGTGCAAATTCTCTCACGTGGACGGCAACTTTTTCAACCCACAAGATACTAAATTTGAACATGTGGGTGAGCTCAGAGCCCAAATCACCCAAATCATGAATTTCGTCTCAGATGTACGGATTTTCGACGACACAATAGCAAATTTCGCTGTCCAACGGGTCGATGTATTTCATCAAGTGGGCTGGTACAGTGGCCTTCTGCAACCCACTGGGTGCAACTGGAGTCTTTGTACATTGGGTGGCAAAATTTCGCATGCCAATGGGTTTCAAAAATTTGCAACATTTTTTACAGTGTACGCTTGCGCCATTTCCTTCGAATAAGGGTATGAGAAACTTCCTCGTCAGACATTTAAAGTGTGAGCGACTGGCGCGCGTCTCAGTTGGGAGGGCTTGATAGCCTGCTTCCCTTTCGGCCACGCGTTGCTTCGCGTTGCTCCCTGTGCCGTGCGAGCGCGGCGTGCAAGCATCCTTCCTGCGTTCCGTGTTGCAGGGCACAGGCGCCAGAGAGTGAGTGAGAAAGGAAAAGGGAAACGGGGGGAGGGGGAGAGGGGGGGAGCCCCGGAACTTACCGGAACAGCCGCACCTCTGCTGGTTGAGCCATCCCCGGCCTTGCCCGGCCCGCTAGGGACCGCCAGCCGCGAGGACTAGTTTTGCCTGTGGAAGGAATGCAGTGGCTGTCGCACTCGCACCGCCGCGACAGTCCAAGCGGGCAGCCTGTGCGCCGAAAGGTAGTCGGAGTCCGCCGCTGCACTCATTGTGCACCGGCTCCACACGGCAAAAACGGTTCCTAGTTTTCCCAGGTAGCCATCACACTGGTAAAACAAAGGCATAAAAAGGCATAAAAATTACGCCCTTTACGGCATAAATACTCTTTTACGCCCTTCTCAAGGGAATAAATAGTTTTATGCCCTTGGGAAGGGCGTAAATTAATGGTATATGAATTTCAAGCAAAATTTTAATGCCCTTCCCAAAGGCATTAACGATTGATGCCCTTTAAGGGCGTAAATCGCTTACGCCATTAGGGGGCATAATTTTAATGCCTTTGTTTCACCTGTGGAGGGTGTACCAACTTAACATTTATTCATATTTCGGGTACAGCTAGAGATAAAAAAATTTAGGCAAAGGGTAACTTAAATTTAAAATTCAATTTTGAATGTTAGCAAATTTATGCATGACTTTTAAATACCTGGCCGCGTTACGAAAAAAATTTTGAAAAATGACAAACAAAAGTTACGTTGGCACGTCTAGGTTCCTGATAGCCATAGTAAACTCACGCTAACGAGACAGTTACAGGAAATTCAGCGCCGGTATGGAAGGAAGCTAAATTTTTCCATAGAACGAATCTTAAGAGGATTTCATTTGTGACGTACAAACAAAGTAAACCCTTTGAAAAACGAAGAGAAACTATGTTCTTATCACACTTGCGCCTCTTTGAAATTTCTCCCTAACACACAGAATGCATAGCTTGAATTAAACCGTCTTGCAAGGGGTGCCCTTATAACGGAAAATTCAGAAAATTTTGGCTATTACGCTATTACCATCACGCTTAATACAAGGAATCGATGACCCGACTATTGCTGGTGATTTCCCCCTCGACTACGCGTCAAAGTGATCCCCCCATGCATTTAGATTGGAGAAAAGGAGCGGATGACCTCTTGTACGCCTCAAGAAGGGCGTACAGGCTGTACTTTTCACAAAAGGCGTAATGCTACGCCTTTGTTTTACCAGTGACCGGATTTGCAGTGCACAATCTTCGCAAACCCACTGTGTTTGTCTGTTCATTGATTATCAGGTGACAGGGGTCTTTCCCCATCACTCCCTGCGTCTCACCGTTACAGCACAGCATGAAAGTCCCTGCAAATAAACTGCGTCACATCGTGGCGTGAGGAAGGGGCCACCGGGAGACTCTCTGGCGGGCCACGGGGCCACGGGGGTCCATTTGGGATGACGGGAGTGTGTATTGCATATTGCATGGGTGAGAGAGTGTAACAACAGACGTGAAGAGTGGTAACCCCACGCATATATGGCACCGCACAAGCAGGGTAACTACAGAACTGCACTTTTGTTGCTTTTCCCGCGCACACAAACACACACGCTCTCTCTCTCTCTCTCTCTCTCTCTCTCTCTCTCTCTCTCTCTCTCTCTCTCTCTCTCACACACACACACACACACACACACACACACACACACACACACACACTCCTTCCAACTTAAAATAACTTGACGGAAAGATCACAACTCGAAATGTATTTTGTTTTGTATTATGCTTGTTCTGAATTCACAATAAATCTCAAATTTCATCATAAGACATTCATACACGGAAATAATGATTCCTGGTTTTCTCAGGAACTCCCTGGAAATCGTCTGTCTCTACCATAGGCTTCCTGGGAAAACCAGGTTCCGTTTTTACACCGTGTGACAACCAGCTTTTGATTGTCGATACCGGATTTTTTTTCAAATGCAGCAATCGACAGTCCAAACGAAATTTGTTCTTTGATAACGTGAATTCGGCGCAAGCGTAATGCGAAGCAAAATTTCTGAACAGTATGACTGAATCTTTCTTGGATTGTCAGTGCTAGAAAAAAAATGAATAACCTTCGTTGGTACGAAGGAAAGATACGTTTCGTATTATGCTTGCGCCACTTTCTTCGTGTTATGGGAAATTTCTTCAAGGGGTGAATCACTCAGCGTTCTGGTGTACGAGTACATGAGTACGGGTTTTAGCCGCTGGCGCCGGGTCTCCTGGCGCACTATGAAGTGATAGGGAAAGGGGGAAGGGGGTGGGGGAGGCGAAGATTCCGCCTGCCGCCGCCGTCCCCCCCACTCGCGTCGTCGGCCGAACTTGAACTCCGCGGAGGGAGCCGGGGGCCGGCGTGCCGAACCCCCGCCCCGGAGCGCGGTGCGGCGCGGTGCGCGTCCCCGGAGCCTCCGGTGCAGCGGCTGCTCCTCCGGCGAAGTCCGGCGCGGCGCGAGCGAGTCCGGCCGGGCAGCCCGGGCACAAGGCGCGGGGTGGGGGCGCTATATAGTCGGCGCGCCCCGGCACCACACTGCATTGCCCTCCACGGCGCCCGGGCCCGCATCCTCAGCCAGCCAAGATGACGACGGGGAGCCTCCTGGTCAGTGACAGTGACTCACCACTGAAAGTGAAAACAAAAAACAAAAAATGAAAAATAGTGATGCTTACGGTGGTGTCGTTGTGAGCCGGCGTTCTTCGCCGCAGTGTCTACCTTTGCATTGGATTTCAGTGGCTTTGCGTGTTTCGGTAAAGTTTTCTTTCCTGGTTTTTTGAGTGAAGTGCTCCCTGTGGTGCGGTCAAAGTTCGCATTCACAATCTGGTTCGGTAAAGCTCAAAATAATTCAGAGCGGTTTTCCTTTTTCTTCCGTGAGAAGTGTTCCTTCTGCCGCGGCCAAAGTTGCCATTCGTCAGTTTGTTCGGTAAAGCTCAAAACAATGCAACGTGAGCATCGCTATTTTCATTTTTGTAGTGCTTGTGTTCTGTGTCTATAGTGATTCCGTGATACGGAAAGTGAAGTGCCATGTGCGTGTGTTGTGTGCCTCGGGGTGAATATGAGTGAGTGTGTGTCAGAGAATGTTGTTTTCCTTTTCATGGGCATGCTAAAGAGTGAGAAGGATCAGCTGTTGACGCTGTATGGCTATGTTATTGCATCGTGAATCGAATCTTGTGGGACCGAATGGACCTCCACTGGGGTTCGCTCGGAGCGCAGTCATTTACGTGTATAGCACTATCCCACCGAGGCGCAAAACTTTGCCTCACTTGAGCAGCCTAAAAAGAGTCCGCGTTACGTAGAGAGAGAGAGGCACATTTTTCGCCGAGGGTGAAAAAGTGATTGATCATAACGAAATTGTTGACAGTGAAGCCTTTATTGCGAAGCACTGGTGATACAAACGCTGAGTATAGGACTGATTTGTGCAGTACGTGTGAACTCGTTTTCAATTGGTGTGATGCTTTTGCATGGTAAATGAAGGGCAATGCCTTGCCAAGCATTGGCGCACCACTCATTCGCGTATGGTGCAATTCGTCAATGCAGCTTTCTATGCGCATTGCGCTTAGATTCCCAGTAAATTCCTCTCGAGAAACAAGGAATTTGAAAAACGTCTTGAGTAGAAATTTCCCTTGATACGCAGGAAATGTCGCAAGCATTGAACGGACGTTGTTTTTCTTCGTATTACGATGGTTTCCCCATTTCACAAAGAAAATACAAAATTGACTTGTATGATGAATAAATTTTTGCTTGGTAATATGATTGCGCCGAATGCGTTTGTAACATTCGTTAAAATTTTATCGCAAGACATTAATGCGTTGCATGTAACACCGGTGGACAGCCCTCACATAACTAGGAGCTACTTCGCCCGCCGGAAATCTCCAGTTTCGTTAAACTGCGGAACCCGTTCCCCTCGGAAATGATGTCTGAATGGTCACCATTGCGCGCAGCTTCCAGAGCTGTAAGTGCGCCGTGAGAGCTGCGAGGCGCGCGCTGCAGACTGATTCCGAGAGTCGTTGTCGTCGCTCTGTCTCTCGCTCGCACCCGCACGGGACGCCCCGTGAGTGCGGGAGGGACAGAGCGACGAGAACGAGTCTCGGAATCAGTCTGCCGGGTCCCACGCCCCGCCGTTTAGACGGCCGCGCTGCTCCGGCCGCGTTTGCATGCAGATGGACCGACTGCTACATTTTTCATACTCCGTCCGTTTGCCCTGGGAGTCGCCTCTCCGTACAATGTGCGCCTCGCATGGCTCGACGGCCTGCAGACGGGGCGCCGTCGCTTTTACCGAACACGCGGCCGAATCGCGCCGTCCTCGGAACGGAACGGACGACGTGCCTGTCGAACACCGTTAAAAATAGTTCTCCACGCTCAGGGTTTATGATCAATTTTGTATACACTAAATGGTATACACAATTTTGTACGAGACATCATAGTTTTTTGAGCACACGAAATTTTCGCACATTTTTTGTACGAAAAAATGCACAAATATTTGTACAAATCTTTGGGAAAAATTATTTCCTTAGATGTATTGATTCCACCTGAGCAAAAAATATTTCATGCACAGGAGTTTTTTTTTTTTTTTATTTTTTTTGGTGAAATTCTTTTATGGTTTTCTTCGGCGACGACGAGTTGGCCCTTTATATGAGTGATCATCTGACAGAACAACGTATCTTCATAGGGAATCCCACAGTAGATACGCTGTTACGAATGCCACACATATTGGTTCGTGAATATTGATGTGCACTATGAGAATTTTGATCGTAGCTTGATGACAATTTCAAGGCTAAATATCCTTGCAAGGATGTCATCAAACGATGATATTGCAGTCACATCCGCGCCTATGCAATAAGTAGAGCAGCAGCTTTGATAATTTATCAAAAATGTCCTCGATTTGTATTGAACTTGTCATCATTTGAAAGTAATGAAAACGTCAACCACTATTTTGCCATCAAGAGACTACAGAATTTTTACAGTGCGTAAACGGTCAGACGCGCGTGCCGGATATCGCATAGGCATTAAGAGCATTAATCCACGGAGCAGCGGACTGGTGGAGAGTAAGGGAGAGGGGAGGGGGACAGTGCATTGTTTGCGAGGGAACCGCGTCCATCCCAGGGGTGGACCCGTTTAGCGCATGGAGGTGCACTGCGCGGAATGTGAACACACACACACATACACACACACACACACACGTGCAGGATGCGGCGCAGGCGTGCAGTGCCGTGGCGTATCTTTGAATATTGAGAGTAGAAAGCGCGAGCGTATCCGTATGTGCGTTTGTGCATATGTGTACTCACGTGTGTGTGTGTGTGTGTTGTTATGATGGTCGATTTAGTTGATGCGCGCACCGGACGTCGTAATAACGCGTGTTTAATTCACCTCCGTGCGCGGTTCAAGTTCCGCGTGTCGCGGCGCGTGCGTCAGCCTTCTGGCCCTTAATGGTATTGGTAATGGCGGGTAGGCAGAGGCGGGCCGTGCGAGACGCCGGCGTTCGGCGGGCTTGCCTACCCCGCCTTCGTCGGGCGGCCGGCTGCCTACCTCCTGGGCGTCCTCGCCGCGGCCACTCCACTCGACGCGCAGTGGTCCAGAAGACCGGCGCCCGTGCAGCCAAAACTCTAGACGCGTTTTGAGCTCCAGAGTCGCTAAACAGGACTCGAACCGAACGTGTGACCCCACCAATGGATTCCTCGTTCGGAGAGCAATCCATTGGTGGGGTCACACGTTCGGTCCAAGTCCCATAAAGCGAATCTGGAGCTCAAAACGCGTTCGGGATTTTGACCGCCTCCGCCGGTCTTCTGGTCCACAGTGCGACGGGAATGGAGTACCAACTCTGTTGAAAATACGTTGGAAAATCCCGAAAGTGCGTTCTGAAGCCTCTTCGGAAATTTCCGGAGCCTTCGTGATTCAAAGAGATTTTTTTGTGCTGTACCTGCTGAAAACCCATTCAAAATAGAAACATATAAGGTTCTGAAAGATACGAGGCAAATCATTTGCCAAATAGTTCCTCAGGAATTTCCAAGATTTTTCGTTTTAACCGTGAATACTATTGGAAGGGAGCATTCCGCGTGAAAAGCGTTCCACTCCACACCTGACCTGCCGCCGCCCCTACCTCGCCCCCCTCCCTTCGCCCTCAGAGTGCCTGCTCGCCCCAAAGCCTAATCAGCGCTAAACTGCGGCGTGACACGACGCGTTGCCTTAATGACCCCGATCCGCGATCCGGACTGGGCCGCGGGGGAGGGGAGGGGGGGGAATGCGCGCGCACCTGTGCATGTCTCTGCCGCTGGTCCGCCGGAACCCGGTCGGCGGGGTCAGAGGACGGCGGCAAGGCGAGGCGCGGCCCGCCGGGCGGACTGCATGCCGAGCCGCAGCGCGTTTCATTCTCTCTCTCTCTCTCTCTCTCTCTCTCTCTCTCTCTCTCTCTCTCTCTCTCTCTCTCTCTCTTTCTCTCTCTCTCTCTCTCTCTCTCTCTCTCTCTCTCTCTCTTCCCCCCTCTTCCCCTCTCTTCCTCTCTCTTCCCCTCTGGGAATCTCATGGGTGCGACAGAGGCGCACTGTTCCAAAAGTAAATTCAAATCGACCAAAAATTTTCGTCCTTTAAGGGGGTGACTAAATGTTTTAGTCACTTCGTCTGAAAACTAGTCGAAATGACAAAAACGTGGTTACTTCGAGCAACATTTAGTTCTTTTGACTTAAAAAAATCAGTCGAGTTAACAAAATTTTGGTCGAAACAACTAAAATTTAGTGACCCCGCGTAACGACATTACATTTCTCTCAGTGCTGATCGGTCTGCCCAGGCTGATTCAGAAACAGTGCTCTGTCTCTCGTTTGGCGTCCCCTTTGAGAGAGAGAGAGAGAGAGAGAGAGAGAGAGAGAGAGAGAGAGAGAGAGAGAGAGAGAGAGAGAGGAGAGAGAAGAGAGAGAGAGAGCGAGCGACGAAACTCTGTTCGAAATCAGCCCGCTGCATTCGATCGCCGCTCCCGAACGGCCGAATGTGCTCGCCTCGCTTCGCTTCGCCTCGCCTGCAGTGGGTCGTCCCTTGGTCGGCATGTGGAGCGCGGACGCGGCCGTCGTGACGAGACGAGGCGGCCGGGACCGAACGCCCCGTCGGCTTTGGGGCCATCATTTACGCCGTCGAAGCCGACGAGCTAGGAGAGCGTCGTAAAAAAATAATCTCGAGTTACTGGAATGTTAACGAGAAAAACACGTTTCCCTTTTTCGGGGATAAATTTTTGATGCGCAGTGGTAGAGTATGCAACTTCGGGCCAACACGTGTCCTGTTGAAAATCGTTTCCTGAACTTAAAAGAAGCAAATTTAAAACTCGGCGCTGAATTTGAAGCGATGCGCAAAGTGTTTGGGTGCAGAATGCTGCCAAGAATTGGCACAATCGAAAAGGGGCACAAAAATGTTTGTCACTTGCTGCTCAGCCCAGCAAACTGTGTACCCTAGACTCACGTACAGTCTTGGGATTTCCAATCAAAAATGGGTTGTCGGAACGAAGTATTTTCAGCTTATTAGCTTGTGAAGAAAATATTTCAGGATTTCAGAACTGATTACTCATACAACAAACTGAATAGTTCGGACGTCACTTAAGTTTTGAAAACTTTGCAAAGTTTCAA